TTTACAGAAAGTTGTGTGAGAAAATTCTCTAACAGAATGTAAACTCAGAAGGCTTTAGAAAATCTTGAGAATCAGGGCAACAAGAAGGGGCTTCAACAACTCCCTTTTCTTCTGCCAATGAGAGAAATGGATACCAGGGGGTGAAAGTGAAAAAAACCTGTTTATTTAAAAAAAAAAAAAAAAAAAAAAAAAGGATACCTGCAAGGCACAGAACCAGGAAAAAAAAGGAAAGAATAAATGCTAAATATTGAAACTGTGGAACTGCAGCTGAGGCACTGCAGAGGGGGCTGGGCAGCAGCAGCCCAGCTCCCAGAGACGCAGAGGGACCACCTGGCATTGCTGACTGGATCTGGCTGGTCCCTGGGCCTGGGCTGTGCAGAGGTCCTGGCGGGCACACATGGCCCTGGGCTTCCCGAGAGCAGAGCAGCAAGAGGCCAAGCCAGCAAGCTCAGTCACAGTGCCAAAGCAAAAATAACCATAATAAAAAAAAACCCAAAGAAACCAGCCAAACAAAAAAAGCCAAACCAACCAACCAACCCAAAAAAACAAGAAGGGAAGGGAAAGGGAAAAGGAACCCAAATCTAACAACTAACTAAGCAAAAAAACCCACCAAAAAGCAGCAGGCAAAACCCACAGAAACAGCAAGATCCCTGGTCAGTGTGTCCACTGGAATGAGCCCATGGCCCTCACCCCACCCCAAATTCCCTCCAGACACCCCAGCTTGGCTTCCATTCTTCACAACAGTCCAGAGGCAGGGAGGACGGGGGCTGAAGCGGGGATAGCAGCCACCCTGGGCACAAACTAAACCAAACAGATCAAAAACCCCAAAATGGTATGGGATAATAAACCATCTCTGGGACAGTGTCTATGTGTATACTCTAAAATATACAATTAACACTAGTACTACCCTTTCATCTCTATCTTAAAATGTCAGACTAGAGATAGAAGGTTCCTAATTCTACCAAAAAGACAGTTTGAAATAATCAGACCAAAGGAAATATCTTCCATGTAATTCAAGTGATTCCTCAGTTCATCACATTCTGTAAAATTGATCGTAATTGATAGAAATAGCATATGATTTTGCTTATGACTGTTGTACAATCAAAATCTGCCTCTCTGAAGATTGTTTGTGTGACATCACTTTACAAGAAATGGAATAAGGATTGTCAGACACTTCAGACTGAATTTATGATATGGTAAGAAAAAAGGAAGTATCTGTAACAGTAGAAGTTTGCTGTCGCTCTTTGGTAAAGTTGATCATTGAGAGATTCCATTTCTAATTAAGGTATCAAACCAGAAAGCATACACTACCCTGTTCTGAGCTCTGTGACTGTTGCATATGGTTCAAAACATTCTTGTTCCAAGAAGGTGGAATCACTTTCAGAAAGGGATCTCTGCCGAGGCTGAGGAATAGCAACAGTGCGCCCTGTTAGTGTTGTTGCAAGGATTGCTGCTGCTAGAGCAGACCTGGAAGAAAACAGAACAGAGCAATGAAGCAATACTGAGGCTTTCTCTGTGCTCCACATTTGATACCTTTTCCTTTGCAAAATGGCTTTGCTATTTAACCAAAGCAAAATGTTCACAGTTAACAAGCATAAATACTACTCAATGCTATGGGAGTGGTTATAAACTGGTTATAAACCTCCCAAAGTAAAGCACAAAACAGCTTGCTATTGTAATGTAGCTATCCATGAGTACGGTGCAATATCTACTGGTTTTCCCAAATCACATCTGTGAAGATCTTGGAATACACCGAGCTACTTTCCCAAAATTCACATCAATAATTTACAGTATTTAGCATTCACTTTAGCCATAACAATACTTCCTTGTGTTGTGTTGAAAAGGTTTTCCATGTCCTGCTATTTTGTCTCCATTATTCCCTACTCTAAACCTTTTACTGATGATTCTGAAGTTGTTAATAAATCTTGGCACACTGCAAACCAGGACAAGCAAACAGAAGTGCCTATTTGTGTGATGCTGTGGAGTACTGAGAAGGGTATGATGAAAAGGAAAAATAAGCAGCAACTAAGACAAAAGAATTGAAATGCTCAAAACTGTAAAATGAATGACAAGAACTTGAGGCCAAAGAATAAGAAGAAATTAGCTAGAATGAAGTAGGAATGTTACAGACACTAAAAAGGCCACGGAAAACAACCAGAATGTAGAGAAAGCACAGAATAAGAACTGTAAGAAACTACAACTTAAAAATAAGCTGCATTTTTCCAATCCAGCATGGTGCTACATGTAAGTTTTTTAAGTCCTTGGAATGGTAGCAAGGTTTAATTCATGTTTTTCTAATGAGCTAACACTTCCTGATTTACAGCACTCGTGCTGCTGCAGTCCTACACTCTACTGCAGTAGCCAAATTAAAAATTCCACTAACTTTAAATAGTCAATTCATCTTTAATTGACTCAGATAAGTCACATGTTCATAACAGTTACTGTCCTGAAGATGTACCATGCTTAGGAGTGGGGAAAAAAGTTCAGAATGTGAAACTGCCCCCCCCCCCCAAATATATTCTTTTTATGTAAAGTTTTGTAAATATTGTAAAGACAGACTTCTAATCAGATTTTTCTAGTATGCTACAATATCTGATGAAACAACAAAAATGTATTAAAAAAAAGGAAAAAAAATTTCAAAAAACCCCCCAAACCAACACATACCTGGGCCTTTCTGGAGAAGGGTTTGGACTACGAGGGGGAGGGGTGCGGGGAACTGCAGGTTTAGGAGCTATGGTAGCAGCAGGGACCAGGCCATGAGCTATATGTTTCTAAATGATTTAAAATAAAATTAGTTGACAATGACTTTAAGCATTACAATGAGAAAAAACACAGAACTGAATGTGCACAGAAACTAACAATGCAAAATAATACAAAAAGGTGAACAATTACATGCAATTAATGTAAACAGACTTGAAATGGCATTTAATTCCCCTTAAAGTCAGAACACCATGTAAAGCTGGCAAGTTCATTTAACATTTATGAACAGCTGCTCCTGAAGGTTAGAAATGTAATTTACATGAGACCCATTAATGTACATTTTCTATCCATTATATCACAATTTGCAAAACCAGAATTGTAACTTACTCATCTTTTTCCTATAGATATAGAAGAAAATTGGACTAGAAATTTACTTTTTTCAAAGTATCAGAATGCTGCTTCAGACTAACAATATTAGTCCCTTTCTTCTACAGTTTGTCAATCCTTAGTCATAGCAGTATGAAATGGAAAAAAAAAACCCTATCACTAAGTTTTGCAGTCGAAGGTTCAACCTTAATTATAAAAAAACCCATCTTTTTTCATCAGCAAGCACAGTAATTTTTTTTAAAAAATTGTATAACTTTAAATATGAGCTCAGAAAATCAGGACCAGAGTTCCTACAAAAAGTACTGTGAAGGAAACTGTATACTGGCTGAGGTTGGAAGGGAGCTCTGGAGATTGTTTAGCTCAAGTTCCTGCTCAAAGCTGGGTCAACCACGAGAGGGTTGCTTGGCATCCTGTCCAGTCAAGTCTTACGTATCTCCAACCGGGTCCAGTGCTGAACCACTCCACAATATTTTATTATTATGTTAAAGCTGAATTGTCTGTGCTTGAGTTTGTGCTCATTACCTCTTGTTCTCTCTCTAGGCATCATAATAATAATAAAGTCCATCACCTTTGGGCAGCTGTTACTTTTCTATGGAGTGAAACAGACTAAGCTCCTGCTATTTCTGCTACAGATCTTTTTCCCCCAATTATACTTTAATTCACTTCAACAGGAGACTGAAGATGTGAACTGCGAAATATTTTGGTTTTACATTAAGTGACACCAAATAATTAAATGGTGCATTAGAAGACTGCCTTTTTACTCAGTCTTGCAAATGCACTGCTCCCCAGTTAGGCATGTGTGTCTGGCATGCACCATTTCGTTTACTACAGGCTGTTGACTGCAGACACGACTATGACTGACCCTACTAAGACTACCAGGGAACACAGCTGAAGTAAAGTCATCCCACGGTAAGAGTATGACAACAACAGAAGATCAATAATTCCACTGCAGTAATAAACAAAAATTCATTAGTTCAAATACTTTGGAAAAGACCCGCACAGCCGCTGACAGCCGTACAGCCTTTGGTTGCTCTGAGCCGTCGATGAGAACTTTTCTCCGCTCACTTTACAGCAGAACGGCGCTCGGAGGTGGCGCGGGGAGCGAGCGGCGCTGCCAGCCCGGCCCGCGCCCAGCGGGGCTCGGAGCTTCTGCGGGGCACCGAGCCAAAGGAACGCACCGGCCCCCGGATACCATCTTGGCTTGGCTCGGGCTTCATTTTTCTACCCGGTTTTCGCTCCAAAGTGCTCAGCGATCACCGGATCAGCCGCAGAAACCGCCCCCGTCCCAGCCGCGCACCGAACCCCGTGTCCTGCTGTCCCCGCTCTCGGAGACGGAGCCCCGCGCTCAGCACAGCGATACTCACGAAGGGGCCCCTCCGGCCTCTCCTGAACAGGAACGCCATCGGGTGAGGCTCCAACCACCGCCTCACAGCCGCTTCCCCGCCGCGCCGGACGCTTCGCCCTGGAGACCCGCCTGCAAACAAGGCCAGGGCGGATTTGCTGCGGGCCGCGCTCCTCCAGTCAGCGCGGGCCTTACTCAGCCTCGCTCGGCCGTAGCAACCGCCCCGGCTGCGGCCCCGCCGCTCCTCCTCCTCCTCCCGCTGCCGCCTCCCGGCCCCGCCGCTCCTCCTCCTCCTCCTCCTCCCGCTGCCGCCTCCCGGCCCCGCCGCTCCTCCTCCTCCTCCTCCTCCCGCTGCCGCCTCCCGGCCCCGCCGCTCCTCCTCCTCCTCCTCCTCCCGCTGCCGCCTCCCGGCCCCGCCGCTCCTCCTCCTCCTCCCGCTGCCGCCTCCCGGCCCCGCCGCTCCTCCTCCTCCTCCTCCTCCCGCTGCCGCCTCCCGGCCCCGCCGCTCCTCCTCCTCCTCCCGCCGCCGCCTCCCGGCCCCGCCGCTCCTTCTCCTCCTCCTCCTCCCGCTGCCGCCTCCCGGCCCCGCTGTCCGGCGGCCCTCGGCTGCTGCGGGCGGCTCCTCCGGGCCGGGCAGCGCCCCTGCGGCCTCTCTGCTCCGCAGCGCGGGCTCCGCTCTGGCATCTCTGTCGGTATGCGAGTGTGCGGTGGTACCGGCTGCTCTGTGCTGCTTGTACTCAGAGCGTACCTCAGCCTCCAAGGCTTGTTAAAGTCAGAGCACCGCGTAAAGCTGGCAAACCTGAAAATCATCTCTCCCAGCAGCTACCTTGTAATAATTGGTCTGGAGACTTCCACCAGCTGGGGGATGGAGGTGCCTCTGGAGTTGGCTTTGTAATTCAGGAAGATTTCCTCCCAGCAAGGGTGGCTGAAGGTATGGAAAAGGCAATGTGGGTTTTTTCACCATCTGTGTGTTTTAATTCAGGCGTTTTTCAGACTGAGCAGTAAAGCTTAAAGTGGAATTTGCAAGCCAACACAACAGCCTGTATTAAAGTGAGCAGATTGCTGGCTGATTTGATATGCTCACCTTAGCTGTAAGGAAGTTTGAGGAAGGAGGTAGGGTCTCTTCCAGAATATTGCATCCTAAGTTTATGATTAAAATTTATAAACTTGGAATAGGTTTGTAAAATGTGTTCCTACTTTTCCACATTTCTTTCTAGGGTATATCTGCTACTGAAGGAGGATTTTAAAGGAGGTCTGATGACAACAAAAGCAACCTTTCCTGTGACAGCAGGATCTATAGTTGTCCCTTACGGGCATGTGATTGGAAATGAGAAGTGGAGGGGGTCAGAGCTAGCCCAAAGGCTACAAGGTAAGCACAAAAGAATTGGAAGAGGAAAAGCAAGTCAGGCAAATCATCCCCCTCTATTGCCCAGTAAAGTTAAGCGGCTGGAATGCGCTTTACTCTGTGCCTGTCTGATCCCGTATCTGTGATACGGACTATGGTAGCAGGCTGAAAGATCCCGTTTGTTTGGCACGTATCTGCGAGATCAGCTCAGTTTTCACAGCTGCAGAGCACTGCAGGGAAGCAGCAGAATCTGCTGTTGTGGGGCTTTGCAGATAAGCATCTCCACTAAGCTCCCTTGAATTTACATCTATACTCTGCTACCATCTTGCTGGCACAACAAACTAAATTGTGATGATCCCTCCAGAAAAGCACGTGATATTTTTGTTCAAGTCCAGGGTTCTCTGAACAGCTCTAGTACTTTTAAATCTGTAGATTGGAACTGCTATTAATTTACATTACTAAAGACATCACACAGTAGTTCAGATTGCTTGTAATAGATTTACTTAAAGGGAAAAAAAGGCTTTTAATAAAGTTCAGTATGAAGTCATTAGAATTACTGACACTTCAGGAAGGCTGTGCTGTGAAATAATTGTTGGTACATTTTTAACTACTGTATTTTTTCCTCTAACAATCTCTCCCTAAGGGAAAGTTAGACTCATCTTTGAAGATGCCTTGGGACTGGTGGACTTTCATCTTTCAAACAGAACTTGCGTTTTACTTATTTCTGAAGCAGATTTGGTTGCAGGGGATGAATTCAAACGAAGATTGGTTAGGTTTAGAAATGTAAGTGCTATATAAACAGAAAAGTTTTCATCTGATACTTGTTTATTCCATGCTTCTGAGAACATTCTTCTTGTGGGTTTGTTTTTTTTTTTAATTCCATTGGAGATGACTTTTTGGGATAATTTTCACCTGGGAACTGAAAAATTCTGCAGCTGTGTGATAGTGCTGTATTAAACCTCTGTCCTGTTGCTGCAACTCATACTTGAAAGAATTTCTCTCTGTTCCATTGCATTAACTTGTCATTAACAAGGTTTTTCCTAATATCTTTTCCCTTTCAATACAGGCCAGCAGTCTTAGGGGAATTGTAATTGTAGAGAAAACCCAAATCAGTGATCAGTACTACCTAGGAGTACAAAAACTGGTTGTACTTGAACTTGGAATGGTGTTGCTTCCTGTGGCGAATCAAGGAGAAGCTTCTCAGCTTATTATTCAACTAGTAAGTTTCTGTGCTATATTAAAATATGCGATGTGCAGCAAAGCAGGTAGATCTCCCCAGTGATCACCTCATTGCAGAGAGAATACATAGGATCTTAAAGGAACACATATAAGGAATGTAAGGAATGTAAGGAGTAAATCTTCTGCAACAGTGATACAGTAGTACAGTTCAGTGTAAAGAAGGTTCATTTGGGAACAAAGAAAAAAGGCTGAAGAATATGATCCTGGATTTTTTAAATGTAATCTTGTATGATTACAAGATTGTGTGCCACTAGGTCGCATTAGGCAACTGTCACTGTCAAAATCAAGTTGAGATTTTGCTTTCTCTCAGGTGCGGGAGCAGAGCAGGGATCGCAGCTCCAGCCCGTTCCTCGGCGGGCAGCGCGCTCCGCTGGCAGAGGCTGCGGGGCTCCGCGCGGTCCAGCGCATCCCCGGCGTCGGGAAAACAAAAGCTCTGCTTCTACTGCAGCGCTTTGGAAGCATCCACCGGCTTTGTAACGCAGCCATCCACGAGCTTGAGCAAGCAGTTGGACAAACAGGAGCGCAACAAATTTATACTTTTTTACATTCCTGACATGCATGAGCAGTGGTATTTTGCAAAATGAAATCCTGTTTTTTTTCTTCTTAATTATAAAGGTTTGGTTTTAATAATCACATTATGCTGATTTCTGTAATCATGGCTAGCAGCAACTGGACTCTGATGCTTCTTTTTTTTACATCTGCTCTGTTCATATAGATTAAGCTGTGCAAATTGCCTTGGAAAGAAGTCTGTATTTTGCATTTATCTGGAACAAATAAAAACCAAGAGAGCTGTCTTTTTCAACATCTGTGTTTCAATATGGAAGAGCAATCTGCTTGCTTACTTTGGTCTTCCAGAAAAAAAAACCACCATATGAATGTGTGCATAGTAACTTCTCAGTAACTGGAAATAGGTTACATGTGTTTAAAAAGTTAGCATATATTGCTTTAGAGTAACACCTTTGATTTATAACTTTTTGGAGTTCCTTTGGAAACTCCTACTGGAATACAGGTTTGACTTCACGCTATTCAGGATCGTTAATTCTTATTAAAGTGGCCATCCATCTGCAAAAAACTCAATGATCCCTTTATTATTTTGCCGACCTCCTCCCTGCCAAGGATTTTCAGAATCATAGAGGAGCTTTGAGAAGTTTTGATGAAACACAATGATTGAATTAAGAAGTACAACAGCAGGCTAAATATAAGTAATACTAATTTCTCAAATGTGTGAGAAATTTTGTAGCAGTTCATCTAAGTAGCAAAGGATTAATAATTCATATAAAACATAAAGATTCAGTAAATCATCAAGTTAAGATCCTACTTGCTATTACATTTTCAGACATTATGAGTTAGCTTTAGAACTGCAACCGTCAGAATTTCAAATGTTAAATGTATTTTTAACACTGGTTAAGACTGCATAAGAAATTATAGAAGGTCACCCTTTTGAAAAATTTACCTGTGCATGCGTAATTTGATATATGTAACATAATGTATTATGTACATCAAGTTTGTATTGTGCAATTTTATTGCATTAAGTGCAGCACAAGCTGCATTTTATTTCAGCTTCTCCCAGCAAAGTCACTGACTGAGAGTTGCACTTCCATGGCAAAGATCTGCCTTTTAAGAAACTTCGGACACAGAAATACCATTTTTACTAGATGTGTACAAGGCCAGGCCTCATTGAAGGCACAGCTTTTCTCACAACTCTCATCATCTTTAACTGAAAAAGAATTAAGCAGTATGCTTCCTAAATATCCAACCTAATGTCAATAAAATTGTATAGGATGCACGGTGAGAAGGCGGAAGCCTTAGTGGTTTTACTGGTAATCAGTCTGTGGTTGAACCAACTGGTCCAAATGTTTGATTCAATTAAAAAAATGAACACTATTTACATTTGCTAAAAGGAGCAACAGCTGAAGCGCTGATGCTGCTGTGCTGACAGTTCCACACAATAATGTTTAAAGTAGAGAACTAAAATTAAACAGTGGTGTGAATCTGTACAGTATGTACAGTTTCTGTGCAGATCAGGTTGAGAAATGAAAAAGCTGGGAGCAGAGGAACATTGTAAGTTAATAATTATGTGTCTTGTTACCAGTATAATTTACCAATCAAAGGTCTAACTGCTTTGCTCTATTTAAATTAGAAATGTTCTTATTTTAATTACTTACTTTTCCTGCATACATTAGCAGTGAGAGAACGCATTGTGGGTGCATCTAATATGATGAAGAGTTTAAAGTCAAGTTTTTAAAGTTATTTTAATGATTTCACAAGTGTTGCAGTTTGCGTTTGTTTTAGTTTATTGTTTAATGGTACAGTCTCTGGTACTCCCATGTTCTCCACAAGCTGGTTCACCCCTGATTTGCATCCTCCCTAAAGCTGTCTGTCATGCCATTCCCCAGCCTTTGTTCCAGCTCCTTCCCTGTGGGCTGCATCACACAAGTGATTAATACTGAAAAAAATCCTGTTCTTCATACATGTGGCCTCTACTTCTCCAAGGAGTTCACAATAGCCAAAAAAAATCAAGTATTTTTTTTTTAAACTTAAAAAGTCAACTGATATCAAACATAATGAGTGTATCATATTCAATGTTAATGGATATTAACAATATTAGCTGAAAGAGGGCACAATGGCAGGCACTGCATGTGCACAGGAACTGCCATCAGCTTTTCTTTATCACACTTGCATCTGTTAGTGACGGCAGCAGGGGCAGCACAAGTGCAAACACCCTCAGGAACAGCTGAGGGTTTGCTTCATCTTCCTGGAGCCTTGCACTTGGGCCCAAGAGTCCGAGAGACACCGAGTGCTTCAGCTCACCTTGGGATTCAGATCAGCTGTTCAGGCCTGGTGACACCTGTGCAGCAGATCTCGAATCCACTATTCGACTAAATCGCTGGAGCTTTTAAAAACATCACCATTTGCAGGAAAGTCCTGACCACCTGCAGCTGCTAGCTCCGCAGCAATGAGGGAACAAGGGTTTCCAGCACAGGGACCACCACATGTCTGACGCTGCCAGGGTGCCTGGTCAAGTACACATAAGCATTTTTGTCCTCGTGAATCCTCACCTCCACTTTTCTGCCCTGGAGAAGACTCCTGCCAGCAGCTGAGTGAGGTTTGGTAAGAAGACAGTGAGGGACAAACTTCAGTCCTGTTGCCTGTATCCTAAGTTTTCCATAGCCTACAGAATTGGCTTGTGAGAAATGTTAAATTAACCAGGATTAATTGCACATTTTAACCTGCCCAAGCAAAACACAAGCAAGCAAAACCACAAGCCCAAGCAAAACAAAACAAGGTTGTGAAAGCACCTGAAACTGTTTGTATTTTTATTGTGCATTCTGTAAGTGCTTAACAATACCACACAAGACTGTATGGATCACATTGTCCAAGTATGGCACGTGCAAGAGGTAGCCAGATCTCCAAAAGTTTTCACAGGTTAACTCAAAGAGAAATTACATCAAATAGTATTACCTCATTATAGACAAGGCAAACCACAGAAGCCCACCGAACAAAGGCACCTAAATGGAAACAGACCTTTTGAAAGTCTGTTTCACAATAAATACTGTGTGCTTCTCAGAACTCTTTAAGAGATTAAAAATGGTATTAATCTAGTTAGGGATTGTCAACTTAAAGTTCCCAATTCAGGAGAAATGCAAGTGTAGCTTTCAAAAAATAGGTACAAAGGAAATAAACAAACCTCCCTTTTCCTCTTTCAAAATAAATTAATGGCCAGACCAAGTTATCACAGATTACTCTTCTTTCTTTCATGTACAGATGCATACAAATTAATGAAGTAATTCTCAGAGGATGAAATTAAGTTGTCAAGATCATAATCCACTTCAAAGGTAGGTCTCTCTCCAAAAATTACAAGAGCAAGAAATACAGCAAAGTGGGCAGTCAGTCCCCATATCTTGAATGACTTTCTGTGTTCCTGGTCATCATATATAAAGCAGTGTATCCGAGTTAAGTAACCTGAGGAGGTTTTATAAGAGAAGGTCTTGTAATTTAAGGGCTTGACAAAGTACTCCAAAGGCACAACAAAAATCTCGCTCACTTCATCTGGATTAGGAGTGACCTCAAATGTATCCTCCACAAATCCTACAACTGGTGTCACCAAGTTATTCATCTAAAAAGAGAGAAAAAAACCCCAAACAATAAATAAGTGAATTTTTAAAAAATCAACAAAACCCTCAAACACATTTATACCGAGTAAAAATGTTAATTACTTAGAAAACCATTTCATTGTTACAAAATGAATACAAGAAAAAGCTTATGAACTATTTTTAACTGCAATGCAGTTGCCCCATAATGGCAAGGTATTTATTTGACTTGGAGAATTTGAAATCATATTTTTGTATTTGTCAAAGATGACTTTACAAATGATCTGTTCATCCTGTATAATCATATAGCAGTTAAAAAGGCTTGCCACTTTGCTCCAGAGTAAAAAAGCATGCATGCTTTCTCATGGGTCGTCCTTATTTATGTTTTTTAATTCTGATTTTAATCCAGATTTTCCCTATCCTTCATCATATTTCTGTTTTGTTTCCCTGGGATATAGGAATTTTCCAGTATATGGGAGTATTTTTCTATAGGTACAGAAATATTATTGCAATATATTTAGCCATAAAATATGATACTTCTTGAAATACCTTATTTATGGGCATTTTAATTCTAAATGTAATCCCTATTTCCATGGGAAGACAAAATCACTGAATTCATAGTCTGCATCAACGAAACACCAAAATTCTTTAGGATACACTGCTAGTTCTATTTATTCACACTAACAAAGAACACTGTCCTGTAGAAAGGAGGAAGAGCAAAATAGTGTTTGTGGTATTTGATTCAAGTCTGGAAAGACCCCATCCAAGTCAGACGCACCTGGAATGTACCTATTGAGGAGAAAAAGTATCATCTGACATGTTCAAAACCCACACCACCTCTCCTACTGACTGAAGTAATTGGCTGGAAAACAGGGAAAATTTGATCCTTTTTACACACTACCTCTGAACTATGTGACTTTAAGGTTATCTGTAGAGAAATTGTAATTTAAGTAGTTAAGTAAAGCTTTTTTCAGTACAATTTCAAAAGTAGTTCTTTCCTTTTTTAATGGGGAGAGCATATTGCTAGCAGATAGAAGAACAGGAGGCATAGTAATAAACTGTTACCTGGTGAACAAAAATAGTCTTCATAAACAGCAGTTCCTCTGTTCTGTGGGAAAACTGATCCTATGTAATACTGAACACTGTTATAGAAATTGAGAGCCTGTTAATTGACAAATGGCGACCTACACTACAAAGACACCTGTGGGAGTCTCCCTGCTAGAGGAAGATGATGCACACAATCCCAGTGCATGTCCCCTCTGGTCTCCCTCTCTGTCTGCACTGCCCTGGAGTCAGCAGACAAGGAACAAGACACCTGTGAGGCTACAGCAGCCTGCTGCGACCCTGCCTGGGTGAGTGAGCTCTGCACAGCTCCAGGATGGAGATTATACAGCCTGTCAGGAACATCTGCTCCAGTTTTGGGCTGACCTCATAGTGAAGAAGATTTTTTTTTCTTATATCTCATCAAAATGTCCATGCTGCTGCTCTGTCCATTGCCTCAAGAAGAGTTCTAGTATCATCCTCTCTCTCATTCCCCAGGAGAAGGAAGCAGCCAAAACCCCTGGACGCTTTCAAGCTGAGCAAGCCCACCTCTCTCAGCCTGTCTGCTTATCACCCACTCAGTGTAGCCCCGTGACTGTGCTCATGGCTCTCTGCTAAACTCTCCCCACAACAGCACTGTCTGCGTGATACTCCAGTCACTGACTGGTGCCCCAGAGCTGGTCTCACAAATACCAAACACTGAGCAAGAGCCCTTTCCCTGGGCTCTGCTGGACCCACAGACTGTGCATGTGAAGAAGCAGCGCCTCTTGGAAGTTACATGTTTGAAAAGGTCACTGCCAACCACACAAAAGAAAAGAACCCAAATTTGTTCTGTATTGATATGCTGACTTACTTTATCAATTCCAGGCATCAGCCTACAGATGACTTCCACCTTCTCTGGCTGAAGACCCACTTCTTCTTTAGCTTCTCGGAGAGCAGTGTCAATGTCATCTTTATCAGTGGCTTCCCTTTTACCTCCTGGAAAACACACTTCCCCTGGTGATCTTCTCAGCTAGAATGTAAAGGAGTGCTACTGTTAAATATAACAAGGTTTATGTTTCTTATTGGATCCACACAGGTGCATGCTGGTATTGCAGCATCCCTTTATGTTTATCTTTCCAGTCAAAGAAGCTGGAAATGGTGGTTAAGGTTTCTGCAGAGCAGAAGAAACGTGCCTTAGCAAGAGTAGCTACCGAAGAAAATGCTCAGGCTATCCCTTGCTAATCCATAAACCCTCGCTATAAGAAATACACTGCACCTGTACAGCGTTGTGTAACTGTGGAACTTCTGCTTTAGTATGTCAAGGTTTACATTTTGCATTATCTTGTTAGCATAAATGACTGACAGGTGAATCCAGACAGACAACTTGTAGAGCAAGATTAAAATACTCTAAGAGCAAAAACTTTTGAAAGACACAATTAAATAATGTACCTGTGAGAGAGGAAATAACATTTTGCTTCAGCCCAAAAAGGTTATGCAGCAAAAGAATGAAAATGGTTGGTTCTGTTTCCTATATGTTGTTCTCTAGAGTTAGGATGTGTTTTGTGTAATAGGTTGGGTGTTGTTGAGAACAGGGAGAGGGGCAGGGTTGAAGACATGACCAAAACAGGAAGGATGAGAAGGGAAGGGACAAAAGAGTTGGCCGTCCACAGAGCTGAAGTTCCTGAGTAGCCAGTCAGTGGGAAAGGGGACAGGTCAAAGTCTCTGTGTGTGTGTGTGTGTGTGTGTGTGTGTGTGCGTGTGTGTGTGCGCGTCTGTGCGTGCGTTTTTATTTCTCAGCAGGGAGACACGCAGCTGACTCGTTACAAATTAAGTTCCTCAGTTATTGCTTCGAAGTCCCCTCTTAACTCTATCAGAAAGTGAGTTATTTCTAAGATACCTTTCAGCTATAAGTACATTCCAGTAGAAGGCTTGTGCATCAAGGATCAGAAAAAAACACATTTACAATCAATGTATCAGCTATGTAACTGGGATTATTTGTTTTTAAGCAAGACCCAGCAGCAGAAAAAAGTAATTCCTGAATACAGGCAGTTGATGCGCACAGGGATGGAAAACGAGAGTTGTAAAAGAAAACAAAATGCTAGGGAAAGAGTTCGGGGAGGCTTAGGTTGTTGCCTTTTATGTATAAAAGGGCGAAAATAGCATTATTAACTGCACACTGAAAAACCTCATTTAATAAAGCTGCAGTGCAAGCCAGTTTCCTCACTTAAGCAAGCAGGTAGGTAAGTAAGCAATCATTGCCGACTGTGGAATTACAATTTCCTGTCACGGGTTTCCGGATGCCGGCATGTTCCTGGCAGGCGAACACCAGAATGACGGAGTGTAAAAAGCACTGGCTGTGCCCTTGGGAAGGAGGGGCGGGACTGGGGATGCCCAGGTGCTGGGAGGGCACACAGCGATGGTTCCCCGGGAAGGATCGCGCCCCTCGGAGCTCCCCCCGGTACCTGCATGGAGCGGACGGTGAGCAGCAGGTGCAGCCGCCCCGCTCGCACCGTGAGCGGCAGCAGCACGGCGGCTCTGGGCAGCGGCAAGCGGGAGAACTTGTCCCCGACATCGAACTGCCTCAGGCGGCGCCGGGCCTTCTCCAGGACCCCCTGCCTAGGAGCGGGCAGAGCGGAGCACCGGCACCCTCCGGCCGTGCCCCGCTCACCCCCCGTCAGCCCTGGGCAGAGACAGGGACCGGGGCCCGGCTCCTCTTCCCGCTCTGCCGCCATCTCCGGCTCCGCCCCGGCACCGCTCCGGCTCCGCCCCGGCTCCGCCCGGCACCGCCCCGGCTCCGCCCGGCTCCGCCCGGCTCCGCCCCGCTCCGGGCGCGTCCCTGGCCGGGATCCGTGGGGCCGCTCCCTCCCTGCCCCATCGGGGCCCCACTGCTCCGGACATGCGGCGGCTCCATCGATTCCGTCCGGTCCCGCCTCAACTCCGGGGCCGGAGCGGCTCCCAGTGGGAGAAGGACCGTGAAAGTGCTGCGTTCGTGACCGCTCACAGAGCCATAGAACATGGAAGGGACCTTAAAGATCACCTTTTTCCTCCTCCATGGTGCTAGAAACGCACTAACTTTTAGATACAATTCAATGGGGGCAAATCGTTGAACAAAAGAAAATTCTTTATTAGTAGTAACGATTCAGCTGAGCCAGGTGTGTGCCTCCCTTGCCCAAGAGACCACACACCCACGCCCCCACTGAAATTGCTTCTTTTTATAAAAAGGTATAAAATCCTGGTCGGGGCAGTCCCTGTCCCCTTTCCCATTGGATGGGTACTCGGGAGCTTCCATTCTCTCCCAACCACCAGCTTTTCACAGAATCACAGAATGAATTAGGTTGGAAAAGACCTTTAAGATCATCTAGTCCAACCTATGACCTAACATCTCCTCATCAACTAAACCATGGCACTGAGTGCCATGTCTGGGCTTTTTTAAACATGTCCAGGGTTGGTGACTCCACCACCTCCCCGGGCAGAAGATTCCAGCATGCAATTACTCTTGCAGTGAAGAATTTTTTTCTAATGTCTAACCTAAACTTCCACCGGCACAGCTTGAGACTGTGTCCTCTGGTTCTGTCAGTTGTTGCCTGGAGAAAGAGCCCAACCCCCCTGAGCACAGCCACCTTTCAGGAGCTGTGGAGAGTGATAAGGTCACCCTTGAGTCTCCTTTTCTCCAGACTAATCAACCCCAGCTCCCTCAGTCATTCCTCACAGCACTTGTGTTCCAAGCCTCTCACCAGCCTTGTTGCCTCCTCTGGACATGTTCAAGCATCTCAATGTCCTTCCCAAACTGAGGGGCCAGAACTGACCACAGCACTCAAGGTGTGACCTCACCAGTACCAAAGACCTCCCTGCTCCTGCTGGCCACCCCATTCCTGATCCAGGCCAGGAGCCAGTGGCCTTCCTGGCCACCTGGGCACACTGCTGGCTCATGTTCAGCTGGCTGTTGACCAGGACCCGCAGGTCCCTTTCTGCCTGGGCACTCTCCAGCCACTCTGTCCCCAGTCTGTAGCGTTGTGGGTTGTTGTGGCCAACGTGCAGGACTCGGCACTTGGACTTGTTAATCTTCATGTTGTTGGACTCAGGCTATCTATCCAGTCTGTCCAGGTCCCTCGCAGAGCACACACTCCTACCCTTCAGCAGACTGACACATGCTCCCACCTTGGTGTCACTGCAAATTTACGGTCCCCTCCCCTCTCATCCTACTTCCTTTTTAGTCGGGTCTTCAACCACACCCCTCTCCCAGCAACACTCAACAAACCAACCTGAACAAATCCAAACAATCCAAACAACACCACATAGAACCAACACCTTTTGTGCTTTAACCTAATAACCTTTTGGCTTCAACAAAATGTCACCTAATCGCTCGCAATCCGTCCTTTCCTTTTATTACCCTTTTCTTTTGCTGAAGCCCTTGATTTAATTACCCTGTGTGGTCAGCACAAACTGGCTCCTTTTGTGAAGTACTTATAAATAAGATTAATCAGTTTTTTATGAGGTCAGTGTTAAATTCAGTCTATTTACAAGTTCCTGATTTGTCAGCTCACATTGCTGTCCATAGTTCTCCTCCAAGTACAGTAAGTTGTAGATACACTTGTGGTCAGTGCCTCCCATCAGCAGTTCCATCCCTGCTTGCTTGGATGACGCAAACCTCAGAGCGTAAGTGCAGCATCAAAGATTACCTTCTGTGTTACCCATACCTGCTTCCTGTTCTTTCTTCTAGTCCTGTGCACTAGACCAGCACACTGCAGGGATGTGGCGGTGAAGCATAGAAGCCATGACACTCCATCCAGCAATTTCCAAAGTCTTTGAACGTCATTTCCTATTCCTCTTTTGTCAAGGTCTGGTTTGACTCATATTCCCACTGCTCAACAGCTGAGGGATTGCAGCCCACACTGGAGCAAAAGTCTCTCTGGTGGCAAATACAGAGGTCAGTCCAGTCTTGCCCTTGACTGCTCACTATTAAATCAGCTTTTGAAGATTAAAGGGTCACTTCCTTGTACCACTGTCCAAGTTTGGGGAGGAGGTTTCACTGGTCCTTTGAGAGGCGTGAGACCACTCTTATTCTGCACTCCTGGTAGCTGTTTCAGTTGTTAAAAGTACCTGAAAGGGACCTTCCCATGCTGCTGTTAAGGTAGCATTGTTCCAAGATTTTTATTAGACCCCAATCTCCTGGTTTTACCTGGTGTATGTGAAAGTCTAGAGGTGATGTTTGGGGTAACAGCCCTTTTCATCTAAGATCCGTGAAAGAAAGTGCAATTACCTGCAAATAATTTCTGAGATATAAGTAATTAGTTTCAGCCATTGGTAAACTCTCTTCCCTTCCCAGATAAGGTAACCCAAACCACATTCCATAGGGAGAAACTCCCATGTCCTTTCTTGGAGCAGTTCTGACCCATAATAATGCTAATCTGGTTTCAATCGTTAATTTGGTAATATGGTTCTTAAGGATAGCATTCATTCTCTCCACACACCCAGAGCTTCGAGGGTGCCACGGGGGATGAATTTTCCAATTTATATCTAATGCAACACCTACAGAATGTCACATTTTTGAAGTAAAGCGTAAAGTCTCTGTATTTTGGGGAACTCAGTGTAATCTATTTGCATGTTTTGATAGGGTCTAAGGGCTAGGGCTCTTCCCTCACTAGGGTGTCAGAACTCAAAATGTCCCTCAGACATTTTCAGAGGTTCCAGGCCTTGGTCAGAAGCATTTTAGACCCTGGCAAGCAGCTGAAAACAGCTGTGATTTTGAGTTTGAGCCATGAAATGAGTTACCAACTTTGAAGGTGGAACAAGCGGTCACAGAGGGTTAGATGGTATAGTAGAAGTAATTACAAATTAGAGGGAAAATTTTTTGGTATTGTACAGGGGGTTTTACTTTGTACAGGGGGATCAGGAGGAAAGTGGGCCTGATCCTGTTCTTCCTCCTTCTTCTTCCTTGCCTCCATGTGCTTGGTGATGTTGGCACTCACAGATTGGTTTAGAGTAGAAAAGCACATTGTAACATAGATAGTAGGTATTGGGGAAAATCTGCCAACATATAATACGTAATATATCATATAAAAGATAGCAGCAGCCCGGGGCGGGGAGAGAGACGACGAAGCCACCAGGCAGTGAGGGTGTCAGGAGTGTGTGTGTCTCTGCCTGGGCCGCTGACCAAAGCAGCCGCAGCGGGCAAAGACAATCTTTTAGATAACGAGCAATAAACTGCCTTGAGACCGAACAAGAGGCTGCGGAGTTTTTCTTTGGAAGCACAGATTGGAGGAGAGACTTTACCACCACACGGAACCCCTGAATCAATCCCGGGGTTCTCACACTAGGGTGTTTTCTCATCACTTTTTTATTTATCTTTTAATAAATTGAGCATTGTTCAGTCACTCTTTGGCTACTGTAGAGACTCCCTCACAGCAACAAGTTCTTAAGAATTGATCACACTGAGTGCTTGAGCTCACCAGTGTATTCCTTGTTGTAGCTTAATTAAAATGTCTCTAGCAATTGCTTTATTCCTTATCTGCCTCCCCTCCCTGCCCAGCTGTGACCAGAACTACAGCAAAGGGGAAGTGCCTACAGCTGAGGGAAGGCTGTGGTTTGGTCTCTGGTTCTGTCTGTTGTTGCTGCCAGTGTTGTTGTTTGTTTGCCTTCTTATACATGCTAGTAAAGAACTGCTACTCCTTTTCCCATACCGTTTCTTGAAACCCCCTTAATTTCAGTTATAATAATTTGGAAGGAAGAGGGTCACATTCTCCATTCCAGAGAGGTCCCACAGACACCTGTCTTTCCAACCAAGACAAGCTGACAATTAACGATTTATTGCCAATTGTTTAATTAACAATGAACAATTAATTAACAACTAACAATTAGTCAATTAACTTAGGTAACTGAAAGATAATGAGAGGTCTTCACTGGAGCTTGGAAGGGTAGCTGCAGAGGTCTCTGGTGAAGGGTGGGAGACCATCAGCATCAGAAGACACGATGTTGCCGGCTCCTGCCAGATGCTCCAGCTGACACAAATGCTGTCACTCAGGTGCTGGTTTCCAGTGCACCTTCTTCTTGGGTCTCTGGCCTTCCTCGAGCTGCCATAAGGCAGAGAATTTCAATTTATCAAGACTGTTCTCCCGGGCTCTGCCTTTCAAAATCACTTGCACCCTCTTCTGAGTTGGCTTCAGGTTAGGAATCCTAGGAAGAAGGGGACTGGTGTTAGCCAGACGAACATTCCCAGCCAGCTGCTTTTCTGTCTCCTTGCAGAGCACACAGTGTTGCATCCTCTCTCTGTGCAAGCAGTGAGCAGCAGATTTAACAGCTGCACTCACTGCATGGAGGCTGCAGAGGTGCAAGGACAGGAACGTGACCAGTGACGTGCCTGGGGACCAGCTACAGCACACAGGGTTCCATGTAGAGAAGCAGGCCTTGCTTGTCCCAAAAGGAAGCAGAACTAGGGACTGGCTGGTCCCCAGATCTCTCATTCCAGATTTTGCAACCCACCAGGAGACTGATGTTTCATACAGTGTCTCCCTACCAAGGCCAGATGATCTTTCCATGCTCATGTGGGTGTTTCTGCTGCCCTTCTGGGGCTGCCCGTCTCCAGGCCCACCTCCCCATCCCAGTCAGAGGGACTGAAGGGAGGGTGTTAGTGGATGAACCAGGCTGTGCTTGGTGATGCCCAGCAATAGGACGAGAGGCAACGGGCAGAACATGAACAGGAAATTCCACCTGAAGCTGATGGAAGAACTTCTTGCCTGTGTAGGTGCCAGGTTGTCCAAGAGGGTGTGGAGTGTCCCTCATTGGAATTATTCAGAGCCCTCTGGAAAAAACCCTGTGCTCTGGGATGACCCCACCTGAGCAGGGAAGTGGGACCAGATGACCTACTGTGGTCCCTTCCACCCTGTCCCACCCTGTGATTCAGTGATACCCATCAGTAGCATGAGTTGGCAGATGTTTCCCACCTGCACATCATGGTGACCCCAAACTTCCCCACACACTTTGGGGAGAACTTTGCGTGAAAGGTCTGCTTCTGGCCAGGAGCAAGGATGCCACGGTCGGGGTTGATGGAGAACACTGGCAGGTCATGGATGAAATCTGGGAAGATTTCCAGGGAGGAACCGGCAGGCTGCAGAAAAAGATCCTTTGCCTTTGAGAAGCATATCTTCTTGAAAAGGTCTGGATTGGGCTGCGGCCGCTGCTCAGAGAGGCGCCGTTCCTTGGAACCCTTCCTCTGCTTGGACTCCAGCTGCTCCTCCTCAGAAAGTTGCTCCTGCTCAGAGGGCTGCTGCTCCTGCTGCTGGGAATCCTGCTGCTGGGAATCCTGCTGCTGGGAATCCTGCTGCTGGGAATCCTGCTGCCGGGAATCCTGCTGCTGGGAATCCTGCTGCTGGGAATCCTGCTGCTGTTCCTGCTCAGAATCCTGCTGCTGGGAATCCTGCTGCTGTTCCTGCTCAGAATCCTGCTGCTGTTCCTGCTCAGAATCCTGCTGCTGGGAATCCTGCTGCTGTTCCTGCTCAGAATCCTGCTGGCTCCTCTCAGTCCGCCGCAGCCGCTGTACTTTAGGACACATCTCAGCAATATGTTCCAGCTCCCACCAGTAACTACGCAGCAGCTCAGCGCGATTCCTTATAGTTGCATCGGAGAGGAACCGACCTGCAGGGAGGAAGAGGACACCTTTCAAAGACTTATGTTCCCAGCAACTCTGCCTCCTGCTGTACGTAGATGGGAGAGCTGGGATGCACTTGGAGCATCTCTAGCCAAGTACTTTGTTTTAGCAGGAAATAGAGCGTCTGGGAACAGGGTCTCTGCCTGCAGCACACGCTCCTGTGCCAAAGCAGGAGAGTTGCTTTTAGACAGTGACTTTGCATTTGCCCTGGAGTGAGGAACCGCAATCAGACAGTGGCTGCAGGGCAGGTCACTTGTTACACGACTTTTTTTCCCAGTCTCAGATGTCTCAAAGAGATGACCTGATGTCCCCTTCCCAGTCCTGACCCAGCACGTGGTTTTCCCCAGAGCCTGGCTCAGTCCTTTGCAGAGCAAAAGTGGCAGAGCAAGAACAGAAAAGGCTGAAAGGCAGAGAGGGACAAGGAGAAAACTCTCCAGCTGCAGCTGGAAAGATGCTGATGAAAGTGGACATGTGGACAAGGATGAAAAAGCAATTCATGTTTTGGGGTGAAATGCCCTTACGCATCAGAGTGAATGAGAATGGCTTGGTCACTGGTTCTCCATGTGCAGTGCCCTCCCAGGAGTATTCCAGCGCTGACTTCCCTTTATTGTGAATTTTGAAACTGAAAAGCAAGAAGGAGGAATAAAAAAAAAGTCCAATAAATATAAAGCAAATAGTAAAGTAACATTGTCTGAGGGACTCCTGGTACCAGTTTCTGCTGAGGAGCATCTTCTTCCCCAGGCAACCCTGCCATGCTCAGACTGCTGTCCTGGGTGGCCCAAAACAGTATTTCCAAGTCTGGATGGTCAAGAGGAAAGGGCCAACATGGTGCCCAGGACATCGAAGCTAAGGGGCTTACTCTGGACTTCAGGTCTTGGTTTGACTGCAAACTTATTCTTGAGCAGATGAGGACAGGTGACATGCAGTGAAAGCAAACCCATGGCTGTTCTCAGCAGAAAGGTATGGCAGCATTGAACCTCTCCTGACCACCACCACCTGCTTGGCTTTGTGTGCACATAGATGGGCCTGTGCTGCTTTGGGCTGGGGCAGAGTTCTGGGAATAGGGCACTGGGCCAGCCCTGGGCAAAGGCAGCTCCTGCTCGCAGGGCCCTGCCTGGCCTTCAGCACTCACGTGGTTGTCCTTGTCTGGAAGGGAAAGGTATCCTTGAACTGAACCTCGATCGTGTTCAGCTTCAACTGGGAGTAGGCAACAACGGCACTGAGGTACACCTCCAACTCCTGGCTGCTCTCCTCCACCACAGTGTGAGCTGGCTCCGGGGCTATCTCGAGCTCCTGCAAACAGAGAAGGGAGGAACCACTGAGCAGAGCCCAGAAAGTCAGGCTGAGAAGGGAACCTTCTGGCCTCCAAGATCAGCCTCACAGAGGGACTAGAAAGGACCACTCACTTTATCTTCCCTGGAAAGATGATAAAATGACAAGATGACTGCTCTGCTACAGTAGTTGTTTCTACCCACAGATCAAAGCAGTCACTAATATCCCAGCTGTTAATATCCCCATGGAGACTTCATCTGGTTTCCAGTCCCTGGACTTCAACCTTGTAGAGGGACTGACTCTTTTCCTGGTCCCCTATAAATCCAGCAGGTCTCAAAATTTGGCTTAAGTTCCCCTGCTGGAGCTCTCCAGATGGAGAACCCCAGACTGAAGAGTTCTAGAAAGCCCCTTTTTCTTCTTGTCTTAGGAGAAAGTACTCTCCAGGTGTCTTGTGTGGAGCAACAGCCACACTGCTGGGAGCTGGGGATGGGCATTTTGGGGTGGGAAAGATCTCACTTGGAAAGTCTCCAACTGCAGATGTTCTGATAGAAAAGAGGATGGTTTAGAAGCCATAAAATGGTCCAGAAACTCAGAAAGAACCTTCACCCAAGATGAGTGTGTGTGGCAATAATGACAATAAAAGCAAGAGTCTCTGGAGATGATCCTTCTCTGGACTCCTCCATACTGCCATACAGTGCCTGAGCTACTCCATGATGCAGAGACCACAACCAAAATCTCTGGTATCCATGCACACAAAACTTGGGAGTTCAATAGCATATGCAGGAGAATTGGATTTCTCTCTACTTCAAAAGAAGAGACAGAGTGCAGCAGATTTAACTCCTTGTTGGTGAAAAGGCTCCAAATGAGATGAAGAAATTTCTGACACCATAAAATGAGATAAAATCATAAAACATTGTCTCCCATTCAACATGGGCTGCAACACTTGTGCTTGTGGCACAGACTGATGGCTTGTGTGTGGCTAAAGGTCTCTTGTCAAAAGGCTTCCCCCTCTCGTGTGAGTGTATCTGGTCACTGTGCATCCACCTTTCTCCTGGAATGCACTGCTGGTGAACCTCACAGCTGTCCCATGTCCAGAGGAAGCAGGAGCTGCTCAGCCAGCAGTGATGGTGTTATGGTGGTTCTTTTTGTAAAAGCTGGTTGGCTTTTTTTGCCATTTTGCTTCTTACCTTCTCTATTTTAGGGAAGTCTTCTGGGTCTTTCCTGGTGGCCATCTTCAATGTGTACCTTGAGCACTTTTCGTCATCCCAGTCAGGAACCTTCCTTCGTGGCAGATCAAAGTTGATCTTGGTCACCTTACATTTCACAAGGTGCCTCCTGAAGGTGGCTGGGTCATCTGATTTCAAGGTCACTGTGATGCCCTTGGCACAGCCAGGATGGAGGTGTCCCACCTAGGGAGAATCAGGGAGTCAAGACCAAACTGGAAGCACTGCCAAGGGTAGGACTAACAGCAAAAGGGACTGATGTGGTGAGCAGCTGTGCCAGGAAGCTGCACCTCAGAGTGGGTTTGTGTGAAGTTTGATAGACAAAAGTATGAACAGAAGGTGCCACCTCCCATAACATGAAGCCTTTTCTGCAAGGCTGGCAGCCATGGCCCAGCCAAGCCAGGGACTGCCTCTCCTACGTGGCACTGGAACAGGCTATCACTGGTATGTGAGCACTCCCTGCCAGCTCCTGGGAACACCAGGGCAGGGCTTGAGCAATGGGGAAAGGCAGAGCAATCCACGCTCACCTTGGGGGAGAACTGGAATGGGGCGTCTGCCTCCCACTCAAAGCGCATGAACTGGTTACGGGTGTGGTTGGTGATGGTGATGGTCCTGCAGCAGCACTCCCCGACAGAACAGTCCCCAAACTGGAGGTGATTCACTCTGACAGCTGTTAAGGAGGAGAGCAAGGGATCTCAGCATGCAGGGAGCTCCACCTGCTCCCCTCACGTGCACAGACACCTGCATGTTCAATGCTTCCTTGCTCCAAGCCTTCCTCCCTCTGGGAGGGCGTTCCCCAGGCAATTCCCCATCCCACCACTTCCAGGGAAACACCCTGACACATCCCTAAGCCAGCGATGTGCAGCACAGCACACACTGCTCTCATGCATGGCTGCCATGCCCACAGGCCACCAAGTCCCGTGGGTGACAGCCCAGGCCTGGCTAGAGAGAGGACACACATGATCAGACATTTTCCTCTTCCTTGCTCCACCTTGGCAGCCTCTCCTCTCTTACCATCAATGATGTCTTTCTTCAGAATGCTCTCAGTATACCCCTCCTCTGTGTCTTCCTCTAGGCCATCGAGGGTGAATTCATCCCTGTGGCCTTCACCCACCAGCTCTACTAGGGTTTTGCTAGAGATGTCCTTCACGAACAGACAAATCTTCCCTTCCAGACGTTGAGCCAGGGTGGGTTTGAAAATGACATCCAACTCTGTCGATTGCCCGTGATGCAGAAGGAAGAAAGGCTTCTTTGGGGCATTGCTCTCTGCACAGCAATGGAAATCAGAGTTAAGTGATAGAGCCATACAGAGGAAATATTTCCACAGGATATATGAGGAATAAGAAGTTGAAACCAGGTGCCTTCTAGGCACAGGTTCTACCCCCACTGGTTCCAGACCCTCTTCCTCTGTTCACAAGACTGCCACCTCCAGACACATCACCACTTAAGCAGCTTAAGCTCAGGCTGATGCCCAGCCCTCATTCCATCTGCTTCCAGCCAGCTCCAGCCACATGCAAAGCTGAGCCAAAGAGTGCTTTTGGCTTCTTCTGCTGGCTGTGTGTTCAGGCTGGTACCTTCCCACATGCAGCAAAAACTTCAGAGGGTCCACTGAGGTAGTGACAGTCCCCCACAACTCAACCCACCATGTCTAGAAGAACAGAAGAACTTCCTACAACTTGCTAGGAAGAAATGCTGCAAGAAAAGCCCCAAGAAAAGCTTGGGGGACAGAGAGCCCAAGGAACGACACTGTGCCTAACATCTGGCTGCTGCTCAGAGAAGCCAAGAGCAGGGCACACATTTTCCCTCTGTGCATGATCACACTTCATGGTTAATGAATTTACCATTTCCAATGGAGTCCTCGTCCACATCTTCAGTGCGGAATACCTCGAGTGTGGAGGCCCTGCCTTTCAAGAAGAACGCTCCATGCTCATCCTTTAGGCGCAACATAAACTGAGAAAAGAGAAGCCAGAGCACAATGATACTGGTGTGAATACAGGATGGCACAGGGACTGACACTGCAGTGCTGCTGGTCCCACATGGGAACCCAGCACCTCTCCCACTACCAACAGCACTTAGTTGACTTAGTAAAGTCAAACCAGCCTAGAACAAAGGGTGTTCAGAGGCATCTGGATAGAACTGACACAAAACCAAACAGGACAGAAAGTAATGAGCAGAATACATTCTGCTCATGAAACCACATCTAAGTCTACTTAAAATGTAGTAAACTGGGATCAAATACAATCTAATGGAACTGGGAAATCACACGTATCCATGAGAACAAAAGGTGACCTGAGAGACAGGGGGGAAAATACTCCACCACCTTTCTTGTTTTCAACTTAAAGAAGAAAGACTGGACGGAAAATTTCCAAGAACTCCCTTCTTGGAGAACAGACGTCAGTCACTTGCTTAAAAAGAATTTCTAACACCTCTTCCCAGGTCTGCCATGTTCTTTGGGACCCTTCCTGTGTGTCACAAGCACTTGTTCCCAAACCAGACCATTCCTCGAGCAGATCCTCCTCACCTTGAGAGATATGATGCCATCGTTACGGATGACCAGGGGCAGCGTCTCTGAATCCCCCACCTGGAGCCTCTTGAAGCGCAGCAAGGCATTTCCCCTCTTGGTGCGAGCACTTGGGCACACGACTGTCAGCTGTGGCTTGTGCCCCTTCCCACTGATGGTGAAGGTCAGGATCTGGGGTTTAATTTTCACAGGGCTGCAGGAGAGGCACAGAAACAATTTCAGCTGGCACTAACCAATTTCTCACTGGGCAAGGGAAGCAGCAAGGGCCAGAGTGTTCTCCCTGCCTGGTTGCTCCTGTACCCCACAACACAGTCTCCCAACAGCCTCTTCCCAATCTACTCAGGGCCATTCACAAGAGGAATCTGCTCCAAAGAGCCAGAGCCTTCCACAATAACAGTTAAAAATAATTTCACTTTATTGAATCATGCAGTACAGCAAGTAAATGAGGCACCAGATGAGATACGGCAAATCCCCGGGCTGCAGTGAGAGAAGACTTATGCAACAAGCAAAGGCACAGCATGAAAGCAAGAAGGCAACAAAATCATCGTCACCATCAGTAAAGATCATTTCCAAGAACAGCAAAAATGCAATTGCTTATTAGCAATTAGATTTCTCTTGTTCCAATTCAGCCACTAAAGAGTTGAGGAAGGGCAAGTCAAAGCCCCAGTACACAGGTCCCAGGGCAGAGGAACCTAGGCTCCTCTTTCATACCAGCTCCAATCACTCCAAAACAGCTTAATGAATGCCAGGTAATCACAGAGGATCATCTAATTTTACAGAAATAAAGAGGAAATTGTGACTGCTGACTTGCTGGTACAGAAACTGCTTCATCTAAGCCTCTGTCCTTGGAAACCCCCAGCTCAGCTGCAGCACATCTCAGTAACTTCTGGCTGGGTACCTAATATTTGCCTGTCTTCGTAGTTCCTCATAAAGGCTAAACCATCAGCCTAATTTTTCTTTTCTAAGAGTTACTGCCTCCCAGATCATCTCATACCAAGAACTCTGCCTAAGGCTACTGAAAGCATTAGTGCTAACAAGAGGTCTGTTCCTTCCCAGAGGAGAGGCAGCTATCAGTGAGGCCTCCCCCAATATTTCACAGGGTCAGTTACCCTTTTGGGATGTCAAAGAAAGCCTTGAAAGTGCAGTCATAGTTCTGTTCATCTGGTGGGGTGAAGGTCACCGTGGCAACGGCATGGGATGAGCCAGGAACAGACATCTTGACTGGATCCAACTTGAAAATGTTTCTGATAGGGATTTGTTCCTTGGGGGAACCAGAGAGCAGTGTTAGGAGAAAACACCTTTCAACATGACACGGATTTATACATAAATGCATTGCTGAACTCTGGGCAGTGTGTCTTCCTTCCTGCTTCCCTGGGCAGGCTCCCTCCCTCCCAGGGAATGCTGACCTTGTGCTAAAGTATTGTGTGTTTTGAGTGTTGGCAGCTGCCCCAGCCTATATGGGAGGTGGGCACTGCGTGGAAGACCCTGCAAATAACCTAGAACTGGCCTTCAAAGAGAAGGAAAAGCCGGGAGCCTGAGGAAATGCTCTGCTTTAGCCCTGGCATGTCAGGTCATAACAGCCCCTCTCTGCATGTGCTTCCAAGAGAGGTTCAGAAGGAGTCACTTCTCCCACTGAAGACCCAGAGGTGTGAGCCAAAACCTTGCCCAAGACATGCAGAATTCCACACAACTGTTCCCTGGCTCTGCTGCTCTCCCCTGCAGTTTGAGCTGCACTGATCTAGCCTAGTCTGGGCCACAGGCAGCAATGCATCTGGAGAACAAAACAGGCTCTCACACGGCCTTTGGAGGACAACCACCACCTTGGCCTCCTGTTTTTACCTTTCCAGGCAGGGGCTTGATGGAGAGGACCACGTCACATGGCAGACGGCTTGCACTATAGATCTTGAAATGAGCTTCAGCCTCTTGCCCAACCAGAACCTTGTGGAAGATGAATTGGTTCTCATCTCTGATGAACAGGCCCGTGCCTGTCACCGACTGCAGCATGTGGCTGAGGTTGATGCTGCTGCAGATTGGGTACTCCTCGAAGATTAACATGACATCCTCAGAAAATCCTGTGGACACACCAGAGGAATGAGCACGGAGGAGCCTCCCTGATGAGTTTATCTGGACCCTGCTGGCCTCTCAGAAGACTTGCTAAGCCCTTTCTGCCCGGGTGACTGCTAAAGCCAGCATTGGGTGGGGGAGCTGGCTGTGAGCATGGAGCTCAGTCAACCTCATTCTTAGCATTGCTTTCCTTTTATCCTTCCATGCATCCCTCTCAGCCTGGGAGGGATGAGTCCGCTGGTGGACTTGAAGAGGGCTGGAACCTCTGAGGATTTTAAGGTGGGACACCAGGGCTAGCGTGTCTCTCTATCCAAGCAGCAAGTTTAGGTGCTGATCAGCAGCAGGTGTGACTGTGGGCAGAAGGTACCTGGGAGGCAGGACTCGGCCATCAGGGTAAAGGGAATGCCGAGGGGATTGTCCTCGGGGTCTCTGCCTGGAATGTCAATGTAGAGCTGCTCCTCACATGTCCCCTCCTGCCCAGCAAGGCATTCCACTGTGATCTTCTGCTGACCCCACGGACGGATGGAGCCAGAGCAGGGGGACACCGTGAACATGCCAAGATTGAGGTGACCCTGCAGAAAAAGTTCCAGGAAAGGCTGATGGCTATTAGCTATACCTTCAGCACCCCAGCAAGGAATATGTCCTGCCTTGGCCACCAGCTGGGCCCAAGCACCCAGTCCCAGAGCAGGGAAGGATGACTCCATGGCCCAAAGGCAGCCCCAGGTTGAGAGCAACAAGCCAGGAGGAGCTGCAAATCTGTCCCAAGTGGCAGAGAGAAAGCAGTTTGAGTGTAAAGAATGAAGGTGGTAGTTGTGATCCTTCAATCTCCATAGGTAACACAGGAGAGCAGAAATATCTGTGAGAAATGATGGGAGAGAGGTAGGGACTGGGAAGAAGAAAAAGCAATGTTGTCTGAGCTCTGTGGACTGGGAGCTCAATGGGAGATGTTTTTGCTTCTGTGGTGTCCACAGACCTATGCTGGCTCACAGTTACCAAACACAGGACCTGTTACAGAATTTCTGAGAGAGAGAGAGCATGATTTATGTCTGGAGTGAGAATTGAGCTACCCACTCAGACTCGGTCCTGATAAGCGGCCTTGAAGGGGCCTAGAAGCCTTTGATGCAGTGAGAATTCAGTTGTGGCGCAGTCAGAAATTATGTTAAGGTAACTACAAAGTAATGAGCTATCCGAGCATGAAATAGAATAGAGCTGCAGTGTGAAAAGTCTGACCACCTTAAGGCAAAGGTAAACAATGTCAGCTTGCCAGTCAGAGTGCCTTTGTAAACTGTAAACTATGTAGAAGTGTATATAAACTGCCATCTTATGACGAATAAGGGGAGAACGTTGCATTAATCATATTGGTTGGATGTGCGTTCTGTCCTGTTCAGCTCTTCTGTTTTATGAGGTCCCTGGCTTTTAGGACCTGCTCCCCTCTGTTGACCCGACAACTCCAGGTCAGAGCCAGTGTACAGGACTGCCAGGGGGACTGAGCAGATACTGGACTCCATCCGGCAGACCACGTCCCACCCTGTGCCCAGCCTGGGCACAGCAGCATCTTCTCACATCCCCTGCAGCAGCACTGCTGGGGAGCAGGAGTCACTCACCTGTGACAAAGAGCTTGATTTCCTTGATGAGGTCTTTGTAGCTGATGCAGCAGATTCCCCTTGCTTTAAACTGAGAAGAGAAAGCAGAGGTATCTGTCATGCTGAGCTCCCCTGCCTTTCTCTGAGGCCAAAGCTGGCTTCCTCCTCACAGAGGAAAGCCTTTGTGCTCTGATGGCTGCCAGAGAGCAGCCTGCAGCACCCATTGCTGGACTGAGCAGCTCTATCACAGCTTTGTACTACACATGTGGATACCGAGGCCTTTTTCTGCCCCCTGTCCCCAAGCCAGGGATGCGGATGGACGATAGCCCAGGTCTCCTGGCTGCCTGCCCCATACCAGCCGTGGCTGGTGCCTCCTCACACAGGAAGGGCGGTGCAGGGCTTCTTGTACCTTTTGCTTTCTGACGCAGATGCAAGCTCGGGTGCTCGGCGGACACGGAATTTGAGGTTGAGCGCGCCTTTGTTCTCCAGCACGACAGCCTGGCTCTTCTTGGTGCCCTTGATCACGGCACCGAAGTCGATGGGTGAGGCAGGCTCAATGCTGTACTTGCTGTACTCGGCTTTCGCTGACACCTTCACTGGGATGCTGGTGACAACCTGGCCTCCTTCACCTGAGCGGGCATCTATCACCTGTGTCCACAGGAAGGGAGGTAACCAAAGCAAAGGGGCCAGCCTCCACCCCAGGCCTCCCTGTTTAAGCACCTCCTCCAGAGTCAGATGCTCAGCTCCACTTAGGAAGCCTCCCAAATGGTTTTGAAAGACTTTGTGTATGTAGGAGAGAGAATTCTCCAGTAAAACCCTCCTTTCATTAGACACCTACTCTGTTTACGCTCCCAGAACAACGTGTGATAACACAGCCTGGCCCAGCCAGCTCACCTGGCAGGAGATGATGGGCTCATTCTTGAGGAGAATTTCACTTGTGGGGTGGAAGAGTATCTCAATATTCACGCCACGCTGGGAGGCAGCCAGCATGCCTGACTGAGGCTGAACAGTGAAGTGGGATGCCACGTTTTGCATTCTGCGACCTGCACCCTTCAGCGTGAAACTGGGGAGAAAGGGAAGGAATGGAGATCTCTGCAGTTAAAAGTACAGGTGCCACCAGCACAGCCAGGACTTTGCACAGGACCAGACAAAAAAGGGAGAATCCAGCTCTGCTCAGGGAATCCTGGATCTTGACAGAGAGTTCAGACAATCACGAGGTTACTGCAAGAAACCTTGACACTGTAATTTTTCATTCACTTCTTACAGAGTCTCAGAAAAATAAAGCAGGTGACCATCAAAGCAAGTCAATGATCTCAGCATTTCAGTTACTGAAATTTCTGGGGCTCTCATTTGAGCTCCAGCTGAGCTGTGAAGAACTGCTGGTTTGGGGCTGGATTCTCTGGTAGAATAGCTGAGATCAGAGAGCCCAGGTTTTGTATTTACCATGAGGTAGCCAGCATGGAAACAGATTCTAGCCATTGACAGAGGAAGAAAGCAGGCCTGGGAACCCAAGGAAATGCTCACTACCAGGCAGCTGGACTCACCTGTACTCAGTGTTGTATACCCCTTTGTTCTTCAGACTCAGGACTTTCTTCACATTATCCAGGACACTAATGGTTCCAAATTCCAAGCTTCCATCTGGACCTGCAGAAAGCCCACAGAGCGAGATCAAACACAGTATTTGTGAGCTGCTGCAGAATACAACAGGCCACAAGCTACATGGAGGTCTTGGAGCAAAACCCTTTTCAGCAAGTTTCCATTCCTGAAGGTGTTTTCCAGCTACTTGTCTGCCCTTTTTCTTCTCACTCAAAATATCTGCAGGCTCAGTAGCTAAAGATCTTGCCTTCCATTTCCTCACTTCCAAGCACAATTCCAATTACTTTATATGCTGTGCTGAGCCTGTGGGGGCTGCCAACTGCCTGGTCAGATCACTGTTGTTTCAAAGCCCCCAGATCCAATCTGCACATGAAGCTGCACACTTCAAAGTTCAGAGGGGAGAGACTTAAGGCTGTCAGTTCCCTGACATTACTTTAGTTCATGCAGGTTGCAGGTACCTGCTTTATGTATCCATGCCATGCTTGTATTCCATCCCATCCCATGCCAAGTGCTTTGGGATGCATTACCTCCCAGGGTAATGCAGTGCACCAGGACTGCTTTGTTTGGGAGGCATCCACTGACCTTCAGGCATGTTGAGGCTCACAGAAACCTCATAGACTTCTGCAGAGATTTTGATGTTTTCAGTCTGAACAATCCCCAGGATGTTTTCTGTATCTGAAACCTGAGGCATCAAGAAACAAACACTGTTCATATTGTTCTTTTCGTAGACAGCCTGAAGTCCTTGTCTCTGCTGGCTGCTTCCCCTATGGCCTCCCTGGCTTCACAAGCGTTGGTGGACTCCCAAGCTTTGCTAACCTGTTCCTCTCACGGGCTGCCCCAATGGGATTCTACTGCAGTAAAAAACCCTATCAGCAAACTCTGCACTCCCACAGTGGGGCATGCTGCTGCTAAAGCATCCTTGAGAGGCACAGGGGTGTAAGAACAACCACAAGAAGTGTGAGGTGTCTCAGAGCAGGTGGCATTGACAACCCTCTCAATCACCTAGCACCCTCTCTGAAATGGAGCCCCTAATCCATGGGGAACAAAATCCCAGGGGGAGAGTTTGTTGCACTATGCAAGAGCTTCAGACAAAGTCCGGAAGGAATGTAGAGATCACGCTGCAGTCTGTACAACCACACAACCTTCAACCACTCACAGGGACAAGGTGGTTGTGGTACAGGCTCAGGATGCAGTGTCTGGTTATCTGGGGGGATGTGGATGCACTGCACGTTCTGGCAAACGCTGTGTAGAGGCAGAAGTTGGGGTCACAGCACCCTTGTGTCTGTCAGGTGCAGCTCTTCCTGACCCTGTCCCTAGCAGCACACAGCTGCTCACTGTGCCCTGCTCTGCCAGGCAGGGCACAGCCCCTCTCACCTCTAGTCGGAGGGTCTTCTCAATGCTGCCAATCTGCCCGGCCCTGAAATGCACTGTCACTTCCAACTCTGAGCGAGGATCAATGGTGCCTTTATCTTGTGACAAGGAGAAGTCTTCAGCAAGGTCATCCAGCCCACTGAGCTGCCAGGCCATGGGCAGCAGGGTGTTGTTTTTCAGGACCAAGGTCCTGCTGTCAGTCCTGCAGAGACAGGAAGGCACTTGGCATCAGCTGCTGGATGGCCACACCAGCCTGGCCACTGAATGCAACTTGGAGCAGCTCCATCCATGCCCTGGAAACCAGAGTCAAACGTTTTCTCTTTGTCACAAGACTTGGAGTGCTTGTGGGATGACTGACCTGTGCAGAAGCATCTTGTCAAAAGACAGCTCCAGGGGGCTGACCTCCAGCTTCACGTGCACCCCATGGCAGCACAGGCTGAAGACCACTGGCTCCGGGTTCTTCCCAATGCTGCAGATGAGTTTGTCTTGCAGGAAGCCAGGGGAAGTGGGGTAGGCCCAAATGGTCAGCTCCTGGACACGGCCCCACAGGAAGAAATTGAAAGAGCTCTGTGTGTGAGCAGGAGGAGCAGCCCCTGGGCACTTCTACAGTGCCTGCTCTGCCTGCCCTTCTCCTACCTGCTTCTGCTTTGGTTTCAGTGCCATGCTGGGAGGGTCCAAGAGGAACGTCGCTGCTTCCCCAGCATTCTCAAAGGAGAACTGGACCTCTACGTCCATGGGGGAGTTGTTGAGGATGGTTATATTCTCCAAGTTGCTGGGACAGTTCTGGGCCTTGTACCTGTCCACAAAAGGGGAAAAGGCTGCAGAGCAGACTGTTGCCTTTGCCACACACAGAGGAGAGCACCGTGTGCACCCAAGGAAGCAGTGCTGGAAGACCCTACTCTAACAAACAAGTGAGGGAAATGGATCCCAGTCAGGGGCATGGGCGTGTGCTCAGCCTTGCCTTACTCTGATGCCTTCCCCTGGACTTGGTGCCTCCTGCCCAGAAGCCTGATGATGCTCAGGCCACTTTGAGAGTTTTTGATACAATGCAAATTCAAAGGTGCCCAGAAAAATAAAAATACACCAGGCACATGGGGTCTTTCCCCTTCTTGGGGTGCCTTCCCTGCAGGGTATAAAGAAAGGCTTTTGGAAAAAGAGTTTAGCTAATCTCTTTCATAAAAGTCATAAAAGTGCTTTGGATTTCATGGGTTAGCTCAAAGTCTGAGAAAGAAATATAAAGCATCAATTCCCAAGAGGAATACAAAAAGATAACAAATGACCCTTCTCTCAGGTGTGGAAATGACTTTGGAGTGAAAGGGCTAAAGAGAAAAACAGAGATCCCAGACCATCCATCAACCTGGCTAAAGATTATATGTTTTTAAAATTATTTCAATTTCATTTCCTTTGGATGTCAAAGTAGGCCTAAGCTCTCCAGAGCTCCCATGAAGACAAGAACTTAATGTTAAGTATTATCTTTTTTTAAATGTGACAGTAAAAGTAGAAGTACACAATAGCTTCAATGGCAATGTGTTTAGGTAGACTTTATCCAGCAGTGAGGATGCAATGTCTTTACAGGAAAATGTAATTCCTGATGTACGTTCCTCGCGACACCCACTGGCACGTCAACCATAAAATCTTATTAATAATTACAGATCAATGAAAGGTTTACAAAACCATCTATAGAATAATTGCTTGATCAGGCTACCTGCAGAGCTCAAAGCACTTCAACCCCCCCCCCCCCCCCCATAAAGTTAATTTGAAGCTGACATGTGGGGGGACACAAAAGTTGTCCCCCAAGTCACCTTTGGACTGGCAGCAGCATGCGGCTCTGGCCACCAAGGCACCCACTGGGCAGGCAGAGCAGCTCCTCCAAGGCTCATTTGCCTCTAATCTGCTCAAGTTCACACATCTGTGGTCCTTCAAACCCATGTGTCTCCCAGGATTGTGCCACTGGGACAGCCTGTCTCTCCAGGTGTGTCCAGAAAAGTACAAGGCCCAGCAGGGAGCACGTACCAGTCTCTTGATTTCCCACACAGCAGTGGTCCAAAGTGGAATTGCTTTGTGCTCTCAACATACTCCTTGAAGATGATTTCATCTTCCTCCATGGCCTCCCTCCACTGTGGAAACACCACCCTGGGCAGAAAAGTGGGGAAGGAAGAGCTATGAGATGCTCCAAGTAGGAAATGTAGTCAGAAAGCCAAAACCCCTCCTGGAGGCTGAGGTACCATCTGCCTTGCCAGCTCCAGCACAGGAGGAGGTGCTGGGTGACCTCAGGCAGCACGATCTGCCCAGGCAGAAGCCCCAGGGGTCAGCCCTGGCTGTGGTTCAGGGGCAGCAGTGGTGTGGGGGCTGCCAGGGGCCAGCCTTACCATGGGTCCTGGCTGATGCTGGGGTACAGGCTGGTGCCACGGCAGGGCAGCTTGTACTGGCGCTTTGTCTGCACGAGCTCAAACCTCAGCGTCTGCTCAAACTTCCCTGGCCTTTTGGCGGAGAAGTGAACCTTCAGTTCCACCTCACCGTGGGCAGGCACTACCCACCGGTACCGTTTCAGCCTGGCAATTAAAGAGGAGCCTTCAGACATTGCTGAGGAGCAAACCAAACAAGGAGGGTGCACTCGCCATCCCCTGGAGGCACTGGCACAGGGTCGCTGTGGAGCTGGGGATGATGGGCCTTGTTTGGCAAGAGGACCAAGAAGCAGAGGCATCACCTCCTCCCGTGCGGCTCACCTGAGGAATTCTGTGGGGACTGAGGCACTTTCCAGTGTACTTTTGGATCTCATTGCAGAGGAATCCTGGGGACTTTCTGTTCTCTGTGTGGAGATCTGCTTCTCCTTTGCAGAGCTGTCTCTGCTGGCTGCTTCACCTGTCTTTGGTTGGCCCTCGGCAGAACTGCCCTTCACATCTGGGGCCTCGGCCTAAGGGGAGGGAGAAAAGGGAGAGAGAGGTGAGCCCTGAGACATCCCTATCCTGGAAAGCAAAATGGGAGTTTGTTCACCAACAGAAGAGAGAATAAATAAGTAAGTCCACCTTCCCATGGACTTGGTCTTCCTTATTGGTGTTTGTTTTACCTAGGACACTCCTTCTCACTCAGACCCTTTCCTCAAAGGAAGTTGACGGTTTTAAGTGATTTTTTTTTCCCGTCTTGTCTTACAAAACCGCTCTGTCTCCACAGAGCTGTCTCTTTTGTCCCATCCCTGACAGAAAGGAGACCTGCAGACACAGGGCCCCATCACATCTTCACTACCTCTCCACCGTGATCCTTTTCCATCCAACCTGTCCCCCATGTCCCCATCTAGCCTGGTCCCTGCTCTGGCACCACTGGAGCACCCACCAGATTGTCTTCCACAGCAGCACCTTCTGGTGCCACAATGGTGAAGGGCTCCACACGCCCTGCAGGGCCCAGCCGCTCCTCTGGGTACTCGACTATGGAGAGCACAGCAGCAGGGGCAAGGGGAGGGCCGTCGGGATGCAGTCCCACATGCTGCAGCATCTAAAACAGAAGGGAAAATCCTCTTTATACTTCTGCCACCTTCATCCTCACAACTCCTTCTTTAAAGGCACTGAGCTTTTGACAGTGGGGTTTTTAATTTACATGAAGTACAAGTGCTTTGTTATGCCCAGTGGAGTGAGCAGAGTCAAGAGTTCCAAGCAGGACTGGGAGAGAAACCTCTCCCAAGTGACTCAGCTGAAGAAAACAATGACTGTGAGCTGCCCTGTCCTGGGGCCGTTTATGATTTCCAGGCTGGGAAACTCTGAACAGATGGGACACTTGTACACAGAGCACTCCCACTTCCTGCCCATCTGAGGGATGGTGATAACCTCCCCATCCACACAGATGATACAGAGTCATTGTGGAACAGCATCAGGGGCCTGGACAAGGCTCTGTGCCATTATCTCACAATGCTCCAGGGCCCAAGACCATGACAAGCTCAAGATCTGAGCCTTGCAGGGTGTTACCTCGTCTTCCGATGGCAGCTTCCCATCCCTCAGGATCTCCCCGATCATGGCCTTTGGATCTGAGACCTGGATGTCCAGGCACGGCACCCCAACATGCTCGTCTCTGACTGCCCCCTCTGCAGCTTCACTTTGCATCTCCAGCTGAGATGACTGACGACTCCTTTGGTCTCCACTTTTTTGTTCAAGCTTCTCCAGCTTCTCCTGAGGCTTATTGGTCTTCTGACCTTTGTTTTCAGCTGAAGACTGGGACTTGTCTCCCTTTTGGATCACAGGTAACTGCATGGTACCCTGAACCCTGTCCCAGTAGGACAAAACCTCTGCGACGTTCTGCTGCGATGACTCATAGATCTGAAACCTCAGGATCAAGTTCTCCATCTCAGATGGGTCCTCTGGGATTTCAGTTTCCCTCTTCTCAGGGACTTTGGTTTCCCCTTTATTTGGAGCTTTGTATTTCAACTTCTCTGGGATTTTGGTTCTCTTCATTTCTAGGATTTTGGTTTCCTTCTTCTCTGGGGCTTTGATTTCCTCCCCCTCAGGGGATTTGGTTTCCTTCATTTCTGGGATTTTGCTTTCCTCCATTTCTGAGGGTTTGGTTTCCTTCTTGTCTGAGAATTTGGTTTCCTTCCCCTCTGGGGCCTTGGTTTCCATCTTCTCTGGGGGTTTGGTTTTCCCCTTCTCTGGCTGTGGAGGTTGCTTCCTCACAGAGACACCCTTCTTTTCCTTCTTCTGCCTCTCTTCCTCATTCTGCCTCTCTTCCTCCTTCTGCCTCTCTTCCTCCTCTAAGGCTTTTGCCTCCTCCTCAAGCTTTTGAGCCAGCCGCTTCTGCTCCCTTCAGCAAACAAAACAGAAAATATCACTGAGAGTCACCACCAGAAACTTGGGCTCACTAGTCCTGGCTGGCCCTGCACTTCGTTCCTTGACCCCGAGGCCAGGCAGAACTGTGAGACCATTTCCATGAATTTTCCTCAACCCACAGAGGTTGGGAACATCCCAAGTGAGGGGATTGGTGGAAGGAGACCTCCAGGACCAACCAAACCTAAACCTTGCCATCATAAGGTCTTGACTGTGCAACCTCCCTCTTAAGGCACACCCCAGACACCTCCAGCCCACTGCCAAAGGCTGATCCACCAGCTCTCTGTGCTGATGCCTAAAACCCCCTTTCATCTCATGATTTCCCAGTTTAAAGCAGATCACAAATTGCTAACATCTGCTTCTCTCTCCTACAATTCTTACTCAGCTCATTCAGCCCCTTTCTCCCTGGGCATAGCCTGCTCTTAATGAGAACAATCCTATCAGAAGGCAAAGGCTGCAGGAACCCCTCTCCTGCAAGACAGGCTCTTGTCAAACAAGTTTCCTGCTGGAGCCAGCTGTGACCAAGCAAACCAGTGCTGTCTGCCATGGAAAAGATTTGAAGCAGCCTCGTCCATCTCCTCCCCATGAAACCAGCTTGAGCCTGGGCTGAAGGAAGTCCTGATACACAGGCTTGCTTCAAGCAGCCTCCACTCCCAGCTCCACGCTTTGCCTGAGCTGGGCTGCCTTGCTGGAGCAGAGCTTCCCCTGTGCTTGCCTACTGCTGCAGCTGAAGGGGAGCCTAAAGGATGTGAGCTTTTATGGGTGGTGTCCCACCATAAGGAGAACCCTGGCAGATCAGCATTGCAAGGACTTCATCTCTGGCAGGACCAGGATCCAAACCAAGGTTTGGTCTGTGCCCCACACCTGCCCACACCACAATCCCACTGTTTTGGTGGAGGGAGATGATGAGGAGGTGCAAATCAACATCATGGACTTAAATACACTTCTACAGGCAGTGCCAAGGCAAGCCCAAAGCCCAGGTCCCTGCAGGCAGCATCTAACCAGGAGGGCTCACCACTAAAATAGAGAAAAAGAAACTTCTCAACAGAAGAAGGTCCTTCCTCTCTTGGGAGGCAGGGAGCGAAGAGTGGCCATCCCTGTGTTGCTTCTGGCCTTTGCTATCCAACAGCTCTGAGCTCAGAATCCTTGGAGCAGGGAAGCCCTCCAGGGACAATAAGCCATGGAAGAGCAGTAACGTGTGGAAGGCTTACTCACCTCTCCCTCTGTATGCGCTTCTTTTCCAATACCATTTTATCCACTTCTGCTTTCTTCTCCTCAGGGAGGGCATCAAACTCGTCCTCATCCATTTGCAAGACACATTCTATGTACCTCTGAATAGCTTTTTCCCGTTGCAGTACTTTAGCACAAACCAGAGGAGAAACCATGAGTGACTGCAAGCAGAGCTGGGTGCTCTGGGTCAGCTGCAAGGATTCACAGCTTTTCCTGACCCAGCCTATCATACCAGATCTTGGGGAGCTCATATCCCTGCTCCAAAATTCAATCCCCCAAACTATGGCCAGGCAGTGAGGTCCTGGGCTTTGCCTGGCTTAAGTGCACCAAGGCTGAGGAGAGTTGTTTGTCACTGAGCTACAGCAGCTTGCACTTGTGCCCAAGCTTTAGTGTTAGAGATTAAGGTGAGTCCTAAAACCTCTGGTCTCCTGCAATTCTTGAGATGAGTGCTGGTTACACTGCGGCAGAAGGTGGAATGATTAATAAAAACATTTCTTACAAGCTCTGCTGCAGACCCAGATACACAGAGATAAGATACATTGAGAGACAAGATTTGAGAGGGATGAAGATAGCTCACCTTCCTTCTCTCTTTCAGCTTCCTTCCTCTTTCTTTCAGCTTCATCCCTGGCTTGCCAAGAAGCATAATCCTGATGCAGGTTCACCATGAAGATATGACAACGATTTTTGACAGCTTTGAGTACACAGAGCAGAGAAGATTCCAGGCTGCTTGCAAAGAGGGTCTCCAAGCCATCAAAGACCACTCCCTTGTAGCAGTCTTTACACTGTGAATAAAGGGAAGAGTAAGTCAGCCATTGCACACAGGGGGCTCGCAGCTGCACCGCAAACCCAGATGTCACCAGCCATCCTTGTTCCAAGTGCAGTAGCTAAGAGCAGCTTGGATCTGTCCTTAGGCTCTGCCAACTAAGGGCAGGTGCAGCATTCCCCAGGGCTCCCTGCACACAGTCCAGGATCCCCCAACTGCATGCACAGACCTCCCCCTCCTCGAGTTGTACCCCAGTGCTGTCTCTGTGGAGCAGGAATGTCTCCTTTTCCCCCACCCCACACACCTTCAGCCTCTCACTGAGGATGTCCACCAGCAGGTCCTCGGGCAGCACACAGCTCAAGCAGTTCAGCTCTTCCCCAGAACTGCTGATGATGTTCAGCTGTTGTGGCGCAGGAGCAGTGGAAACTGTGAACTGCAATGTGAACCATTGTAAGGAAAAGAAACCACGGTGGAAAGCCCTGAACAACTCCCACTGCTGGGCTTGGAGCTGGGGTTCCTCCCTAGTGGAAACTAGAACAGCCCTGCAGTGCAGGCTGGGGGCTCCAGGGGATGGTCCTGGAGGGCCCTTCCCTTGGCCAGCAGACAGCCAAGGTTGCAAGCCCCCAGTGCAGCCTCCCAACACTTTGTTCACTGCCTGCAGCCACACTAGCCAGGACTGCACTTTGCCAGCAAACCACTGAGAACCAGTGGAGCTGTCTGCCAGAGCACATTCCCAGCCCAAGTCGTGGCACTATGGACGCACATACCAGGCCCTGGCTGGCACAGAGCCTCCACTGTAAGCAGCCCCTGCTCATCTCAAAGACAATGCAAAGGTCCTGGGCATCAGCCAGGGCAGATCATGTTTACCTTGGTGTCCTTTATGTTGGGTTTGCTGGCTGGCTTCTCCTTTTGTGCTGAAGGGGTCTTGTCTTTGGCATCTTTGTTGATTTTGTCCCCAGAGGCTTGTTTATTCCTGAGCTGAGGCTTTTTACCTGCACAGGGGGCAGATGGCTCAGAGGGGCTTTGAAAGCAAGCAGGCACCTTTCACTGCAATGGGCACAACCTTGGGAAGGAACATGGTCCTTTTTCCCCAGTCTGCTGGGCACTGGGAGCACTATTTCCCAGAAGCAGCTCCTTCCCTTCTTCTCTTAGCACCATGGTAAAGCACACCATCCCATACTTGATTTTAAAGCCAGCACTGTGTCCCTCCTAACAACTGTGCACACAGGTGACGCTGCTCGCACAGCAGTTCCCCTGCGGATCAAGCCAAAGATTCGTCCTCCAGGAGCATTGTTCCCATACACTGCACCCATCCTGCATTCTCCTGTGGAGACCTGCAGCCCTGCCCCACTTGCATAACCTGTCTCCACTGAAGCTAAATCCTCCTATGGGAAAAGCCCAGCTGGGACCCGGGCTCTTCTTCCTTCCACCAGCTCCCAACCCAGCCAGGTTCAAAACTGAGCAGCGCAAAACTTTCCCCTGCACCGAGCCAGGTCTGGCCTCACCCTGCAGAGCTCATGGTACCAACTGCCCAGGAAGTTTCATGAAAGTCTCCAGTCTCACAGAGAGAACAGCCCAGCATGCAGGAGCTGTGTCACCTGACAGTGGGCATAGGTAAATCTCTGGAGAAAAGAGCTCATCTGGAGCATGTCTCTCATTGGAAATTCCTCTGCGAGGCTGTCCTTCCTTTCCTCTCGTTTGCAAGGTTACACTCACAGTCAGTCCTCTTGTGCTTAATGAGCCACTTCAGAAGGCTTTTTCCTTGTTCAAGTGAGCAGCAGTTCTGCCTGCTGCCCATGAGGAACAAGCTCAATTCAGCTTTGAGGAAATATAAAATATTTGGGAAAGAGACAGGCGTGCTTCACCACCCCTAGAAAAACAAACATGTACCCAGAATGGCAGCAAAGGGGGCTATAAAAGAACCTCTGACTGAGCCCTTAAAATTGATTTCCTTTTTCTTTTTTTTGGCAAGCCAGTGGTGCACTTCAGCCATGTTCCCTAAGAGACCCAAGGACTGAAAATCTGCTGCTCTGAGTAAGCAGAAGTGGACAGTCGTGGTGGGTTTCTCAAGCACTGGCTCTGGGTCCTTACCTCCATTATCTTTGTCGCTGCCTTTTGGCTCCATGGCAGCGTCGGTGCAGAGCTCGCGGGCACTGAGCCCTGCTGGGCTCCCATCGTTGGCCATGGCCTCTTTCACCACGGTGTCAATGGACACGTAAGCAGCATCATAGTACTGACACAGGCCTGCTGCTACCTCTGTCTTTCCTGAGAGAGAAAGGGGAATGCTTGGTGACACTGGCACAGGAGGCATTGCAGGGACAGGCCCTGGAAAAATCTCCAGCAAGATTTCAAAGTTAAAAGGGCAGTGGGAAAGCAAGTGTCCCTCCAGAGGAGGCCATGAGGGAGGCAGCTGGAGTGTGGGTACATGTGGTGGTGCGTTATTTTATGTTCCAATTCCGTTACGGTTGTACGGGTCAGTTTTTCTTGTTTTATTTGAATTTATGATTAGTATGTCTTATGTACCCCCCCTCCCTTTTCCCCAGTTGGTATTACCCAAGCCCTTCCTGCCTTTCCACCCTTGTCCATCACCTGACCACTCCCAATCACCCCACCAAACCACTCCCTTATCCCCACCCAGGAGCCCTGCCAGTCACCCGGCGCCCCGCCCCAAGATCCAGAAACTTCCACTTAGGGCGTCGAGTGATTGGGTGAAGGCCCAGGGCCCCTCCCATTCCTTTGTTCTGTTGCCCCTCACCTCAAACCCCTCCCCAGGGAGCCACCCACACCTTTCCCCTATTGGTCCGAGTTCTCTCTGCCTCCCCCCCCACCCTATATAATCTTGTGTCAGACAGTTTCTCTTTGCCTTCTTTGGTTGGCAACTCAGTGTTAGCTGGATCCTCGTTCGTCTTTCCCTCACCCTGAGGGGAATAAAAGGATCGTTCTGCCCCCAAAGGAGGACGCTTCTTGTGTCATCTTTATCCGCGTGTGGGTCTCGCTTCCTGTCGCCCTCGGCGCCAAGAATCCATCCCGAGCTCTCCAAAGCCTCCCCTCGGAGTAGCCCAGCGGAGGGCTCGGGGAACCTGCTCGCTCCCTCCGGAGCTAGAGCGGAGCCGGGATTGAACACCTTTCTGGAGGGAACGTGGCAGGTGCAAGCTCTTAATTCTAGAGCCAAGAGGATCATCTCCACCTCCTGTTCAGCTGAGGACTTTGCCTTAAGCACCATGGCCCACGAGGATGCGTTCCTCCTGCCTGCCCTCTCCCTGCAGCCCTGGGCTGCAGCTGACGTACCTGCCCGCGGTGGCCCATGGACGATGACAACAATCCCTCTGGGCTGCCCCTCTGAAGACGGGTCAATGCCCATGTGGCGCATGACAGCCCGAGAGACAGGATTGCCAGACCCTTTCACCATGGACTCAGGACAGAATGTGAGAGTCCTGTGATGTGCTGCAGTGCAAAACCAGGGGGAAAAGTCAGCCTCCTGCCTACCTTTGATCTTCACCATCCTCCCCATCTCCTCAGATCCCAGGAAAGGAGACTTGGTGAAAGCAAGATGAGCTTGTTCTTTTGTTGCTAGGAAGGTGCAAATATAAAAGAGCCAGTGATATTAGACCTGGCCCTGCTGGCTGAGGAACTCATCCAGTCCTAGTCTTTGTGGCTAAGGGACACTAGGGAATATCCTGATTATTTCCCCAATTTATAGCAGGCAGATAGGAGCTTGCTTTGGCTACACTCAGGGTTGGTAGAGGATGCCACAGCCCTTCAGCCAAGAGCTCCTGCACCAAGCTGGGGAACAGGCAGCTGCTAAAAGCATGCTGGAGAGCAAGGTGACAGGAGAGTTTAGGGTGTATGGGCTGGAGTCCCACTGTGACCACAGTCAAAACAGACACCGCCAAACCCTCACTGTTTTTCTGACCTGGTGCTGCCTTGCCCATGGCTTCAGCCTCAGCCTCAGCTCTGGCCTTGAGATTTGCCTGTTGAGCATTCAGCCTCCTCTGTGCTTCATAGTCCTCCAGCACCTCTGGGGGCAGTGTCTCACCCACGGCACGTGGAGGCATAAAAAAGTTCTTTTGGTACTCGGACCCCACTGCCACCCGCAGGATCTGTGTATGTAGGGAAGAGAAACCATACACAAGATTCCTTTGCTTGCCTTTCATCACACAGACTCAACAAACCCATTTTCTGTCTCCTCCCTTCCTCCCAACGACATGAACTATTTAGTTTAGGTTCTCCCAGAGCATGTCAGCACAGTTGGCTTTGCCCTGGGGATTGCCTCCATCTCCTGGCACAAGCCTGGGAATGCTGGAGTGCTGTGAAGCTTGGGCAGCATGCACATGGGGACCAGACCTGTCTTCTCACCTTCTCCTCCTCAAGGTACTGCTCATCAAAATCCAGGGAGTAAAACTCAATGGGGAAGTCGCATGGGTTCTTCACCACCACTGTGGCCTCCAGCCCATCACTGTCCACCAGCATCCATCCCATCTTTAGTGCTGGGGGGTTGAACTTCAACCGTGGCTCCAGACCTTGTCCTGAGAGGTGCAGCTTTAAGTGTTTGCTGCTCCCACAAATGTTAAGCTTCAGCTCATTCTTGTAAGACCTCTGAAAAGAGGAAAGCGCAGAAAACTCATCCATGAAGTCCCAAGTGACAGGACCCCAAATATAACAATGCTTGCCCCAAGGTCAGGGTGTTATCAATCCCTCCAAGGTAAATGGAAACCAGATATTTACTGCTGCTAGGGACTACAGCATCTGTAGTAGTCTGGGTCTGAGTAACTGGGATGAATCCTGGTGTGCACTGTAACTGGGTATTTGGTAGCAGATGCATGTACAATGGACTGTCAGGCGTTTTCACCTAGTCATGCAGGAGTGCAATGCTCATGGGAAGGGCCCTCGGGGCTACAGTGTCCAGACACTGTCCTGGCACTGCTGCATCAGGCAAACCCCAGCTCCAGGAGAGAGGCAAATCAGCTCTCGCTGGCCACAAATAAGGGCCATCTTGTCTGCTTAGTGTTTGGCTCTGGTCAAAGCCAGACACAAGATGGTTACATCTCTTGAGCAATTAAAAGATCCCTGGGATGTTTGTGGGCACAGAAGCACTTGTGTCCATGCTGGTACACACTGCCAGTTTCTGAGACCCAGCAGCCACAGGCAAACTGCTTTTGGGAGTGTGCAGGCAGGCCAGAGCCCCAGGGACTGCTGGCAGCACACCACTACAGGTGACTGTCCCACCATGCTCAGGAAGGTGTGTGGTGGCTGTTTTGTCTGTCAGTCCTGCTAGGATGAGCCTTGACTGGCCATTCCAGGATTATCCTCTGTGAGTGGGCAGCTGCTCTGCACTGAGTGTCGAAGCTGCAAATACAGCCAGGCAAGGGGGAGGCTGAGGAGAGTTGGGCACACCCCCCCACACATGCTGAGAGGCAGCCCTGGTGCTCTCTGTGCAAGCTCCCTGTGGGCATTTCAAAGCACATCTCATGGGAGTGCTCTGTGGGGTGAACTGAGCCACGCTGAGTATGGGCCTTGCAGAAAGCTCCCTGTGAAGGCAGAGCTCATACCACACCCTCTGCACCAGGCCCTCATTTCCAGATTGCCAGACAGGCTTCCTGGGCTGACACCTGCCAATCTCACCTCCTCCTTGGGTGTAAACTGGACTTGCAAGTTCTGCCACTTTCCTGCACCAAGGGTTCCTCTGGAGGGCGTCACTTCAAAGGGACAGGGCTCATCCTCCAGCACCCGCCGCTTCTGACGTACGGCTGGTGTCGTGTATTTGAGGTGATTGATCTGGGCACAGAAAACAATTGTGTGAGGTCTCCTCATGGTCTGAGACACTGATAGGGTGCTGAGAGCACCCACAGCCAAACCAAGTGTGGCCCCAAAGCCCAGAGCTGGAGACAGGGCAGGCAGATAGGGAACTACTGTCTTCAGAGGAGGAGGAATGGGCGAAGATGGCAGAAAAGCAAAGCATCAGCTAATGGAACAAGTCCCGGCAAACCAGGCTTGATCCAGACCCTCAGAAGCTTCCTCAAATGCGCTGCAGACCCAAGTGCTCAGGCAGCCACAGGAGCAGAAAGGGCAAGAGTCACAAAGAAAACCCAACCAAGAAGTTACGTGTTCAGTGTTGCCTGTGCTTTACCTTCAGAACAGGCTTGGTGGCAGTAATGAACCATTTGCAGGGTGCTCGGAACCAGTTGTAGAGTCGGATGGTCTCAACCTGGCACTGCCCAATGAGGGTGTCAGAGAAGTGCAGTCTGTTGTTGGAGAGTGCGAGAGACAGTTCAGACACGGTGGCATGGAGGCGGATGCTATATGTGGGGCCGTTTGTCACCTGGAGAAGGACAGAGAATTCAGTGGAGGGTGCAGGTGACATCTGCTGCTGTGCCCAGCCTGCTGCCTGCCCCAAGAGCTGTGGTACCTCTATGGGCAGCAGCACATCCACGTCACCCTGGGGCTGGTGGGCACTTTCAAAGTGCACTTCAAGCACCACAGTGTGGTCGGGGGGCAGGCACCTCATCAGGCCCAGGTCCACACTGAAACCTTGAACAGATGAAGCAAAAAACAAACAGATGAAGCAACAAAGCAGCTGAGGTACGCACAAAACACAAAATGTGTATAAGCACGTTACGGCCTTACAGATGTCCTGGCTGAGAGGTCTGGGGAAAGCCCCATGCCGTGCTGTGACCTAGACAAAAACTTAAGAGTGCACCTGAACACCCCTCAAATGCAGTGAGCCACTGTGTGATGAAGTGCAGCCTTGCCTCAAGGCCTCTTTTGGAAGCCTCTTTTGATCCACCTGAGGATCTCACGGGCTGCTTCCTCAATAAAGGCTGAATACAAGTGCTGTGACAGTGTGAACTCCAAACAAAGCACTTCCAAAACACAGCAGACCCCACTGGTTGGCAAAACTAGCCCACAGAGTGCCCAAAACTTGCTGCTCATGGGAGCCAAGGGCAGAAGATGCTGAGGTGACCAGGGCGATGAGCCCATCTGGCCTCTGCACAGGAGCATTAGGGCAGTCACAGGCAGACCAGGTCCCTGGGCATGGCTGGCCAGGAGAGTTCTGCCTCTAAAGCTCCCAGCAGGGCCACTGAGAAGAAAAAGCTCAGAAACCTCCCCAGGTTCAGTGGCTTAAGCTAATCTGTCTGAGACATCTCCTTCAAGGCCACAGGAAGTGTCTCCAGCACTGCTTACCTGTGTCCTGCAGGAGAGATACATCGACCTGGAAGGACACTGGGATCTGCCCAGGGTTGGTCATCTTCAGAGTGCATGTCTCAGTGTAACCCTTAAGGACAGGGCCCATGTCCAGGACATACTCAAACAGCTCAGCTCTGCAAGGAGGAGTAAGGATAGTCCTTAAACCACCGTCCTTAAGCATGGCTACTTGTCCAAGTGTACAGAGGATACAAATGCAGAGGCTATTTCTTTATTCACTGCTGTAAAAACTCAGCTCAAGCCCATGAAACCCATGGCCTGACCACCTGGCAATGACTTTGGGAAGTCAGGAGGAGTGCAGCTACTAATGGTAGCTGGAAATAAAATTAGTTTAAAATGGACACTGGCCACAGCTCCTCTGCCATGAAAAGCCAGTATAGGTGAGTGCAAAGGGCCTCCACTGGTCTCAGTAGAACTGCCTAGCCTGGTGTACAGTCTGAGCTTGAAATTGCTTTGGGGTCTAGGAATAAGGTTTGCCTGCACAGGAAATCTTCACTGCTCTGCAACCAGACTACATGATCTGCTCTGCACAGCATCTTCTTCCTGAATTGAAGCCTCTCCCGTGCTCGTGCTGCATCATGACGGTGCAAAGGGATGGACCAAGTCACTTAGATAAGTTCTGCCACCCCACCAGGATTCAAGCCATCTGACTTTGGGTTTTAAAGGATTTGCTGACATGTGCAGTTCCCTTCTCCTTTTGTTTAGTGTGCTCTGTTAGCTGGAACCACAACATCAGCTGGGAGCTGTCTCTATCAGAGCTAGTCAGCAGGAACAGAATTTATGCTGTCTGGAAGGGCTTGAAGGTCTGCACTGGGTCCCCCAGCTCTAGGGACAGAACCCCACACCTGTGGGGAGCTGAGCAGTCCAAAGCTCAGCGTGGTGCTGGGGAAGGGAGGACACCCTGCTGCTCCCATGTAGCGTGTCACAGCCACCGGGACCAGACCCCTTCTGAAGTCCAGGCTGTTCCCAGCTCTGCAGACACAAGGACTCAGGAGAAGGGGACATGGCAGGGTGTTCCCCACGGGACACCTGGAGATGGGGCTGGAAGGCCCTACTCACTTGCCAAGACTCTGGCACAGCTCCTCATCAGGGAAACTTCTCTTCAGGGGATGGGATGGAAGCGCTTTCTGCAACTCCAGAAAAGGCTTCTCTATCAGCATCCTCATCATCTTTATCTGCATCTGAGAGTTTGACTGAGGAAAGGGAAGACAGTGGCTGATTAGCAAAGGTCCTTCCCAAGGCCCAGCTTGCACCTGAGAAAGGATCCCACCCTGCTTTTGTTGAGAGGGGGTGTGGGGTCCTCCTGTCTGGCTGCTCAGTGTCTGTGACACCTCCTGCTCTCTTAGCCAGGACCTCATCTCCAGGGACGTAACTCCAGCATCCCTGCCTGCCCAGACACTGTTAGCAAAGCTGCTCTGGCCAGGCAGACAGACAAGCCAGGAACATTCCAGAGCTCCAGATACTTGCCTGCCCCCAGCCAGTACCAAGGCAGCTTGGACAAAAACTGTTTTGAAAGGGAACTAGGACCAAGCTGGTGCCTCCTGGAGATGAGCACCTCCAGCACAGCCCCAGGGTGCAATCAGGCAGCCGCTGTTTGGGTCTGTAAATCTGGCAGGGCTTGGGCTGGGACCCACAAATTCCCCAGCAATGACCTGCATCTCCTTCAAAGTACCATCAACTCCATCCCTGGAGTATGGCTTTCAGGATCTGTCCCTGGGGTAGCCAGGAAGCTGCTGTAGCCCCAAAAGAGACCATGACCAGAGTGGCAGCCCTAGGGGTAATGCTGAGGTGACACAAGGTTGTAGCTGGGCAAGGAGGTCCCAGATGCCATCAGGGCGCTGGTAAGCTGCTGTGGGGTGCAAGGGGCTCAGGTGACATGGGGAGGGGCTGCAGCTGCTCTTACTACAGTGCCAGAGCGAGGGATGTGGGGCTTCAGGTCCTGAGTCTTTGGATTCCGAGTCTTCAAGGTCTGACTCTCAGTGGTCTGAGTTTTCAGGGTCTGAGACTTCAAGGTCTCAGTCTTTGGCCTCCGAGTCTTCTTCTGAACAACTGATTTATTCCACTGATTGAATATTTGCCGGTGTGTTATGAGCCGTTTCAGTGTCTTCTCATATTTTTCATTTTCTGAAGGAAGAAAACATCCACAAAGAGAAGTGTGAGCAAAGTGCCAGTCCCATTTAAACTGGGAAGTCCCTGCCTCCCAACACTGGTTTCTTCCAGAAAGAAATCCCTCAAGCCATCTATGGATAGTGGATGTTGCTGTTCCTCTGTGAATCCCATCCCCTGCAATGTCACACAAATCCAACCCTGCCAGAAGCCCTGCCAGCCTCTCTTACAGCTTTCTCAAGCCTTTCACTCTAGCCATTATCCTTCAGGACCCTGCCAGATGTGCTGGCAAGCTCTGCAGGATGGTTCCTGGGACAAAGCCCACATGGGATCCTCTGCTCAAGACTCATGAAGCAACCAGAGGGCTTGAGTTGGTCTGGAAGTCCTGCAACCCTCCAGGCTTGGTGGAGGTGAGCATGAACTGCCCTATGGGCATATGATAGGGAAGAAAACCAGAGGAGCCCTTCCTGGGGGCAGACAGGCAGTGCCCACCTTTGATGTTCCAGGGCAGGTTCACACTGATCATGGGAAAGGATGCTTCTCCTTTCAGGAGGATATTTTCTGGGTCCAGGTGACCCACTTTAAGCTGGTAAATCCTGATGAAGGCTCCTGGTAATCCTGGCATGTAAGAGAATTTCAGCACTTGCGTCTTGCCAGGTGCAATGGAGCCCTGCAGGGACAGGAGAAGAGGGAGGGAATGCATCAGAGTGTTTGATGGGGAATCAGGGGACAGACAGGCTGAGGAGACAGGTTCTCATCTAGAAGCAACCATCAGATCACATCACCTTTGTGATAAACATATTGCAATGTTGGCTTTCACACTTGTTAAATACTATGTGTTTTATAATGCTGACTTCTGTAAAAGAAGTTTTGCTGAAGTCTAGAGTTATTTTAATGAGAATGTTGTGTTGTGATATCAGTGTTGGTGAAGAGCTGTTGCAGTAACCAGTGAAGAAATGGAAACCTGTTGAATGTGTTGAAAAGTAACAAATGAGCAGGACTAGGACAACTGCACATGCTCCACCTGCTGAACAGGACCCGACAGAGTGGCCCAGCACTCTGGCGGTAACGCCCTGTCCCTGTCCTCTGTTTATTGTCTCCACTTCTCTTTTCTCTCTCTGCTCTCTTTCCTATCCCCACTCTGGTCAGGACCATGCCCTTTCTTTATCAATAAACAATTTTCAGATACAATACTTGCTGGTTTTGTGCCTTTTTTTTTGTCTGAGAAATCGATCAAAAAGAATTCTCCTCTACTCCCCTTACAGCAGGACAGGACAGCGACCAACACACTTGTGCCTCCTGCTGGTGTCTGCCTCTGACAGCAGAGCCACCCACCAGCCAAGGCCATGGGGGAGTCGATCAGGAGAGCTTTTGTTTGACCTCCTCTGCCCCCAGCAGAAATTGCTTACAGCCCTGTCTCTCTCATGGCTGTGTTTGGGGTTTTCCCCGCCGACTTTTTTCCCCCTTCCACCCCCTCCCCTTTTTTTTCCTTTTAACACTCTCCTGGGCCACCTGGCACAGGGCTGGGGTCAGTCACTTGTGCTACTTACAGTGGTGGGGTTGACCAGAAACACACCAGGCAGATGCCGGTCTGCAGCGCTGGGCTTTAGCACCCAGTTGAATTTGATTTGACTGGTGTTCCACAGGGTGACCGTGCTGTGACCAATTTCATTAAACATCTGGAGAGAAGGCACAGGAGCAGGAAGTTACAGACCCAGGCCTGCTGCTGGGAATCCCCTTCCTCTCTCCTGGGCTTGGAAGCAGACACATCATGGGAGCAGGGACCAGGGAGGAGATAAGGGCACTTGGGAACCTGGGCAACCCCCAGACACAGGGCACCTGCGCAGGACCAGGGAGCTCTGGCAGCACACAGCGGTGTGGTAACAACCATGTGAGGGCCAGCAATAAATGAACCGGGGGACAGAGGCCCTCTGCACTCTGAGGGGTCACCAACAGCCAGGAGAAACAGAGACAGCACTGAGGCATTGCAGGAGAAAAGGCACCTGCATGCAAGTATTGGCAAGCAACACACACTCAACAAGGGAGTCACACAGGGCAACGCAGATAGGGCCAGCAGCTGGAAATATCTGTGGGCTTTCAACTGAAAAAGAGTGAAGTGGGAATTATTCTGGGACAGTCCCTCCAACTGTAGTGACTGGAAGCTCAACTTCTTCCCTTGACTGTTGTGTGGATTAAGCAAGAGCTTTAGACAAGAGCATCTCCGTGGAGGTCAGGCTTTAGGCATGGATCAGCAGAAGGATGTCTCAGGGACATGCCCCTCAGAGCACCCCCCTGGGACCCTGCCTGCCCCAGGAGGCAGTGTTAGGTACCCTGAAAAAGAGGCACCCCCAACATTTTGGAGAGGGTTGGAGATGGCCATTTTAAACCAGCTTGGATGCCAGATGTGTCCCTCAAAGGTTGTACTTCCAGGCCCCAGGGTCAACAAAGAGGCTGGGAAGGGAAGGGAGCCCTGGATTGAGGTGGGCAGGAACCTGCTAGCCATGGTGCCAAGCAAGGAGCTGTGCCAGGGAATATGTGTGGTACCTGAGAGCCACAGTCGATCTCCTGGAGGCTCAGGGAGTAGGTGAGATGTGAGACCTCCCCGGTCACCACCACCTCGTAGGTGGGGCCTCCCTCCACGTGGCACAGTGCTGTGACATCAGAGATGGTGTTGAGGTGGCCAAAGTAGGTGAAGGAGACCTGCTGGCTTTCTCCTGGCTGCAGCACACCTGACAGTGGCAGGATACTGAAAGCCTGGATGGAAGACAGGAGGGATTGAGGTGTTGAGCATGGAAAAGGATGCAGAAGAGCATCTTGGAGCAAAGTACAGCTGTACCTGGAGGGGCCTATTCCCCAAACACAGCCAGAATCACCCTAATCTCATCCTGCATCCATGCCACTGACCAGTGGTGGGACCATGGGGAAAATCTTCCCCCATACTCAAGGATCAATCCATTAATTAATACATTACGTTACAGTGAACTGGGATGTCTCCTGGCAGTAGAAATTCTCTCTGATGCACAACTTGCCTTTAAAAAGCATTTCTGAACTGCTTTTAGAGAAGGAGGAGACTCAGAATGAGGGCTCTTGAAGCTGAGTGGAGGACTCTGGCCCAGCTCATCTGACTCCTGAGGCTCTTCCCCTCTCTCTCTGCTTTAAATGCTGCTTTCTCAAGGTGCTACAGCAAAAGCTCCTGCAAAAATTCCCTATGGACCACCTGATGAGTTCCAGGGGGAGCAATGCCCTCCATAGGTGCTGCACAGCGTCCTTGGGCAGCCCTACAACATGTCCTGCACGGCCCTGCCAACACCCAGTTGGTTCAGCAGCACTTTGTATGGGCCTGGAGGGACGTGAGGCCCCTCTGTGGGCAGTGCTGGGGGCCACCAGTGGGACTGGGAGCTACAGCCCTGCTTGCCACGCTGGCAATGGGTGAGTGAGACAGATTCCCTCTTACCTCCTCCACTTCGAGGCGAGTGTATGGGATGTCCACGAAGTACCTGAATCCCTCCAACTCTAGTGGGCGGTGAGGGTCTTCAAAAGGTTGTGGTGGCACCTGAAAAACAAGCCATTTTCTATGCTAGGAGGAAGAGACAGCCACTTTGCAAAATCTCAGTTTGTAAGACAGCTTCAGGACCACCAGTGCAACACCAGCTCTCGGGTGAGAGCAGACACCTGGAAACAGGTAGTCTGGCTGGGCTGGGAAAAGGGTACATGGAGATCAGGACTCATCACAGCTTGCTCTGGGAAGGAAGCTGGAGGTCTTACCATGATGATGCAGATAAAAGCCTCATCTTACATTGTGAAGGAAACAAGGCAAAAAAATCCCACACTCAACACAGGCCTGTAGGATCTGAGTGAGCTTCTCCAAGGAAAACTCCTACTTCTCCCTCCCACTTACCCCATACCCAGCCACTGGCCCTGCTGTCCAGCCCACTGTCAGGGCACAGGACAGCAGGGCAGCAAAAAGGGAGGTCAGCATGAGCATGACTTGTTGGTGGCAGGCTGGGGAGACAACACAAGCAGTAGGTGTACAAGAAAATCTACCTCTTCTCCTATAGATGGTTTAAAATCCTGCCCTTCTTTCAGGGCTCTGGCTGCCTCCTTCCTTTTAATCCTGAAGTCTCTCCATTGAGATTCCAAAAGAGCCGAATAGGTTCTCTTCATCTTTGGTGGTTCAGGTTTGGATTTAGGTGGGTAAGGCTCATCTCTGGAAAACAACATAACTATGAACACGGACCTGCAATAAGGAGGGAGGGACACCTGCACAAGCAGCTCCTGGTCAGGATGCAGCCCCTGGGTGGGTGCTGGCACACTGAGCTGAGAAATGGTTTGATCCAGCCCTTCCTAATCCAGGCTGGAGCAGGTCTGTTCTAAAGGCAGCCCAGGGATGACATTGAGGGAGCAGCAGTGCAGCAGCTGCAACTTCTTTCATTGAGCAACTACAGAGGACAGGGATTAACAGCTTGTGGGGATGCAAAAAGTACAGTGGGAGAGGAAAAGACAGAGAAGGAAAGCAAAAAGGTGAGATTTGAGGCACCAAGGGGCAGACCCAGCCAGTGATGAGCCAGCACAACTCCCCCAGTGCCCAACGCCAGAAACTCTGCAGCAGCTCCACCAGGTATTTATCAGGAATGTTTCCCTGACACTGCTGGGGGGTTGGTTGACATTTTCAAACACTCCCAGAGGACTCAGGTTGCATTCCCCATTTTAAATTGAAGTCGGTGCTCAGGGTAAATCTGTTTGTGTTTCTAATGCCATGTGAGGGACACAGTCGAGCCGTGCCTGCCTGTCACCCTGCTGAGCTGCAAGTGCTCCCACACAGTCAAACATGACCTGGATGCTCCATCCCCAGACAGGCATTCAGGGCCTGTAATGACCTGCTCCCCAAAGAATCACTGCCTTTAGCTTTGTAGCTTGTTACCTAAGGCTGGGTTTCATTTCTGGATGAGGGGCTCTCTCATCATAGCCCCCAAGAGATCCCTATTCATCTAATCTACTGTCTTTAATTTTAAAGAATGGTTTGAGGCAACTTCCCAGGACCATGGTGCGCAGACAATGACATTTTTCCCTCTAAAGTAGAAACTCTCTGGGAGGCAGGGATAGGAGATGATTTGATGAGCAAGTCCTGATGCCAAGCAGAACAGAACCCATAAGGTACATGTTGCAGTGGGGAAAAGTCAAAGTGAGTAACAAGTGTCACAAAAAAAGGGAGTGAAGACTCCAAGGTGTCCACTGAAAGCTGACCCCTGGGAATGAAATCATCCTGGCAGTAAAGGAGTTTTCCCAGCAAAGAAGGAAAGGGAAAGTAACAAGATGTTCAGCGTCAGCCCAGGCACTATGTAGCTCTTTCTCTGGTGTTGGGACTTTCTGGGCATCCTGCAGCACAATGCAAGGGAGGGAGGCAAGGAGCAGAGAGCAGCTCCCGCAGAGAGGACCCATCCCAAAGCAGGGGGGCCAGAAGGGGCTCCAGCAGTACTGTGGGAGCTGGCACTAGGAGCCTTTCATCAAGGTGGACATTGCCTCAGGCCACAGAGGTCTGTGAAAGCAGCTTTCAGCCCAGCTTTCCTTCCCAGGGGAAACCCCTATGGGGGCTACGCAGCACCAAACTGCTGGAAAACCTATTCCCTGAGCATCCAGCCTGACCACGGCTGGTCGGTGTTATTTGCCAGATGTTGTGGTTTGACACAGAAAAGAATTTTCTCGGGAAGAAGAGGGTTAGGTTAATTAGTAGTCAGGGTTAGGTATTAGTGTTTAGTCTGACTACTGAAGGTTAGACACGCTTCTGAGAACACAGAGGGGTTAAAAGCCGAACTCCGAGGGGAACTAGCTCTCTTTAGCTCCAGTCATCAGAGAGTGCAGATTGTCCCCGGCCCAGCCCGTGGCTGGGTGGGGGAGGGGAAGAAAGCCATGCGGCCTGGCTGAGCCCTTGGCATGGGCTGAAGGGTGGGTGGACAGGAACCGGCTCCAGCTCCCTGCAGATAGAAGGGTGGAGGAAATCTGGGATGTTTGTGTTTCCCCCCAGCGTCCCTCTGGGGACCGAGAGAAAGAGACAGCGACGGTGCTGATAGTACTCTGGCAGGGGAGGAAAGGCGGGCAAGGTGCTCAGTATAAAAACTAGAAGTCTAGGCAGAGAGCCCAGTGTCTGGGGAATTTGAGACTTTTAACCCTTCCTTAAGAAATGAAAGCTTTGTGAAATAGTACTTCTCTTCAGTTTAAAAGAGAATAAGAATGAAGGTCTCATTTCAGCCTGAGACCTCTAATGTTAAGAAAAAAAAATTGTGGGGGGGGAAGATGATGGAGTAGCTTTTAGCTAGACTTTCTCTTGTTAACCATAAACTGAACCCATTTCTCCTCTAAGAGAGACTGTATTTTAAGAAGATGCACAGTGAGCCAAGAGACCTGCTTCAACAGCTGAGAAAAAGACAAGAGTAGAGTGAACAGTGAAAAGTTAAGGAGGGTTGTAGTGATGCCCCCTGTCTTCAGAAAAGAAGAAAAAAGGAAGATCTCTGTTCTTAGACCTTCCGCCTCAGGAGGAAATGGGGAGGACTGTGGTCCCAAAAATGAAAAACTAAACTGTTGGGTTTTTTCCTCTTAGCAAAACATCCTTAAAAGCAAAAATCCTAAGAACAATCTATCCATGCACTGTGGCGAGAGCACTGTGCATGGAAAAGAAAGTGTCACCATAGCAGATGTGGCAACTGTGTTTCTTAAAGAGTCTACAGCACAAGAAAGACTCCTCTCTCCTTCAATAAACTAAGTATTAATTATCTAAACAGTAAAGACCTGATTAAAAGTCCAAGTTGTGTCTCCCTATAATTTGTTAGAATTGTGGGGGGAGGAGAAAGAATGTTTCAGAAAGTTTTCATTTTAGTTTTAGTGTGTGTTTTTTCTTTCTTTTTCCTTTTATAGCAGTAGTAGTTTAATAAAGTTTCTCCCTTATTATTAAGCTTAAATCTACTCTGCTCTGTTCCTGATCATATCTCACAACAATAATTTACAGAGTTACATTTTCATAAGAGCGCTAGCATTGTGCCAGTATCAAACCATGACACATGATCCTAGGCCACCAGCTTTGTTCTTTGCCAAGTACAAACAGGACACCAGCAAGAAGAGCTTCAAGCAGGGGCAAAGGTGCACATACCTCAACTTGTTCACCTGGCTGTCGGGATGGAATGACCAGTGGTACTTTACAGGAAATGGGCTGCAGTTGGTGATCTCCAGAGAACGCACTTCTTCAGTGCCAGCCGCGATGCAGCCAAACTCCAGGGTGCTGGGCTGGATTTGGAGATTTGGGAAGTGGACTTCTCCCCGAAGGGTGATATGCTCCACAAAAGGATGGCCCCTGACCATGTCTATCTTCAGAACCTTCTCTTTTTTCCAGCTCTTAAAATCCAGTTCATAAGCTGGGTCAAACGCGATGTAGAGATGACAGGTCTCCCCTACATCCACTGTCACGGGCTGCAAGGACACGAACAGTAATTAATCACCTGTGGGATGATGTCCCAAGGTCTGACAGCATGAAACAGCAAATGCTCAAAGTGTGACCCCAGCTTGGGCTTCTCAGTTCATGGTTCATTTCTTTACAGCAGGGCTCTGTAGGCACCACAGTCTAGTCCAGGATTCCCTCAGGCCATTTCTGTGCTCAGCCCCAATACAAGGGGGTGGCTGCTGCAGAGCTGGCATGCTTTCCAGGAGACATCTCTACTGCATGGCTTGCCCAGACCCAGTTGCCTGTTCCCTTCTCCCTGTGCCTTAAAGCCAGGATGGATCTTCTTAATTTAGGTAAGATTTTGATTCCTTCAGCAGCTTGGCTGATGCAGCACAGGCCAGCCCATTGCTGATGCTGCAGAATGAACTTCTTGACTCAAGGAGCTCCCAACAGAAAGGCACCACCACATCCCCCCTCTTCAGACCCCACTGCAGGAGTCCAGGGCTGCTCACCTGGCCATCTGGGAGGGGCTGCTGGTCCTCATCACAGACCAGGAACGGCTGCTCCACATCCAGCATAAGGTCCAGTGGCAGCAGGCAGGTGTTTTTTAAAGCCAAAGGCTGGTACTGCAGCGTCAGGACATCACTGGGTTTCTATGGAAACAGGAGACAAGGAAAAACAGCCTCAACCAGCCACAGACCTCCTCCTGCTTCTGCTGCATCTCACAAGTTTCAGCCCCAGAAGTGCATACATTTCTATTTACCCTTTCTATTTGTTTCTACCCTTCCTTCCAGGAGGTTTTTCTTTATAGCAGATGCTTCTCATCTTTAGAAACTACAGCATCCTCTGGGGGACAGGGAAACACACCCACATACAGATGAGGGAATTGGCCCCTGAGAGAAGGCAGCTGCTTGAACAAGATCTAAAGCAGAAAGTGAATCCAGACCATTTGTCTCCAGTTTTGTCTCTCTATAGGGCAGAACAGCACTAGATGGTCTTCACTCACATACAGTCACTTCTAACAACCTTACTGTCTCTAGCAGCCTCAAAAAGCAGTTTGTCTGCAGCATGTCCCCTGCAGCCCCTTATACAGGGACAGGGTATCTGTGGTTCAAGGCTATGATCAGCCCAGCCTCTTCCTTCCTGTCTGTGCATTGTGCTGGGCTTCCTGCATGGTTTAGAGAAACCAGAGACTTTGGGAAACTAGTTCTGGATGTGCTGATATCAAACAGGTGCTGTGCCATAGTATGCCATAAAGCAGTTTGTGTGTGTAGCATCGAGCAGAACCCAGGCAGAATCAGGGACAGCAGAAAAGCTTCTAAATTACATCTGAACTGCCTGTTCCAGGGGGGATTCTGTACTTCAGTGGAAGCCTGGGAACCAGAGGAGAGGCCTGAAACTACAGAAACCAAATCATGAACCATCTTCTCTTTTTCAGACAACTTGCAGGAGACAGAAAGATGATGCTGGAGTTGGGATCCAGAGACTAAAGGGCACCTGCTCTGCCTCAGTGTTATCATCACTGCAGCTGCAGGATGTCTGGAGGTCCTTTGAAGCAGGTGAGGCTTAGGGAAATGCACAGAGCTGTATCATACAGTTATACCATAAAGCATCCATGCCAACAGCAGAGAAGGCAAAGAGACACAGGAGATGATGGATTTTTCCCTGTCAGCCTGAGGAATTCACAGGACTCTCCCTTTTTCCCAGCTTCCCTACAGCATCAGTGTACAGACATCACCGTGCCTTGGAGGATCCTCAAAAGCCTCCCTTTACAGTGAGCAGAGAAACTGGCAATTCTCTGGAAGTGGCCACGATCCCCCTTGGCAGTGCAGCTGTAACTGCAATCTTATTTTGGGGAAGTCAAATACCAGTCTCATCTCTAAAAGCATCTTCACTCACTTTACAGAGTGCCTCGGGAAGGGTAAAGAGGGGCTTTAGCACAAGCACACACTCCCCTCAGCCATGCTGTTAAATGCCAGAATGCAATCCAGAGACTTACCTTCTCCACCCGGAAAGAGAATTGTCTGGCTGATACTTCTACAGAGGGGTGAATGAACTCACAGGTAATGATCGTTTCTATTATCTTCTCTGTCATTCTTCTTTCCCCAATGAGAGCTTCACAAACCACATAATCCTGCACCTCCTGCATGCAAGAGTCACATGTCACCAGTGGGTGGTGGCAGGACATCCAGAAGATGCTGTGCATTGGCTCAGCACCCACCACAGGCCCTATTCCTGCCACACCTACAGTCACTGCCCCTTTTTCTTCCTGTGATGCAGCTTATTTATTCTGTGCTCAATTGTCTATACACTGCACCCCAATAACCACAAAAGGCACTTGTGAGAAACTCCCTCCCTTCACATGGCTTTTGTTTTACTCCATGCTTACCCCAGATAAAGCACTTGGCACTTGTTTAATTCACTTTCTTTTTGGGCTCCTAGTCTAAGTGTAACTTATTTCTCTGCCTTTCTTTGCTGACTAAGCATGCTTGCCCCAAAAGAGCAGTATTTCCTTCCACCCCTACTTTGGGATCAGCACTGGGTTTTGGTAGCTGTGGAATCACAATAAAGTCTTACCTGGTCTGGGGGTGGCCAGCAAGGAAAGCAGCTGGTGCTGCCACAGAAACATGTGGTCTTAAACCAGTTTTGTGAAGGCCCCTGCTCATTTCCCCAGGCAAATGTCAAGGGACTGTGGAGCAAGCCCAGGGGAGGGGATCTGATGGTTCCCCAGGCTCAGCCCGTGGCGGGCACCTCACCTGTGTGACGTCGGAGAAGCCTCGCAGCACCATGTCCACAGACTCGCCTGGCTGCAGTTTCATTGACCGTGGCTCCAGCCCAAACACGGGGGTGGCACGTTTGGGGCTCTGGGAATCATCTTTGCGGCTCCTGAGGGCTGAGACACTCTGGCCCTCCTCCTCAGGTGGGCTGTAGCATCCCACGCTCCAGATGAGCCAATGGAAATAGGGGCCTCTATTTGTTAGTTTGAACTGACGAATACAGGGAACGAGGCTAGAATACAAGGCAGGATGGAAAATTATAGAAGGCAGGAGGGAGTAGCTATTTCCCTGGTCATCAGATTGCCCCCAGTGAGCAACCTGAGGTGTTAATAGCTTGGAAAAGGTCTTCATTTACAGCTCTTAACATGGACCAGAAATAGTGTCTGATAAGCTGCCCTTAGGATGTCACTATTGCAAAGAGAAATATGTTTATAATGGTAATGTAGCATTTTCCAGGTGAAGCTTAACAGGGCATAGTGTGTTCCTCCAAAATGTTTGTTCTGGGGTGATTCATACTGTTGCTGTATTTTGTATTAATCTGTGCCCAAAACTGTAACTGAATCTTTGAGATCCTGCACTTGGGGACTTTGTGTGTGGGGGTATGATTGCAGGCATTTCTAAAAGCCGGCTCAGAGGCAGTTTCTGGATGACCCCAGCAAGCTGGTAAAAACTGTCTGCCTGCTCCAGGAGAGGAAACCAGGGCAGCAGGGCCTCTCTTGTTCATAGCAGCCTTGGCTTTGCACTGGTAGTCATTTGTAGAAACTTCATTTTGCAATTAGAAACTGTTTGGAAGTGAACTTTGCAAACTCTGCTGGCAGCTCTGCCTCTGGAACTGCTCTGTGGGTTCCTGCTTTCCCGGTGGAGATTGTCTCCCTCCTGTCTCTTTGTTCCCGGGGCCCCTGAATGCCATTTTTGAAGGGAAGGGTGTGATGCCACCTTCCCTTGGTCCCTCAACCACACAGAGGGACCACCTCATCCGGGCACCATTTCAGGAACCTTTTGTTCTGGGGGAGCCTGCCATCATCAAATGAGGACATCAATATAAAGATAATTCAGTGGCAATTTAGCAACTGGTTTCCCTGTCAGTGGCTTTTGAGGGTGTCTAACAACTCTCAACTGGCCATCACATGTTTCTAAAGGAATATCTGCCTTCAGGGAAGGAGTCAGGGCTTTGAACACTGAAGATCTTGCCAGAAGGACTACAGCAAAACTGCTCCTTGTTGAGAGAGGAGGAGAGGCGGGAGTGGAGAGATCTCCTACCTGAACTGGTATCCCAGGTTGAGCTCTGGGGCAAACGGTTTGTCTATGGCAATTGCGGTGCCAGTGCCCAAAGCCATCAGCCTACATTCGGCCCAATAGCTGTTCCCAATGAACAGATGGACAACATCATCAAAACACTTAGTGTCATCCAGGGTTGCTGTGACAGTCACAGGCAGCTCAGCCCTAGCGGGGATCACTCCTGCGCTGGGTTCAATGGCAAAGCAGTCGGGTCTGTTAATCTGTAAGACAAGCACAATACGCATTTAGGATGGGAGCCATACACCCTGGTGTCTTGTGGGATATAAGAAAAGGAAAGACTAAAGAGGGGAGGGCAAACATCCTAAAGGCTTAATTTCCCTAAAGTTAAGCTACAGTACTGGGCAACAGTAGAGCTCATATAACCTGCATTTTCCCCTCCTTTAACAGACTCACACAATTAACCCAGTTTTGCCCAACCCGAGGGACACTTATCCTCAGGAGAGTGTTCTTTCCTCAGTCTTTCTCTGGAGTGTGTGCCAAGGAAAGCTGCTTTCTCTCTCCTGGCTTCTCACAAAGGCTCAAGGCCAGAGGAAGTCCATGACTGCTCAAATCCCACTCCATAAACCACATGGCTGGAGGATACTGCTGAGACCCTGAAGAATATCTCTGCAAGACCAGTTGTGCAAAACCCCAACACCAAACTATTCTTTCCCAAGGGGCCATCAGCGCTTCTCAACATCCCCTACCGGACTGAAGCCCTCACTTCCCACCAATCATCAGCTATAGAGAGGTGCCCCAGTGCCCTCTGCTTTGGAAAAGTCACCTCCAAATGTTAGAGCAGAGCAGGAAAGCAGGAAGCAGAAAGAAAACTGGACAACATGTGCTCTGTGGGCATAGCCCACGCTTCCCAAGAACTCCTGTCACCTGGTTTCTCATGGACTTCATGGATTGGGCAAGAGAGCTGGAAGCTGCCCCAGGGAGGGAGGAAAGGCCTTGCACCAGCACTGCTGTACAGACACAGCTCTGCAGGTCTGGCCCTGGCAGGAGCATGTGAAACCCATCCTTTACACACCATGACCACCCAGCCAAGGTGCATTGCTCCCTGCAGAGGCTAGAAGCAGAATTCCATTGTGGAGTCAGGGAAAGTTGCCCTGGAAAAACCCCCTCATTTTAGGGTAACATTTATCACCCAAACAGCGGGAATAGCAGCAAGAAGAAAATTCATGCCCCTCCTCCTTGGCCCAGGAGGCTGTGGCTGGACTCTCCCTCATGGCCTGATGCTTTACCCACAGCCACAAACAAGTCCTTAGTATCAGGTTTTAACCAACCTCACAAGTCCAACACACCCAGCATGAAGAAGAACAAACCTCAAGCCTCTCACAGATCTCCCCCTCCAGCAGACATCCCACCCAGCCCCAGGCCCCTCCTGGCTGCACCAGCCCTGCTCCCCCTGCCAGGGGAGCAGCCCCAGCTCCTTCTGCCCTGTGCTGCCTTCAATATTAAACTGCCTTTCTCTGCAGCTGGTGCCCAAAGATGCTCTTCAATGGCACAGAGATCACAGGCTGCGGGGGTGCACAGCCCCCACACATCTTTGTGTGGACAGCCCAGCTGGCCTGACCCACAGGAGGTGTGAAAATTGCCTCCCCACGAGCAGTCTGAGGACAGACCCCACACCCTCTTCTCTACTGTGAACAGCAGTCTGGCACAAAGCAAATGCAGATGGAGCAGGGAAACCATAGGGAAATCCACGTTCTCTGGGGAGCAAAGAACCACAGGTTCCTCTCCATCTCAGAGCTCCAAAAATGTGACACTCACAGCTAAAGACAAAAGATAAAATTAAGGGAGAACCTGTCAACACAATCCAGACTAATTTCTGCTCCAACATCTCTGCACCTGGCTTCACTGAGGGGTGCCCCAGCTAACACCACTCCAGAGCCAGGTTCCTCTTGCCTCGCTCAGATGGAATATTGGAGCATCTTGCCTCCTCTCACACAAGGCTATATGGAAATCTTGCATATAAAAACCAAGTCATGGCAGCTACTGACCAGTCAATTTCCCTGGAAAACAGCCCCACAGATACTTACAATCTCCATCCTGAAGTCTATAGGGGTAAAACCTTTGTTGAAGAGGGTAAAACTTCGTGGAGTAGGCTGTACTACTGGGAGCATGCCAAAGTCTATCAGCCTTGCACTTAGGTAGATCTTTCCCAGGAATCCAGAGCTCCAAAATCCTGTTCTCTGTTCCAGGAAACAGGCAAGAAAGATTAAAAAAAAAAAAACCAAACAACAAACAACCAACCAAAAAAAAAAAAACCACCAAAAACAAACCCACAAAACAAATCACAACAGGGAAACCTAGAAAAGCTTAAACAGCTCAATCATGCTCAAGTTATTTCTTTAGGGACAGCTACCAATTGCCAGCTGAAATGCTGGGCTTTTGGGGAAAAAGAAAATTACATATTCACCTCCAAATTAAAAAGGATTAAGGTACAAGAAACTTTCAAACTACAAACTATTGGCCCAAAGGTAAAAGCTTTGCAAGAAATCTCAAGTTAAGACCGGGCTGACAGTTAAACAACTGGTTATTCTGGTGGTGAGAAACCCTCCTCTTTAAGGCAAGCAGCCTGATAGTTGAAAGAAACTGTTTTGTCAAACTTCAGGCTCCCTGGCACAGCCTGCACTGCCTGTCCTTCCTGTTGACTGATTTACATGCAGTGCCACAATGGCCCAGGTTCAGATGTTTGGTGCCATCCAGGGAATTTGGCATTGTCATTTCCTTATGTTTTAATATAAGTTTAAATCCTTGCAACCACTCTGCAAATGCCAAGCTTTCCTTTCTTTTACAGAAAGCTCAAGGTTCCCAGAAGTCTTCTGACATCCTCTTTTGTGCTCAGAGAGATGACATTTAAAAACACATGTTTCCAAAGTTAATAGCATTTTAAAGAACAATTAAATAAAATAGTCCTCGATTCCTGCTTAGATGAACTACCTTCTGTGTCAGACACTGAGATTACCACCTCTAAGGCGTGAACTGTTTGTGCCACCCATCCCTCCTGTCCTTCTCCTCAGCAGCCTGTGCCTGTTTTCCCCAGGAGAATCCCTGTACCCTTGCACCCTTCCAGGAGCAGTTGCACAAAGGCACACATCTCCCCTTGCACTCACCAGTGGGTTTCTCTCATCCCCAAACACGCCGATAAGAACGTTGGTACGATGCTTGCCCAGTCTTTGGACTTCAATTGTAACTGGAATCTCTGCAATGCTGTGAGGCTGGACAATCCCACAGGGTTTGGGGCTGGAGTAGAACACAGGAGAGTCCTCCTTGCGTTCCTGGAAGGGACAGAATCAAATGCAGCTTCAGAGGGACCTCTGAAGAAATTTTAGACTCCAGCGCAACAGCAATTTACACACATTTTTAAAAATCCCCAGGACAAAGGTAAAAGGCACAAACAAGATGCAAGAATTGTAGGCTTAGCATTCTCAGGGGGTCCTGCAAGGAAGCTGCCAGCACGGGCACTGGTGTCTGTGGATGCAGCAGCTTTTCACAACCCTCTAAGATCTCCCACAAGAAAACACCCTGAAGACTAGAACATGAACTGTTTCCTCAGGAGGTTAAACTGCCTCCTAAAGTTTACATTCAGCTAGGATGCTGTTCTCAGCAGATCTTTAAGACTGAACAGAAACCAGCAAGGTCTTATCCAAACCCTTTTCCCCCTAATAATCTCCTCAATAATATTTGAGAGGAGGAGGTGGATGCGATGCCAAACCTGGGGAATAAGCCCGTAGCAGCCAGGAAGGTCGGTGGGATTCCCAATGACCAACTTCCTCTCAAACGGCACCTTCAGCTCATACTCATCGTGCGGCGGGATTTGGTGGGACACACGCAGCTCAGGAATGCAACACCTGGGCAAAGAGATGACCCCAGGGGAATCAGAGATACTGAGAGAATGGAGAATGTTTACCCCCAAAGATTGTGAAATGGAGCATAACACATTTGTCACTGTCAAACAGACATTTAACAGCCCTACAGTGATAAATTGCCAAGTCTTCCCACTCCAACACGTCTTGTCAAGGAGGGGCAAACCCTGAGAGGCAGCAGCCAGAGGCTGCCAAGTGCCCCAGGCAGAACACTTTGTCCCACCGCTGCCTCAGCCCCTCCTTTACCCAAGGGGGCTTGCAAAGACTCCTGTAACAGTCCCAGTGATCCATGAGCTCTGGGGGAGCCTTCCCAACAAGAATCAGTGCTCACTAGGGCCCCAGGAACACACAACTCCAGTGTCTCAGTAAAAATTATTATCTTCTCTCCCACAGTGCTGTTGCCCTGCTTGAGAACTCAGCTGTTTGCCCAGCCTTGGAGGGCACGAGACACCCCCTGCCCTGCAGAGTGGGTGATCACCCCTCCCAGCTCCTACAGCTCCCTCGGGCCCTCACTCCACAGGTCCATGCACTGACTGTCCCCAGTTGCACTTGCTTGACAAAATGGCAGCCCAGGCACTGACTGGCTCTGCCTGGGACAGGGAACAGCACCAGGGAACTGCATCCCTCGTGTCATTAAACTGACAGCCACAGCAGCATAGCAGGATGGAATTCTGCTGCAGCAAGAACGACTTTTGGGTTGAGTCTGACAACATTAAAGCTCAAAATGGGTAGCAGAGGGAAGGAGAAAAACTAGAGCTGACCTGCCACATCAAGGCCTGTTTTCCCCTTGTAAGACCTTGCCCTCACCACTCTTGCTGTGAGCCACTTCCCCCTGCCATGTGCCCTCATTGACAGAACCAGACCCTGACTCTCAGCAGGCTGCTTGGTGTGTCCCAAACCAGTGCAGGGTGGTCACAACCAGCACAACTCCACCTCTTACAGGAAGAAGGAGAGGAGGCCCTTGGGAAATTTGCTCCAGCTCAAGCACCAAAAACCAGGCCAATAAATTTGATCATTCCTGAGCCCTTTAGAAAAGGGCCCAGGACCATGCTGGGCTGTGAGCAGGGTGCTTTTCCCCACAGGCTGCTGTCCAAGCACTGCTGTTCTCATGTCCAGCTTGGCACAACATGAGGTCATTAGACAGCACTTCTCCTTGGGAGCTGCAGCCAGCAAACCCTGCGCAAGGCAGCGGCTGGGGGAGGCCAGGGAAGGGCTGGTACCTGGCTGTGACGACCAGTGATTCCACTCCCTCGCCATAACCCTCCAGGTCCACCAGCATTTTCCGGCAGAATTCCATCGCCGTGTTGGAACACAGGGTCACCTGGTAGAAGAGAAGAGCAGCAAATTCTTCCTTACAAAAGCTCATTATCCACGTGTTATATCCTCCAGTTCTTGAGGGAGGATTTTGCCTTAATTCTTCAGCTGGTTCATGTGTAGAGCACAGTCTCAGAGCAACAAAAGCCTTCTGGCAATACCAGATTTGATAAACACACCTTGCTATCAGGGCATAGGTCAGATACATTAAAACATTAGACTAAAGCTCTATGCCCCACTGTATTCAAATTAAGGGGCGAATTTTTCCTCTGGCTATAATGACATAAAATCTGACTTGAACAGAATGAGTTCAGCTTTAGAGCAGGAAGCTGAGGGCAAAGTGAGGCCCAGCAGGTGCTTGGCAGTTCATGACTGCAGTTTTTTGTCTCCACTGGAGGTCCCTGCAGTGAACACAAATCATTCTGCTCTCCAGGTGTCATGGTTTGATACGGAAAAAATTTTCTAGGAAGGAAGAGGTCAACCAGTCAGGGGTCAGGGTTGGATATTGACACTTGGGGTGACCAACTGAGGGTGGACACGCCTCTGAGAACACAGAGGGGTTAAAAGCAGAATTCCCAGGAGAACTTTCTCTCTCTTTGGTTCTGGTCAGGGTGCAGTGCAGACACTCCCCTGCCCGGCCCGTGGCTGGGTGGGGGAGGGGACTCATGCGGCCCAGGCTGAGGTAAGGCTGAAGGGTGGAGGGTCTGGAACCGGCTCCGGCTCCCTGTGGGTGGAAGGGTGGAAGAAATCTGGGATGTTTGTGTTCCCCCCCAGAGTCTCTCTGGAGAGAGAGAAAGAGACAGCGACAATGCCACCAGTACTGCGGCAGAGGAGGAAGGAGGGGAAAAGGTGCCCAGTTGTGGGAGCTGGAGATCTGGGCAGAGAGCTTGGCTGTCTGGGGAATTTGAGACTTTTAACCTTTCCTTGAGAAATGAAAGCTTTGTGAAATATTACTCCTCCTCGGTTTGAAAGAGAGGAAGAGAGACAGCCTGGGACCTGAGATGTTAGGAAAAGAAGGCTGGGGGGGAAGATGATGGAGTGGCTTTTGGCTGGACTATTTCTTGTTAGCCATAGACTGAACCAATTTCTCCTCCAAGAGAGATACTGCATTGTAGGAGGATGCACGGTGAGCCAAGAGACCTGCTTCAGCAGCTGAGAAAAGACAGAAGTGGAGTGAACAGAGAAAAGCTGAGGAGGGTTGTGGTGACACCAGCTGTTTTCAGAGAAGAAGAAGAGGAGGGGAGGAGGAGGGGAGGAGGAGAGGAGAAGATTTGTGTTCTTGGACCCTTGGCCCCAGGGGGAAATGGGGAGGACTGTGGTCCCAAAACTGAAAAACTGAACTGCTGTTTTCTTTTTTTTCCCCTCGGCAAAGCATCCTTGAAAAGAAAATCCTAGGAGCAGTCTGTCCATGCACAGTGGTGAGAGCACTGGGCATGGAAAGGAGACTGTCACATTGGCAGATTTTCTCCAGGTGGTGCCATGTGTGACATGGAAACACAGGATGTGGCAGCTGTGTTTCTTGGGGGGTCTATGGCACAGGAGGGACTCCTCTCTCCCTCGATGGACTGAGTATTGATTATCTGAAGGGTGGGAACCTGACTGGGGGTCCAAGATGTGTCTCACTGTAGGATTTGTCATTTTCTTTTTTTCCCCCCCCCATCCCCCCTCCCCTCGCGTTCCCCCTTTGTCCTGCGTCCCCTTCTCACTCCCCCTCCCCCCACGGTCCCTTGTCCCGACCCTTTGTTCCCTTATCTCTCCCCCTCACCATGCAGTCCGGTCCTGGTCCCTGCCCACCCCCCCCGCCTTTCCCGTTGCGGTCCCCAGGGTTTCCCTGCCCCTGTCCCCTGCCCCTGTCCCATTTGCCACTGCTCAGGTTCCCCCCCGCCCCCGGCACAGGGTATAACCGAGCCCCGCTCGGTCCCCCGGTGCCTCGGGACACGCTCCCACAATAAACACGTGTTTGTACCCGAGCCCCGTGTCGCCATTTCGTCTGTTCCCGCGCTAGAACTGAGCCTCGCAGAGCTGAGGGGAAAGCGGCCGCTGCCTATCCCCTCCTCTTACCGTGCTGGGCAGGCGCCCGCCCAGAGCCGGTCTCGCACGGCAACATCTCACTATGGTTTGTTGGAAATGGTGGGGGGAGAGGAATGTTTTGGAAGGTTTTAATTTTGGATTTAGTGTGTGTTTTTTCTTCTTCCTTTTATAGTAGTAGTAGTTTAATTAAGTTTTTCCATTGTTATTAAGCTTGGGTTTGCTGTGCTCTGTTCCTGATTCTATCTCACAGCATTCATTTGGGAGGTTGCATTTTCATGGAGGTGCTGGCATTGTGCCAGTTTCAAACTGTGACACCAGGAGAGGGGAAATGAGACCAAGAAGAAAAGCTAACTGCGTTATACAATGACATCCCTCTAACAGCCACCTTCTGTCCTCATCCTTCCTCTGCCCACTGCAATCAAAGAAATCTCTCTCAAAATCACAAGAATGGCTTCAGTACTTGACCATATGGTATGTGATCTCAGCTTGTGATTTTGGAAACAACACAGTGCTCCTTGAGGAACATCCCAAGGAAGCCAGCTAGCAGAGGCCTCTCACCAGTGCAGATCTCTCACTCACACAGGGCTCCAAGTGCTCAAAGCTGGCACCTGAGCTAAAGCCCTCCCACACTCCAGGGAAGCTGCAGCCCTGGTGCTGAAGCGTCTGTGGCTGGGCTCTTCCCATACCTCGATATCCTGGTGTCCCTGGGGGAGGATGGTTCCTTGGCTGGGATTGATTGTAAACTCTCTTGGCTCCACATAAAAACGAATTCCCTCCCTCCAGGACGGGTCACTGTTGCTGCGTATCTGATCAAAGACATTCACAGCAGGCTGCGTGCCATCCTTCGACATGCGGAGCTTGAACGTCACGGGCACCGGGGAGGTGTTAGTCAGGCGACAGCTCTGGGTGTAGGGAAAGCCTAGGATAGGACACAAATATCCATTTAGGCACCAATTATGGCATGACTCCTGGTGTGAATATCCTGGTAGGATGAAAGTGTCACTGGAGTTTAGCTCTATATTGCCTGAACTACAGCTCACTGAGCAGCTGCAGGAGGAATTGATCATCACTTAGTTCCCTTTGACACTGATTCCAGACTGCAGCCTTGAAAATGCCCACTCCTAGCCCTGCTGAATACTGCAAGCTTCTCTCTTTGTGATGGGGAGGAGCTCCCTCACCTGCCCCAAACCAGCGTCAGTTATTACTCAGTGGTGAGTGTGCACCCAGACCGAGCATTTACTCTGAGAATTCAGGCTGTAAAATTCCCTGTTACGGCTGCCAACACTCCCACCCTTTTCAAGATCTATAAACAGTGAATCGTCATTGAGAAGAAGCTACAGCAAAACAAAGTGAGGATGCAGTCAGGAACTAGAACGTGATGCAAAGCACCCTAATGCAGTTTCCCTCTGCAGGATCCTTAAGGCAGCTCTTGGTTTGGGCCAAACAGACTGAGCACTTGACAGCTCAGAGCCCACTCAGCTGGAGGCAAACCCGAGCCTTGCTTTGAGATTAGCAATTAGGAACCATGTCCCACCTCACCCAACAAATGGGGACATCACACCTGTGCTGCTCACTGTGATTGCTGCCTGCAAGGGCTTACCCCACTCTAGCTCTGAGATTTGCTTTCCATACAGAAAGTCAGATCCAGCCAGGCACGGTGGGGATGTCCTGCAGAGCCCGGACAGCAGCCACAACCTGCTCTGCAGTGGACATCTGGCTGGGCTGGCCAGCCCTGTGGGGAGGAGGCTTCTCCCTGGGCCTGCTCACCCAGAGTCATTGGAACACAGATGGGGAGAAACAACAACTGCAGGTACAGCCCAAAGCTTCTCTGTGCCCATCAACAGTGACCACTGCCAGCTCCAGCAGTGACTCCAGCAGGGAGGCAAGAGAGGCACAAAAAGGACAAACACAGATGTCAAAACCTCAAATGAGACTGAGGTCACCACATGCAGACAGCAATCAACAGTTTAAAAGAAGCAAAGATACAACAGCTGCCTTCAGCTGAAGAGACCTTAGGAATGAAATCGGACTAAGCAGGATGAATCTCCTGTTTCAGAACCATATTTCTACCTGTTGCCTTTCTTGTTTCATTTATTCAAAAGGCAACTTGACAAGTGCCTCTGTGGTGATGCAGGGTGAGGAAGAAGCAGCTCAGGAAAAGCAATTACTTTTCTTAAAATGTTAACGAACTTCATTGTTATGGGTTTAGGCTTCTTAGTGAATGTTCCCCTTGGGCTGGGAAGGGGGATGGGGGTTTTGGGGGGTTTTGGCTCCTGGGGTGGGCTTCTCCATTCGGGAATTTTGGAGTTGTGTGATGCCGTGGGCGGCTGTGAGGCCGGACCTGAGGTTCGGCAGGGAGCGGAGCTTCCCCTCCTCCCGCTCGGGATCGAAGGTGCTGCTGCTGCTGCGGGAGGTTGTGTGCTTGGCCCCGGGACTGCCCTGGGCTGCGGCTCAGCACTGGGATCCAGCCTGCCTGCCTTCCCCGCTCCTGCCTGCTGCTGCTGGGCAGTGCCGAGATCCCCTCTGCCCGTGAGTTTGCAAAGGGGCATTTCCCATCTTCTTCCTTCCTTCCGCCCGCTGGGAGGGGATCACTGCCCTGCCAGAGCCCACAGCTCCTCCTGCTGTGATCATAACTACACCAAAGGGGAGAAGCACTACTTGGCGGGTGGGAAACATCTGCTCTTGCATTGTTGTCTCTGCTGTCCCGACTTTCTATGCCTTGGTTCTGTTTGATCTCACAATGGCAAAAGGCTACCTGAGGCACCAGCAGCCCTGGAGTTCACACCCTGAAGAGGCTGCTGTGGCAGAACATGAGTGAGGGATGCTTTGATGTTCAAGTGCTCCATTGTGGAACACACAGATCCCTCATGCTGTGTCCCAGCCCAGGGAACACTCACCAAAGGAGATGGCCCCGAAGCTGAGCTCATCAAGGTCGAAGTGTAAAGTCGGTTGAGTGACATTGACCCTGCGATGGCAAGAACAGAGGAGGAAATGGTTTGGTTAAAGGGATTGCAAAGGTCCGGCTGTCGTGGCTCAGCGGAGCAAAACCTGGTGTCAGGGCACTGTGGGGCTCAAATCAACAGTCACCATGTGCTCAGCACAGTGCCCCTGTGGACAGGAGGCAGCTACAGCCAAGTGGCCAGCAGCCAACAGCCATTGATAGGGCTTTGGGCTCAGGGCAGGCAGGAAAAGCCCCCTGGTTGCTGGTGGTCCCATGAAGGACCCTGAACACACACCCAGACATGGCCCTGTGCCTCACTTTCCCCATCTGTAATGTGATGGACATAGAGGTGTCCCCACAAACTTCTGTAAGCAGCCTTTCCAGCCACAGGTTCCCTGCTTTGCTACTTCTGAGCTGGAACTGCTGTTCCCATGGAGGAGCTTGACCCACACAATCATTACAGAGAGAGTTTTGAGACATGAATCCAGGGGAGCCCCAAACATCCTCTGGAAAGAGCAGCAACAGTTCTACACAGTGGACAGATGAATCCTAGAGAGAAGGAGCAGCTTGTCAGCAGTGCACCAGCTGGCACAGCCAAGAGCAAGAGCTTAAACAGCCAAACAAGGGTGTCCTGCATCTAGCACACCACCTCACCTGTCCTTGAACTCAGCAGACAGACTCCAAAAGTCACCAACTGAAAACCAGCACTTGAAGCTGCACAACATTCACGAGTTTATTTCATGGTTGATGCCAATCAATGCCCACTCTGCCTTCTGGTTAAAAATCAAGGACCAGTGAACTGTGCCTTCTGTTGTATTTACAGGACTGCCACTGGCTCTGCTCTACACCTCTCAACAAGAGACACCTGCCCTTGCTCAAGGAGAAAGCTGCTTATGCAGAAACATCCCATGACCAGTTTGGGGGAGGGACAGAGGAGAATCAATTATTTGATGGTGAAAGGTTCTCTCTTGATTTCCAAAATAAAAAAGCATCACTTTTCCTCCAAAAACAAAGTCAGCATGATTGTTTCTCCACTATAGGCAGACCTACTCACCACTTTTTTCTTGCTAAGTAGTAACTTTCTTGTTCTTTTTTATCTATCTCCCTTATCTCATTGGTATAATTGACTGCAGATTGCTTTAATTTCTTTACTGCCTTGACCCAGTGCCTCCCAACAGCAGCAGCCCAGCTCCAAAGCTCCAGAGCAGCCAGCATCAGCTCTCCTGCTTACCCTACACGATCCTAGCAGCACATGGCTCAGGCTAACAGGGACAAGCCCTCATGCTGCTGTGGTGCTGAGGACTGAGCTCTGCCTCCCCTGCTATCAGCCCTTCTCCCTTTTGCTGAGCCAGGATTATCTCTTGCCATGGCACCAGGCCATAGGATGACACCCCTGTCCTTGGGACAGTTCCTGCTGCACAGTTCCCTGTCTCCCACATCAGCCCTCTCCTGGCTGTGGAAAGGAGCTCCCAGGGCACTCTCTGCACAGGAGCTGAGAGCACGGCTCGTGCCCCACAGCATGGCCGTGAGAGGTGAGGTGAGGCTGCTGCTGCTGCCCATCTGGGATGGATTATTAACAGAAGTTTTTAAAAACACTGCTGCTGGTGCAGAATCACCCAGGCTGGCCCATCTCCAAAGCCCTGGGGGCCTTGCTGGCTGTTCAGGGGGACATCCCAGAGCAGCTACTGCCCAAAGCTGATCCATCCCACTGCCTGCCATGGCCCAAGGCAGAGGGAGATCCCTGCAGGGAGGAGTCATTCCAGCTCCTGGGTACACACAGGGCAGGAGGCATCCTCACACTAAGGCAATGCCAGGATCAGAGCAGAGATTGAGATCGCAGGAAACACCTTTTTTCTCTTCTCAACCCCAAAATGAGGAAGGTGTCCCAGATGTGCCCACCAAGCTCCCACAGTCCTTACTTGATGGGCAGGATTGCAGGCACAGGAGATCCAGCCACACTGAACTGGAATTCTTCCTCAAACTCCCCCAGCACGGTGGCATTGAAGGAGATCTGAATAGTCTGGATCCCACCTGGTGCAATGATGCCCTCCTCAGGTGCAAACTTGAAGCAGAAGCCCACGTTTGCAGTTGAAGGGATATAGGTGAAGGGAGCATCAAGAGCTCCTTGGTTAATCAGCTTCACCTGCAGCAGCAAGAAAGCAAAATGGAAATACACATGGAATCTTCCCTTCTTGTGAGTTATTTTCTAATGATGCAATTAACACCCAGAAAAGGCAGAAGGTGCTTTGTGCTGCTGAATGGCAGAAGTTAAAAGATACAATGGGACAAGGTCTGCCTTTGGGTTTTCATGTAAAGCCGTGGTGACTCCACATAACTGCAGTCACCCTGGGGTTATCCCATGGACACAGAGCAGTCACCTCTGGTCAGCACCACCAAGCTCATTCAGACCTGGCCCTGAGAGCAACGTGGGGTGACTGCAGCTGCGTAGTGAATCACCACAGCGCTGCTGCTGCCCCAGCGAGCACAGCTCCAACAGTACCATCTACTCATTCACCTTTTCTCATACCATGAAAACAATACATTGATTAGGAGGCATTCTAAATGTATAGACAGCACCATCTTTTGGTAAGAAAAATCAGTGTGTCTTTCCCTTCTCCAGCCAGGCTTTTGAAAGTGTCTGGCATGAGGTAGTGCCTAATTTTCTACCTCTTTCAGTTGCTCTCTCATGATTTTTTTTGCAAACTTGACACTATTGGGGGAAGGCAAATAGGTAGAAAAATCCTTTGCTTTATTCCCAGGAACATGTTTCTCTTTCTAGAGCCTGAAATGCACCAAGGCTGAAGTATGGTGAGGGATTGGGCAGCAAGGGAAAGAGCTCCCAAGCTCTTTGCAAGAGCCAGCACTGAGCCAGGAGGCTGGATGGCTTTTCTGTGGCTTCCAGGAATGAGCAGCAGACACTTGACTGGAAGCTGTTTCCAGTGGACTGAAGCCCAAACACAGCCAGTTTGTTCCAGCTGCTTCTGAACAGCCCAGTACAAAGGTGCCTTGTGTCTGGCACTGCCACAAAAGCCTCTGAACGTGCAGCTGTCTGACCCCCTGTTGCTCTCATGTGCCAAGGGGTTGTTCTGCAGGAAGCCTCCCAGCTGATCCCTAAGGAAGGCTGCCCAAAAGCAGGGACTGGGGCTTCATGAACCACAGACACACCTTTCTGACCCCCCCAGATTTGACCACTACATCAAATATTCCCTGCTCACAACTGCCCAGGTTGGCAGGAATTCCACAGCTCCACCAGGCTTGCTGCTGCCTCAGGAGCCATCAGGATCCATCCCAAGCCCTGCTGCTCACCTCATAGACGTGGAGGGTGTTGACAAGGATGTTCCCAAGGTTCAGTGAAGGAGAGCTGAATTCAAGCAAGGTTCTTTGGCCTTTCCCTCTGAGGCGCAGGGGCAGCCTGCTCTCACGGCCTGGGGAGAGATGTCCATTTCAGTACAGTAATTCCCTCTGTTACACTGCATTTTCCCGGCTGCCTCAGTGCTAGTCCCTGACTCTGAGCTGGATGCAACCAGCTCCTGATGCTGCAGGAGAAGTTATGGACCCTTCTCTTCCCTCAGGAGACATCCCTTGGGGCTGACTTGCAATTTCTAACCCATTCCTTGGGCTGGTTTCCAATTTTAGCCACCAGTTTGCTGAGTTTAAAACATCTCTGATGTAGTGACAGGCCAAGGAGCAATGGGTAGAAATGAAGGAAAGGAAAATTAGGTTAGATATTAAGAAGAATTATTTCACTGTGAGGGTGAGAATTATTTTACTGTGAGACACTGGAGCAGGTTCTCCAGGGAGGATGTGAAGGTTCCAGCCCCAAAAGTGTTCAAAGCCAAGCTGGATGGGGCTTGGAGTTACCTGGTTTAGGGGGAGGTGTCCCTGCCCATGGCAGGGGCCTTGGGACTAGATGATCTTTAAGGTCTGTTCCATCCTTACCATACTGTCATTCTGTGGTTTCCTTCCCATACACTTAGAGGAGCTCTGAAATCCATTCAGTGAAGGCACAAAGCTCATCAAGAGTTTGGCAATTGCCAAACCACCTTGCCCAGCAGCACACGACTTTGTTACCAAAATCCTCAACTTCTGGCACTCAGCATTGTGTTCTACTTCCACAGACTGAGTTGCAAGGTGACAATTCCCACACAGGGACAGAAGCAGGTGCTGGCCAAGGGTGCTCCTTCTACAAACACCCTGGGCTCAGCGGGGCTCAGCCACTCTGGTCTGGTGGTGTCTGGGCAGTGGGAGTGATCCAGGGTCAGGGAGCCCATTTCTAACTCAGCTCCCACCTCCTGATGATGGAGCCGTGTCAAATGGACCCATCCTGGAGGTCAGTGGCCTAGAGGGTTCAGTGCTTGTTCACTAAAGCTGTTGTGCTCTGCAGCTCTTTGGCCTTTGAGGAAATGCTGGCAAAGCCATGGCAGGAAAACCTCTCCCTGCACTGCCTGGGTTGTTCTGGGATCAGTAACCCAGACACAGGATTCTGAGCCCTGGCCTTGCACAGGAGACTCCCTGGAAGCTGCAGGGCCAGTGGGGATGTGCCAGCACTGCCCTGCTGACCAGGGACTCTTCCCAGCAGTTACAGGGGAGCCCAGTGGGCTCAGGCTTGCACCATGGCTGCACTGTGGCTCAGAGCAGGAGGGGAAAGGAGCTGTACCTGAGATGTTGCAGTAAGCCACACTTTGGTACTTCAGTGCTTCCAGGGGTTTGAAGGTCACCTTGATCTCGGCCGAACAATTTGGCCCAATTTCTCCCTCCTAAAACACAAAGAGACAGCAAAACATTTATCTTCCAACTGCACATTTCTTGTTTTCGACCACAGTCCTGTAAGCCTTTATTTAGAGCATCAGTGATGAGTGAACAACACAAAGAGCCCAAGGAAGCACTCTAAAGCCAGCTCAGCACACCCCAGGAAGCTCTCAATGCTCAGCTGATCAGCTCCCACCCTCCACAATGTTCCTACTGCTCTGACACAAGCTCTTGGTCACCTCATGCTGCTGTCACCTACAGTGGGATGCAACTGCCACTGTGCACTGGTGGCTCTTGGCCTTAGATGGGCCATAGGAGTAGCCAAGGAGAGAACATGATCCCCTTCCTTGAAATACAAGTGTTAGTTAACCTGTTTTGGAAGAATGCAGAGGTTGGGATTATTCTGGGGTTTACTCCAAGATGAGGAGGGATTTTGCACTGTGCAGACACCAGGCATTCATCATCTCTCACAATGCCAGCACTCAGAATCAGGGCTCGGGTTGGTGGGAGGACGTGGCAGTTTGCTTGCACAAACAGAAAAGGAAAAGGTTTTCTGCCCCTGTGTGCAAGAGAACTCAAAGGCCCATTTAAACCTTCCACTCTTGTGTCCAGGCTCTCAGATGACACTGGGACATTCAGAAATAGTGCAAGGTGTGGTTACAGGAGGGGATTGGCATTTCTGTGATTAACCTTGGGCTGAATTTGGCCTCCAGCGAACCATTGCAAGCTTGAGGTCAGTATGTGAACTGGCAGAGCTCCAACAGCCTCTGCTGAGCCCCACGCACCACGTGTCAGAGGAGCCCCTGCCTACAAGAACTGCTCCCCATGGACACTGCAAGGACAGCACAGAGCACCCTTGAGCTCAAGCTCTGGCAGCAGAGCTCGGCTTTGTCAGGCTCCCAGCCCTGCCTTGAGCCTGCAGGGCAGAAATGCTTCCAGCAGGGAGCTCTGCAGCCACGCCAGAAACTCCATGTCCTCCCTCCCAGCACTTCCAGCCAGCTGAGGATCCACGGAGTGCCCGCATCTGGGGGGAAGGGGGCCGGGGAGAGGGTGGGTGGGAGGAGGAAGAGGAAGAGGAGGAGGAGGAAAATGAGGTTCTCAGCTATCACTTACCATTGGCTCAATGGAAAAAACATCACTGGAGAACAGCAGGGGGTCTTGTTGCACCTTTGCCATCTCCTCCTGGACCATGTTCCTCAGGACAGCAGGGTGATCTTCATAAAAGCCCGTCACCTTTTGTATTTTTAACATCTCCTTGAAGTTTTCCGCCCACACCTCATTTGGCGGGTACAGCAAACGACACTGCCTGCAGCCACAGGGAGAGACAAGGCCAGCAGATCTTTAATAAACCACGTATTTGCAGAGGGAAGTGTGAGTGCAGGAGGGCAAAGCACTTGGGGAGGAGCAGCAGCAGCTCCCCAGCAAGGGCTGGCCCCAAGCCATGGGGGTCCCACATGGATCAGAGGATAACTTGCTGTTCACTGGCACAGAAGGTAGTTTTACTCCACACTTGTGAGCTCAGGAGAGGTTTCCAAAGCCAGCATCCCTCAAGAGAACCCCCTGGCTCAAAGCCTCTGCCAAAACTGAGGGAGAATCCACCTGACATCTCAGCTGGCTTTTCCTACTACTGAGTGCTCAGGGGAGGCAGATAAAGATCATGGAGCACCCACTGCAGGACTTCCCTGGGTTGCAGCTACATGTTACCAGCATCACTCTTTGTTTCTGCCATTTTGGACCTGCCCTGTTCCCTACTCTGCCTTTCACAAGAGCATCCCAGAGCACTTCCAAAGGAAATGGATGAATTCAGGCACCGAATCCCTTCAGTGGCATTCAAGGTTTTATATGCAACATGCATGAAAACAGAGGCTCTGAGAGGGGAAGGGACTTTGTTGTGCAGGAGGGAACAGCAAACTCCTGGAGAGGCCTTTTCATGATCTAGAGCTTTTGGGGCATGGCAGGTTGCAGTTCTTTCAGCTTTTGCGTGGCAGTTGGCACAAGCAGCCTGAGCAGAAAGGGTGCAGCCAGACAGCCTCCTTGTGTAGTGGGTTGTGTCTTTTGGCTGCTTGTGAAGTGCTTGCCTTTTTTTTTTCCTTTCTTCTTTCTGCCTTTTTTTTTTTTTTTCCCCAGCAATGTTTTACATATGATGAAAAGCCGTTGCTGCTTCTCCTGCCAGCAGGAGTTGACTAACTCAAACAGAACCCCCCAGGAAGGACGCAGCTGTCCAGGCCCCTGGCTGCAGGGAGGGTCTGAGCCTGGTGTCGATATCAAAGGACAGTGTGAAAGACACCTGTGTGTGGTGTCAGCAGGTGAGTGATCTGCTCTGTCCAGCGCCAGAACTTAAGGAAGAAGTGGAAAGGCTGAGGAGCATTAGGGAGAGTGAAACAGAAATAAACTGGTGCAGTTACACCCATCCAACCCTGAGAGAAGCTCAGCAGGAGCCAGAGGAGTCCTGCCCTTCTTGTGATGAGGCAGAAGGAGGAGACCTAAGAGACAGTGGGGAATAGAAATGGGTCTCTACTGGGGAGGTAATAAAATTCCTTCCTGACCCCCATCACCTACCCAGGTGCCCTGAGAGAATAGGTATGAGGCCCTGGCTCCAGAGGGTCTGGCAGATGACACCAAAGAAAAAATTCTGTCTGGAGAGTCTCCCAGTTGCACTTGTCTGTCAGACAGATCACAGCCTTAAGTATTAAGAAGAAAAGAAGGGTAGTGGTAGTAGGTGACTCCCTTCTAAGGGGAGCTGAGGGCCCTGTATATTTGACCAGATGCATTCCACAGGGCAGTGTGCTGCCTCCCTGGGATCCAGGTACTGGATATCACCAGGAGATTCCCTAATGACTAAATGAACTTCATCTGTTCACCACAGTCTGCGGTACAGTGACCAGGAAATAATAAGAGTTCTCAATATTCAGTGAAACAAGGACAGGCATCAACAAAACTTCCACTCTGGACTTCTGGAGGGCAGATTCAGCCTGTTCAAGAGACTGATTTGGAGAGTACCTTGGGAAACAGCCCTTAAAAACAAAGGAGTCCAGAAGAATGGACATACTTCAAGAAAGAAGTCTTGAAGGCACAGGAACAGACTGTCCCTGTGTGCTGAAAGATGAGCTGACGGGTAAGACAACCAGCCTGGGTGAGCAAGGAGCTTTTGAAGGAACTAAGGGAGAAAAAGAGGGTGTATCACCTTTGAAAAGAGGGGCTGGCAACTCAGGAAATATTTAAGGATGTTGCCAGGTCACGTAGGAAGAAGATTAGAGAGACACAAGCCCAATTAGAACCTGAGGAAATCCAGTCCTTGCAACCAACCTTTCCTTCCCAAAATGCCATGGTTGGAGTATAAATGGAACTGGAATGCTCAGTGCTGAGCTCCTGAAGCCCAGGGACACACACCCTAGGGCCAGGGATGGTTTACTTGGCCTAAACCATTCAAAAGCACCAACACCCCCCTGAGGCCACACCTCAGTTTCAATCTTGGGCCATGTCTCTCACTGAAATGCGTCTTTCAAACCAACCTCCTCTTCTCTTTATTGTCATCTTCCTCAGTAGGAAAAGTCTTCCACTGGAAGTGAGCTGTGATGTTACTCCTGTTTTCAATGAACATGGTTTTGTGGTTTGTCATGGTGATGAAAGTCTTCTCAAGCTTCACAGAATATGTGCTCAACCCAACGTTGAGATCTACAGCTTCTCCATGGAGGTTCATGTGGATACTTTCTTCACCTGGAACAAAGCAAAAGGGAGTCTTTGCTCAGCTCACTGGCTGATGGAAGCACAAGGAACAGCTGGCTGATGGAAGCAAACCACAGGTCACAGAAGAACGTTTCAGTTTTTAGCTGAATGAGCAGTTCCATGGATCAGTACATTTATCACATCCTGACAGCTCTGGGTGTACAGAGTGAGGATGTCCTGGGCAGCTCCTTAAACACCTTATTTCTCAGTGTGTTTGTAGAGATTTGGCCCCAAGGTGACAGTATGTGCAGTGAGATTTGTCAATGTGCTCTGGTGACCCACTTTGATCACCGGGATTTCTGCATCAAAGTCCTTCAGGTGATGCTGAGGAGCCCTGCTCAGTCCTGGCCTGCCCAGGGTCTCCCAGGGCATTCCACGAGACTCCTGTCTCTCCTGATCCCTTGGATCCCTTGTTGCTGACCAGCAAATACGCCTGGGGGCATGTGGGCAGCAAAAGGAGGCCCAGAGGAACAAGGGAAGTGACAGCCCACAGCAGGAGGGGACACAGGTGAGGAAACACAACCAGCCTGGCTCTGCAATGGCAAACCACTGCAAAATGAACACCATGAAAATCATCATCATCTCCCTGTCTAAACCCACAGCCACATCAGTCTTGAAATATTTTATACTGTTCTGATCTCAAAAACCAAGCTGGAGCATTGCAAATTAAATAAAAAAGGGACAAAGGAAAGATTAATAAGTACAGAGCAGCTCCTATATGAAGACTGAATGGGATTCCTCAGTCTAGAAATCAAATGGGAGATAGATGTGAGAGGTTTGCAAGAGCATGAACGGTCTGGGAAATGGGGACAGGGAAAAACTTGTCTTGATTTGTCACCAAACAGGAACTTGAGGGCCTGAAAATGTTATTAGACAGAAACTACATATATGTGTAAGGGCAACATAGAAAAAGGGTCTGTGACAAGCCAATGGAGAAGCAGCATATGGCATAGGGGTGTGCAAGAAATACAATGCATTGGAGGGAGTCTGATGGAGACCTCACATACAGCACTGCCCAGGGATAAAATAAAACTTCATCCAGGCATAGCCACATGGTAGTGGAGAATCAGGGATCCTCCTTCCTCCACTCAGCAACTCCCAGCAAAAATCTTAGCCCTGTTAGAGGCGATGCACTTTATCAACCCCCTAAACAACAAGGAGTTCTCAGTTTTCTCTGGGGTAAAGCTGAATGGGGAGGGACCTCTAGAGGGAATGGAGGAGGATGGGACAACAGGGAGTGATGGTGCAGAACTGTCCCGTGCCCCGTGCAGGGCCCAGCACTCACCTGTGTTGTAGCACACTACCAGGGACCCATAATGGTCCCCAGTCGTCAGTGCGTGGAATCCCACTGTCACCTGCATGCTGTCACCAGCGCCCAGAGTTCCCGTGGCCGGAACCACAGAGAAAGGACTGCAACACAGAGAGACGGATCAGGGCTGGGGGGACACCTGGGGATGAGATTCCTTCTGCAGTGCAGCTCACTTGGGCAAGCAGGGAGCAAACAAACCACAGTCAGCAGAAAGACGACAGGACCAGAAACAGCCACTGACCCACTTCTGAGGAGATCCGGCCCCCAAAGGATCCTGTGGGTAAAATTACCTCATCTCCCCCATACGCTGCATCCAGCCCTCTGCAATGAGACTCAAGGGTCTGACTGCCAGCAATCCCATCAGAGAATGGTTTGTGAAAAGCACAGAGAGGGTTCAGAGCTACCTGCATGCACAACTTGACACTGACTGCCTCAGGAATTTCTCTTTTCCTGCTGCCTATAAACCTCATCTCAAGAGATGCAAATGTAAGGGCACTCCCTGTCCTGTGAGATTACAGCCTGGAATCAGGGAGAAGGAACTTTTCCTTGAAGACCAAAGAATATTTACTGTAGAATTTGCAGTGTGGTTCTTTGGTTTATTTTACCTTGAAAATGTCCTGATTTAGCCTAAAATGGCACATTTTACCAGCATTTCAATGAAAGCTTGGAAACCTAAAAGAAGGATGCCATTTAAAGTCTGAAGGATCCAATCCCAGCTAAATGAAGCACCATTAGCAGGAGCACATCAAGGAATCAGAACAGGAGGTTTCTGTGTATTTACTAGCAATACAATCTGGGACTCTGGGTTGTCATCCAGACTGGTAATTGTTTGCTTGGCCCAAAGAGAAACTCTGTGCAATGTGTTTGGAAATAATTATGCAAATGCGTTGGTGCACTTTGGATTTAACAGGAGCAATCAGGATTGGTCACCAGGTAAAGAGCTCTTGTCTGACAAACACAAGACTCCATGCTTTGATGCTCACGGACAGCTCAGGTGAAATGTGCTTCTGCCCAGCAGCTGCTGGGCTTTGTGCTCTTCTACAGCCCCACTGAATAAAAGTTCCTGGCCTTGGGGCTTTGCTGGTGGTCAATCTGTCACTTAAAAGTGTGCTCTGGGGAGTTTGGTGATGAATGCATCACACCCCAAAATAAAGAGAACATCTGGCAAGCTGAACTTTATTCTATGTCAGTTGCTTCAGGTTCTGCTCATTAAGGATCTATTGCTGCAATGATGGGCCTGGCCTGTTCCCACTACCACTAGTGAGAACATCACTACTGGCTGATGGAGAAGCCTTGGGCCAGCAATGTTTATGTGCTGGACATGAGACTTTGGAGGGAGGGGAGGAAAGACAAGGCCCCACCATTCCCAGAGCCAGATTAGTGTACGTGCTCCTGCATCTGCCCTGGGGGTGATGCCAGGACTGCTGCAGGTCTCTGCTGGGGCTTGGGGCAATCAGTGCCTGGTGTGGGCAAGGCACAGGATTTTTTCTTATTATTTTGCCAGGGATTTCACCAGGACAGAGAAGCTGCCAGTTAAGGGAATCCCTGGCCACACTTCAGCACTACATTCCATTCCATTCCATTCCATTCCATTCCATTCCATTCCATTCCATTCCATTCCATTCCATTCCATCCCGTTCCATCCCTTTCCATTCTGTTCCATTCCGTTCCATTCCATTCCATTCCATTCCATTCCATTCCATTCCATTCCATTCCATCCCGTTCCCACTGCTGCCCCATGTTACATGCTCATGCCCTCAGATGGCAGGATGGGAATAACACTCCTGGGGGTGACCTCAGGGGTTGTCTGAGAAAGAAGGTATCTTCTTATTTTCAAGTAAGATCCAGCCAAATCCAGGACTCAGTTTCAGGACTGAAAAACTGAGTGCCAATCAGCCCCTGCATCTCCTACATCCCACCCCGGGCTGTACCCAGCAGACTCCTCTTCTGTAGCAGTCATCTCTCACACAGACCTGTCTCTCCAAGATTGAAGGACTCAAGCTCTACAGCTAAACTTAAATCCTCTGAATTTCAGCCAATATCACAAAGCTGTTCCCTGAGCCCACAGATAGAAGAGCTGTGAAGGAGACATCCCTGACACTCTAATAACCAAATGAAAACCACTGCCAAGAGATGGGGCTGGCAGGCTAAATTTTGGCCTTTTATCTGTAAATTGTGAGCAGTTCCTTAAGACAGTTCTCATCCTGTTAGATGTGCTCTTTCAATTAATCACTACTGCACCCAACAGGCAGAAAAGATAACATATGGAGGGGGTTTTAATAGGTTGTTTTTTTCTGCTTTATAACTAGGTCAATTTATATGTTTGTTTTCTTATATGGCATCTAAAGACAGCTCCAGATCTCCCAATGGCACTTTGCAATCCCCAGACACTGGTCTTGCTTTGAGCAGTGTGTCTGCTCAGATGATTCCCAGAGTCCTCTCCAGCAGAAGTTATTCTATACTTTTCTAAATCAGCCCAACTGCCTTTCACATATTCCCTAAATGTCTCCCATTTCCTATGCACCTGTGCATGTACCTATGGGCATGTGGCATATTGACAGGCATTAGAGAGCTCGACCTTCATGAAAGTTCCCAATGAAGAATTTATGATCTTTTGGCAAACATTTAACACAAACCAAAATGAAAAAACGGCAGAAACACAGCAACTTCAGAGTATTTAAAAAAAAATCTCAATGAAAGGGGGCACAACCCTATTCAGAGATTTAAATAATCTGTTTGAAATTTTAAACTGGCTTTCAAAGGTTCATCATGGAACAGAAGAGATGACTGATGCCCTCAGCTGACAAGGGAAATCAGGTCACCTTTAAGTAACAGGAACTGCACTGGCTGCCTGCAGCACAGCTCAGGTTGGGCATCTGAAGCTGAGACCACTGGAAAGCCACGTGCCTGTGGCCTCCCAGAGAATGGGTCTATTTGGCTGACAGTGGTGAGTAAGCATTTCAGAAGCTGCTTCTGCTCAGGAGGGTGCAAGCCAGATACTAACATGTATCCTCCAGGAAATCAGGGACAGAGAAAGCTCAAAGGCTGCATCCTGCTAAGAATACTGAAAGCAAGAGCAGATGCCATCCATCCTGCCCATTTCCAGCCAGGCTGCAGGGCAGCAGCTGCCATGCTCTCCTTCCTGTTGTTGCTCTTTCCCAACTCTGTTAATCACCCAAGGGTGCGATCCTTTGCACAAGAATGGATGAGCTGCTGTGGTGTTGCATTTTAGTTAAATGGTATGCTGTGTCTCACCCCTTGAAACTGTATTGTTTATTCCAAGCCTGTAATCCTCCCCTGAAGTATCCTGTGTCTGTAATCCCATGGGCCCAAACCTTATCCGCGCCCATTTGGAATCTCCCTGTTAAGTGTGCCAGGGAGACCAGGCCCTCAGAAGGCTCTCTTGGCCAGTGCTTTCCCGGCCCCTCTCCCCCCCTCCCCTTTCCTCTCCTTCCTCCTTCTCTCCCTCAGAAACCATGCTTCTTCCCGGGGGTAGGACCCCCAATAAACCCTCATCTAATAAGCACCCTCAGAAGCCGTGTGGAGTCTCCTTGCCTGCCCGCTGCTACCAGCAAACTCACAGCTTGGGGGATCCCTCAGGGACAAATGCACTGCAACAAGCTGCCTCACCTCTGGGTGCTCAGCTGGTAATGAGCTTCCAGTTTACCAGTGTTGCGAACCAGCAGAGTCTTCTGGGTGCTGTACTTGACTGGACACTTGGAGAAGTCCAGCTGGTCAGGGACGTCCAGGACAGCTCGGGCAGCAATGGTCCGAATTGGCACAACTATCCTTTCCTTTGCAGTCAGGCAGACGAGCTCATGAGAATAATCCTACAGGAAAAGAAACCAGTTCAACACAGGGCATTTAGTGCCATGACCATGGCAGAAGAAAAATAATTTATACAATCCTTCAAGGCATCAATTTACCTATTCCACCCCAAAATGAACACTAAGTTCTACTAATATGTCACATTTTAAAGGCATCAGTGCACTTTGCAAAACCTATCTCAGTGGCATTAAGCTCTTGTGTCACTTGGGTCATACAGAGAACTGCCCTAGGCCACCATGATTTTTACTCTAAATTTTAATGATGTAAAATAATTCCTAAGTCCCTTCTAAGGAACATGGAGCTAGGGAACACAGGGCATTCCTCTTTAGGTTTCTATATTCCCACTGTCTCAGAATAGGACAAAGTGTTAAACTGACTGTAAGCAGCAAAAGGAAGATGAGAAAACAGCTGCACCCAAAGAGATCCCGCACCTCTGGCCTGGTGTAGAAATATCAGTTGGCTCAGAACTCCCCTCTAACTTTGCCTCCCCAACTGAGTCAGAAGAAGAACAGTACTAAGAGGTAGCAGGATGCTGTTGGAAAGAGCCTCTCTTTGTTTCCCTGCAAGGCTTCCTCCCTTCCATGCCATGTCCTAAACCCTTCTGTATGAACAAGCCTCCGGGTCACAGCACTGAGATCAGACTTGCCAGGGCCCCAGCAGCAGTTTTGCAGGGAATGGGTGCCAGTTGACAGAGCCACCACAGTGACCGGCGTGAAGGCAGAGCCACAGCAGCATCACTGCCACAGGCTCTGGGCTCACAGGTCTGCCTGCAGGTTGTGCCTGCCCTACATGAGCTCTTTCAGGGAGGTGACCAAGTCCCCTGCAGCTCACCAACCTCCTGCTGACTAAGGGCACCTAGAGCCCAGTGTGCCTGTGCCAGGCCGGGCTCATGGGCACAGCACATCCCCTGCCCTGGCCCTGCAGCTGTATCATGGTCAGCTGTGCTCGGGGACAGCACAGCTGCAAGGCTGGAGAACAGAGGGTGTGAAAAAGCACTGTCTCTGCTCCAGCCCAGGGTGAGGCAGGGAAGCTGTTGCCAGTCAGGAAGGAGGAAAGCTCTCCAACCTCTTTGTTCCTCTAGTGTTTTCCATAACAATTAAACCCCTTCCACTGTACCTAGAGATGGCCAAACATCTATCAACACCCCTCTGTCATTTTCATACTGTTCCCTGTGCATCTTGCCTTGGGGATGCTCAAGAATGCTCAGGAATGTGCAGGGAGGGGAAGCAGAGTCTGTCAAGCCTGGATGCAGTGCCTGACAGCACGTGCCAAGCTGTGAGTGGTGGCAGGCTGCCTGCCCACAGCCTGGAGCCAAGCTCACAGCATGGAATGGGCTGTACCCAGGGTGCAGGGAACAGTGATTTTGGAGATAATTCTGTTTGGGCTTGTCCAGCCTCACCTTGGTCTCGTCAGGAGTGAAGCGGATGCGCACACGGGCAGTCGCGAACGGTGGCACGATATGGTACGCATCACTGGGGCACGCCAGCTGGAAATAAGGTGAGCTCTCCATGCAGACCTTCACCATCCGAGGAATCTGCAGGAAAGACATCAAATGATGATTTTGCCACTTGTGGAAACAGGATGAGAGGACACCTGTCCATGCCCTGGTGACATCCCTCCCTGGCCCCTTTTCCAAAGGACCTTCAGCTGTGGGAGTACAGGCACATAATTCACAAGGGTGAACTTGAAGCCCTTCTCACTGGGTCCAGCATTTTGGCCAGGGGCAGTAGGGCAGTGCCTGGTGGGAAGGAAGGGCCAAGCAGGTCAGCACCAGCAGGATGGAGACAGAGCACCTGAACCAAGTCATCTGCATATTCAACAAGGCCAAAAAACCTGCTGGCTCCTGCCTGCACACAGCCATGCAGTCGTGTTCCAGAGGGGAAATGTGCTGCCTGAAGGTAAAACAGCACATTATCCTGGGGGAAGGAAGAAATCTCTTCTAGCAGATCAGGTTTGCCTAGGGACATTCTGAGGATAGATTCATGCAGGCAGAGCAGCAAGAGAGGAGACCAAACACTGTGGCCTTACTGGGAATAAAAGAAAACCTGAAAAGCAATAGAAGGAACACAGCAAGACAATCCCTAAAACAAGGAGATGGCAAAAGAGAATTCAAATGGGCAGTAAAGCAGCAAGGAAGAATCATAAAACCACGAGAGCAATCAGCTTGCCAAAAGTGATGGAAACACAGACAGGCTGTGCCTATCGGCTATGGGCTTCAAAGGCATTTTCTGCCTGGAGAAACATGACCAGCACTGACTCACAGTGTGGTTCCAGTATTAAAAGCCAATCTTGGCTATCCAGGGGCTCTTGCTGTCTGTGCAGGCAAGCTGGGCTGCTGGGCATTCCTGCCTGCAGCCAGCAGACCAGGTTCTGGCTCTGGGATACACACACAGAGCAACCATGCAGTTTCTAGCACACAGATATCAACCCCCAAGCACCAAAATGCTCTCAAAAAGTCTAACCCAGATGATTTTGACTCCCTTCTGTCTCTTCCCACCAGCCCACTCTTGGCACAGGGCTCATTTGAGAAAATGTTTCCATGACTGAAATTTAAATGGTCACCATTTTCCTCTTTACAGTGGAACACAACTGGTGACATTTTTTAACTTTTTCCCTCTCAGCTCTCTTGGGAAACTGCAAAACAATCACAAGTGAAGGTGAAAACCTCCAGGAGTACATGGCTTTGGATGTGCTGTGGTTCTCCAAAGGGAAAGCAGAGTACCACATTGCTTTTGGAAAAGCTGAGCAGAGCTGAATGAAGCTTAGCAGGAGCCTGAAGTGGCACCTAAAGGCCTCCTGCTGCTCTGCTACATCAATCTGAACCAGGGCTGTTTCAGAACACACTTCCTGCAGTGCCAATGCCATTAATGAAAAGTGATTCCAGCATAAAGTGGAGAAGACTCAGCCCCTGAGCTTTGACTGTGAGCTGCACAAAGGGAGCCAAACAGGCTGAGAGAGGCAGAGATTCCACCAGGAACCAGGATCAACCAAGGAGACACAGGATGTGGTATACACTCAAGGCAAAGCTGGAGAGCAGGTAAGAACTGTACAGCCCTCAACATTCCTATCAATCCAGAGTTTTCAAGAGAAGGAAACTCCTTTGGGATAGATACCATTAATGCATGGCCAATATCAGGGGACAATTCCCAGCACAGGAAGATTTCCACCATCTTGCAGAACAAAGGTGCTGAGACATTTTCTTCTGGATGTGCTGCAGCAGATAACTTGCTTTGCTGTACGCTCTGGGAATTACACCACTCTCTTCTTCCAGCACAGTGTTAAAGCCCCAGGTGCCAGCACTTACCTTGTCCTTATTCATGAAGGACACTGCCATTTCAGAGACCTCATGGGGGGCAACGTTTTCAAATACCACCTCTGGTGGGGAAACCCGAAGCAAGCTCTGTTTTGGGGGAACTGGTGACAGCTGGAGAGGCGAGAGAGAGCAGGGAGAGGTTCAGCTGCTGGGAGGAAGGTTCATGAAGGAGAATCTTACACTGACTCCCAGTAAAGTACAGGCTCTGGGTGAGCACGTCTGCCCAGCCCACACTGGGGAAACAGTGGCTCACCCACCTCTGCTCTGAGCTGATCAAGAGCTGCTTGATCAGCTCAGAGCAGGCTCGAGCCAAGCTGCTCTTTTGGCATGTATTTCTCCAGGTTTCCTTCTCCAGAGTGCCAGGCAGCACTTTCCTTAAGCACAGCCCTGTGCCCACTGGGGCACTGACCGAGCACTCATGGAGTAAGTAAACCCCAAGAATTTACATCAGACTCTATAGGAAATAATTTTGGGATGTCCTTTACTCTGAGACGGGGAAACCGAGGCCCACACAATTGAAAATATTTTTTTTGATCTAGAACTTAAGACATCAGTAAGAAAAAAACAGTACCAGAGGAGGTGTGAGAGATGAGGTGATATTTGGCTGAGGCCAAAAGGTTATTAAATTAAAGAATAGAGTTTGTTGGTTCTATGTGTTGTTTGTGGTTTGGATTTGTTCAAGGTGGTTTGTTGGCTGTTGCTGTGAGCTGGAAAAAGGACAGAGTTGAAGACCTGACCAAAAGGAAGTAGGATGAGAGGGAAGGGGAGGCGAGTCTCCTTTACATCTGGCAGCCTGCAAAATCTAACACCCTGTCAGGGTCCAACATTGTTCCAACCCAAAGCATTTATGCAATTTGTTTTGTTAAATCTGAAGTAATTACTGCAGGTCCTCGGCCTTCAAAGGCCAACGCCGCCACTCTGGAGGGAATCCTATGACCCCGAGCATTTCATGGTGACCACACCAAAGTAAGACGTGGCTACTTCAGCAGGAGAATGGAAATGGCAATTTTGGGGCTTTGTGTCCCTAGCCTTCCCCCCATTGTTTCAGCAAGAGCAGCTACACTCCAGCACACCCCAGCAGCTTCAGCAGAGGTTATTTGTGTTGGCTTAGTGCAGATCAGGACTCCCAGTCCGCCACTACAGCAGTTTGCAATGGCAACAGGACCTGGACATTGAGGTGTTTTGCTGGAGGCAAGCCTGTCACAAGCACACACCCTCTTAAACTTCACATCAAACAGAACGGAGAAGAGCAGGAAAAGTCTACCTTTGGACCAGTCTCACTCATGTCTAGAAATGGGCCAATTCTGGGCAGATGATTCTCCCCAGCCTTGCTGGCCTGCTTCTTCATGTTGAGAAACTTCTCCCTTTGGAACTTAGAGGGAAGCAGCTGAAAGGAAAAAAAAAAAAAAAAAACAAAAACAAAAACAAAAACAAAAACAACCCAAAAACAAATCAGCAAGAGCCTCAGAGATGTGCTTGTTCAGAAAGGCTTTTCCTGAACAAGTGGTACTGGTGAGTACTCTGTGATCACAGCCACTAGGACAGTTCTGGAAGCCCTGGAAGTTACCTGATAAAATACTTAGCACCAATAAATTAATAATACAGAGGGCAATACACATACTCCAACCACACGGCTGTGTCCCATTAGTCTCTCCATGATTTGATGTGACATGTTTGGGCACTTCTGCTCTTTGGGGATTTGTTTTCTCACTGGAGTGAGGCAGTGACCTTTTCAGAGAGTGGGGATGAGCTCTCAGAACTCCCCTAACTCCGTCCCTGCACAACACTCAAAGCTCACAGCAAGGAGGTAGCACTGCTGGGTGAGTCCAAGAGACACAAGAAAGCAAAGTTGTACCAAGAGTGAGGTGCACATGAATGTGTCCAAGTTTTTAGCATTATTAGCATTTGTTTTCTCTCTCTGGGCTCAGAGGCCTCTCCACAGAAGAAAACAGAGGGATCTCCTTGACAGAGCCTCAGCAGTGGGGCATCTTCACTCCAGTGAGCTCAGACGCCAAGGGACCTCTGTGGCCTGACTCCAGTGCTGCCTGCAGGGCTGGATCTGCGCCCACACAGGAGATGAGAGAGAACAGCTGGCTTGGAAGCTCTCCCAGCTGGGACCAGCCGTGTCTCTCAAGGCTTTGGGCAGAGTTTGAGCTTCTCCCCCCCCACATGCCCAGGTACCCAAGGGCAGGTTGGTCAGAGCAGCACAGGTGAGTGTCCAGCCTGACAGAAGGAATTGCTGTGGCAAAGGGAAAGGGAAAGAAGCACTTGTTCAGGGTTTCAGCTGCACATTGGTTTCACTTGGCTCCAGTGGCACAACCAGGCAGGATGCTGGACTGTCCCTCAAACATCACACAGCCTTCCCTACTGCACCAGGACAGCCCCCACCAAGAGCCAGGAGCAGGGCACAAAGAGGTGGGGAGGGGGTCTGCAGCTTCACAGCGCTGCTGACAACAGGGGCAGGGAGAGGAGGGACACGAGGGGAGTTTCCAGCCTTAACACAGCCCCAGTGGCTACTCACAGTGTCAGGCTTCAGTCTTTCCCTGAGCAGAAAACGAGGTGCCAGTGTCTTTTTCGGGAATCCAGAAGCCATTTTGGAAGGAGAATATCCCAGGTGAGCAACAATGCCTCAACAAAACTGGAAGGAGCAACAAAGGAACTCTGAAAATCCAGAACCCAATTCATGGCAGATTCAAGGAATATAGTGGTGCTAAAAGTATTGATACTATTAGAAAGTAGCTGAGTGCTCGTTTGGCATAAGTAGCTAGTATTGTTAGGCCTCTAGCTGGACTTTATTGAACTATATGGCTATGCTGTACAATTCAAAGATGGATCATACTGAAACCTGGAGCTAAAAACCTCAACATTAATAATAGTTAGAACAGAAAAACCTGTAGCTTAAATATCACTTAAAAATAGCTTGAGTGGACCTCCTCTTCCTTATGCTAAACAAGCCCTGCTCTCTCAGCTGCTCCTCACAGGACTTGTGAGAGACTGGAATGTTATGGCTAATGGCTTAAATATTGTGATAAAGGACTTCTTGCCCATTGTGACAATAAAGAAGCTGAGACCACCCAAGCCCACCCTGCCCTGAAAATGCCTCCTGACTGGAAATTGGGACTGTGAGTTAAGCTGCCTAAGGGAACTTGAGACAAGATAAAGGTGACACAACTCTCCTATTAGCTCAGGTCTGGGGAGAAGTGAACAAGGCAGAGGGAGAAAACTATATCCACAACAAAACCAAACCCAGCAGCTGTCCTGAAAACCAGCTCTGTCTGCCTTCAGGCTGGGGAAGTCATAGCCACAGACTCAACTGCTGAGGCCAGGTTTGCACACAGACCTCCCATCAACAGAGAGGAAGGAGGAAATTTTGGGTGTGCGGCATCACCTCTGGTAAGGGGCAGTGGACACCCATCCTCCCTCACACAAACTGGCTCAGCTCTAAAACCCCCCAGCCCCAGAAGGCCACATCCAGGGCACATTCCCACGAGGGGCAGCTCAGGGGGTGTCATAACCCATCAAAGACCTCCAAAGTGCCCCCAGACCCGTCCCTGAGGCCTTGCACCAGATGACTGCGTGGCACGCCATGTAACACAACAGACCTGAAAATCCACAACCCAATTTGTGGCAGACCCAAAGGATATACTGATGCTCAGGATTTGATATTACTGAAAAGTAGCAAGAGACAGGGTCCAACTTGCCCAACCCAGGGAGGTACCTGGGCAGTCCCACCTTGCCCAAATCTGCATTAATCCCCTGGAGTCTTAAGTTTTGTGAGACCTCACCACAGAGAAAACCAGAAGAGGATTTAATGGGATAAGATCCATGGAATGGTGATAATTTTCTACTAAATCTGTCTCTGTCACTTTCTTCCCCTCTTCTCTGCCCTGTCCCTCCCCCCCTCCTTTTTCTATTTCTTTCTCTCTCCCTCTTCCTCACATTTATTGTTACATAACATCCAAACTATCGACTTTGACATATGGCCTCATTTTGCACCTTAATTCAGGGGCATTTCCTTAATACCTTTAATAAGCAGATCATAACCCACTGAAACTTGAACAGAACTCATTTATCTTTAAATAGTTTAATACTATAGAAAAAAATTGTATAGACTAGCATATTGAGTAAATTGCACTGCATATAGTTGCATTTCTTCAGTGAGGAAAAAGCACCATCAGTAGACCATATCTTGTTCATCCCCTCAGCTGTACATGCCATCGAACTGAAGACTGGCATTCTCCCATCCTGTATTTCCCTGTGGCATTCTCTTTTAGAGCACAGATGTGACAAAACCAGAAAGTACAGCTTGAGGCAATCTTTACCTTCAACGGGAATTCAGGGAAATTCACAGAGGGACTTAGCGAGTTCAGGACTCGCTGGCACGGAGCAATTCTCGGCGAACAATTCGCTCGGAGAATCGCCGAGTGCAGCCGCCTGAAGGCGCCGGGGCTGTGAACGAGCAGCCAGGGGCGAGTTCTGGGCAGCTGAGGCCGCAGCGCCGTCACAGACGCTGCGGGCCCGTCCCGGTTACCCGGCAACCGCGGAACCCACTGCGGGGCCGAGCCGGGCCGGGGCCGATCTTGGGGCCGGGGCCGAGCTGGGCCGGGCCGGGGCCGGGGCGGTGGCGCCGGGCGGGCCTCGGTCCCGCCTCGGTCCCGCCTCGGTCCCGCCTCGCTGCCCTCTCGAGCCGCCCTCGATCTGCCCCAGGCCCCGCTCGCTCCCCGCCTGTTCCAGCCCTGGTGCCCCCGCGGTCCCCGGGCACAGCGGGAGCGATTCTCTCCCGGGCCCGGAACGGGACGGCCCCGGCGGCAGCGCTCGATATCGCCGGAGCCTCGGCCCCAGCTCCGGCTGCTCCTCCACAGCGGGAACAGCCGGGGGCTCACAGCTCGTGTTCAGCGCACTGCGCCAGGGGCGCTCAGCCAGCCGCAGGTCCTGGGCGCTGGCGCTCGGCTTCTCGTTCTTCCCAGGGACACACGGGGAGCAAAGGCATTCCCTGCTGTCATGGGTCCTCACCTCATCTGCAGCCAGGAATTAGTGCTCCAGAAGACTGGCATTATTACATCCTGCCTTTTTCTTTGGCATTCTCTTTCACAATACAGATGTGCTAAAAGAAAAAAAAAATACAGTATACAGTATTTATCAATCTCTATCTTCGAATGAAATGCAAGACTGATTTTCAGCTGCATTCCCAGCACTGTAATAAAAACACACTAGAACCATAATTGTTGCAAGTTTCCTGCTTACAGTAAACTTGAGATTTTAATATTCTTTCCACGCTTGTAATCTATATGATGCTTTAGGTTTTAGCTTTTACATTTTTCAAATTCTGTGCTGCTTTAGTGTGTAGTTCTGAGCTTCATATGAGGGGATGGTGAGCTCTCTTCACAGAGCAGGCAGACAAAACAATTCCTTCTCTAGCTGGGGACCAAGGACAAATGATCCAAATCTCAGGCCCAAGAGCACAAACAATGGTGGGCTGAAGAGAGAAAAACAAGAAGGGTGGGACTTCATAAACTAAAGCTGGAATTGGACAATTCACTCCAATGTGCAGATGGGCCAGAACTGATCAAAGTGAGAGACCTTGTGACCGGTCGTCCATTCTGGGACCGTTCTGGGTCCATCTTTGGTGTAGGCCTGGCTGGGCTCTTGCAGGGCCCCAGGTGGATCCATTGAGGCCTTTGAATAGATCCCTACTTTATTCTGTAACACTCTCTAGCCTCTGCTCTAGGTCAGCCTACACAAGGCATTATATAAAAACCCATATAGAAACCCAAGTTTTTCATATAGCCTAAAGAACTTGGATTTCTTAAATTACTGCATTTGCCTTCATGCTGCTGAGCAATAGCACAGATTGTTTGTCTTAGTAAAAAGACTTAGAAGTGAAAAACTTTCCGAGTTAACCAGAATTAAGGAAGTACATTTGAAAACCCTATTAGTTTTTATGATGTTTCCAAGTCTACTACTCTGTGCGGCCTAAGGAAGCTGTAATAGAATAAGGGAAGAGAGGTCTTACAGACGTGTTATCTGTAAGTGTATGGAAAACCTTCAACGGAGTCCCTGCACAGCCACTTTAAAGAACTTAGTGACAAAAGAGCAACATACGATTGAACTAAGACAGACAGACAAATATCCAAGTCAAATTACAAATTATTTTCTTTTCAGATTGGGCTGCAGATTGTATGCTGCTCACCATCCTGGGGATTCAAAATGTCCTGCAGCATGGCTGAGCCATGAGACTTGTGGAGTAGAATTATATAAGGTGAAGTACAAACATTTCTTATGCACCTACATTGCATTACCAAGTCTGCACCTTAAAAATGGTTTTGTTCATTTAATGGAAGTTTATAGCTGGAATTGAAGGTTTTTTAATTGTTGAGAAGCTCTGAGTAGAAGCACATATTCTTGCTGGGTACCTGTGGTAGGTAGGTACCTGATACCTGGCAGTGGAGGAATGTGCATGTACTTACATTTAAATGTCTGAAGTATTCATTTAGTCAAGAGTATCCAACCACAAATTTATCTGGAATTTCAAAGTCTGTATCTGTAAATGGTGTAAATAGCTTTTAAGTGCACAGTTGGTATTCAACGCATACTTGAGCTAAGAGAAGTAGGTGTCATCTCTTTCAGGGTCCTTCCTTAAAAATCTGAGCTGTAAATTGATGACAGATGTTAGAGTATAAACCATTCCCATCAGTCAGTAATATAATTAAGGTGTTAAGAGAATGATTTTTATTAACAAAATAATTGTTTAAAACCTAGTTATGAGTTAGTCCTGGGAGAGGAGAAAAGGAGTGAGATTTTACTTGAGTGAAAGGAGATGAACTTTGATTCAGTAGGACTTTTCAGTTTGGAAACAAGGCAAGTTTAATAATGCCAAATTGTCAAAACAAATGCCCTTGGGGTCAAAGTAGAGCAAAACACAGTTAAGGTTTGATTCTGTTTTTGCTATCTGTATAGTTAAATTTGTATATCAAGTAGCTAAATCTGCACTCAGGGGGAAAAAAGAAGGTGGTCATGAGGACTCAGGATGGTGTAGCTGGTCATTAGATCACAAGCTTTTATGTAGTTTCTCCCAGTTTCTCTTGGCCTTCATTAAACTTATGTGCCAGTTGTCAGATGTGCTGCCTGAAGTGAAATTGCAAGACTGTGTTTTGGAAAATACAGGAAAAAAATACTAGAAAAACATGATACTTACAGTCTGGTCTGTAACCTGGACTCTGACATGTCATTTTAATGAGCGGGCTGTAAGGCAGAGCAGAGAAGGCTGGTTTTTAAAATACGTCTTGCTCTAATTTGTAGACTTCCTTTCTGCCATGCCTCTCCAAACGGTTCTAAAATCATGCACTTAAATTAAACCAGTGAGATTATTGCACAGAAAACAGTAGTGTTCAGCCTCGTAGTGGAGGGAGAAGCAAAGTCTCTGATCTAGGCTCGTTCTTTATGTCCAAGTGGCTTGACCTTGTATTCAGTTCCCTTCAGTCCTCTGTCTCTGATCTTTCCCCTTCCATGCAGCAATGCCCCAGGACACTAGAATAGCACAGAGAGGGAAGCATGTCCAAGTGGCTGGTAATGATTTTAGTGGGGTGGGAGGGAAGGAGGGAGGGAGGGAGAAAAAAAAGATTTCTTCTGCAAAATCATTTCTATCCTTGGTTTGCCTGTACACTTCAGAAGAAATTGAGAACCTCCTGGACAGTCACTAGAAGAACTGTCTGAATAACTGATGCTTAAATCTACTGTTTTTATAAAGCATTGTGGTTACTTTACAGAAGCAGGGATATTCCACAAAATTTTCTTTTAGAGATCTACTAAAAGCAGATCTAGACTGCTACTTGAAGTCATCTTCCAAGTGCTGTCAGACTCTTAGATTCTGGAAACTTCTACAGTTAAGGATATTGAGAAATATTCTACGGTTGAGGATATTAAGAAATATTCTGAGTGTTGTCATTCTAGTATTGAGACAACTTGAGGTGGTGTTAGAAAATCTATGGAAAGAGATGAATTTCCTTCAAACATAAAGTAAAAAATGGAAACCATGAGACTTTATGGACTACACGGAAAGAACCATAAAACCTTTCTTTATTAATTTGAGCAGTGAAGATGGTAGTGCATAGGTAAATTTCCCAGTTTAAGAAACATTTAATTTTCCAGCAGCTAGATAGGGATTACTTCTTTCATTTGCTTCCTCCCCTCAAACTTCAAGCCAAACAAGCTCCTCTCAGCATACATTGACTATTCACCCAAATTATTTGAATATATTAACTGATTTTTTCTGCAGGTGAATCATTCTAGGAGGAGAAAGAAGAGATGGAAGTCACATAAAGCATGCCCAAAAGTGTTATACTGTGTTTATTTGAAAGGTGTGCTGCTCTTGCTTTTTGCAAGAGGAGGGAGTATGAGATCTGTTCCTGGCTTTGACATGTTGAGTGTTCTGCTATATGTTTATTCCAGTGAATGTGTAATGTCCACCCTTTGGAGAAGATCAGTAAATCAGTTCCTTTTTAGTATGTAATTTGAACAGAATGTATGCATAAACTCAATTTTTATATGCATAAACTCAAACTACGAGTATTTAGAATGCCAGTCTACGGAAAGAGTCAATTTTCCAAAGAAAAGAAAGTTGCTTACACAGTAGCTTTTTATTCTGACAAAATCCACGGTAACAGGCACAGATTTATCACCATTTTGATTTAGTGATTTTATATGGTCTAGCAAATCAGCAAAGAATTTATAGCCTCTTTTAAGGACACATAGTGCAACAGTGTGATGACTTCCCATGTCTTGCATGATATCTTTAGCCAAACGTTCTGTCCTGTGGGGAAAAAAAAAAAAAAAAAAGGAATTCTGGAAAATGTTCTGTATATCATAGTTTTTTGTCCATATATTAAGCAATGTTCACGTAAAAATTTTCATCTTGCTGTTATGTTTTTATAGCTAGCAAATAGTGACCACAGCAAGTTATAGGAAAATCATTACATATTTGCACAGCACAAGCCAATTTAATCCATAAACCTTAATATTACAGGATAGGTAAAGATATTTGAGGGAACATGGAAGCTTAACTGGGCTTGTAGAGGAATCCTCTCCATAAACTCCCTCTTGTACTAGACTTTAGGACAGAAGTATTAGGCTGCAGGGTTTCCATGTTTCTCATGGGCTGCACTGGGCAAGGGCCTCAGTCTTTTTATTTGGAGGGACAAAAATTGGCACCACTGTCCCTATTCTTTTCTGTTTACTCTCATACCTGCCCAGGATGAGTCCATGAGGAATGAAGATTCTTTCTAAATCTTCTTCATAATGCTTTGGAATGCAAAATAGATTTTTGTTGTAGCCACTTTCCTCATCTCTTATCTGCAAGGGAAAGGGAAGTAAGTCTAAAACTAGCAACAAAACCATACAATAAAAAGCTTCCAATCTCTGATAGTGTGAAGCAAAAATTCCTCCACTACAATAATGTGGCAAAATAAAAATATTTCTGAGAGTTTTTGATCTTTCTGCTAGACATGTTCACAGGCTGATAATTCAGGAGCTGGTGGCTGAGTTGTGAATGGAGTTGTGAATGGATAAACAAGTACTGTGCCCCAGTCATTATGAGATAAATTATTGGCCATCATCAACTCCTTTAAAAAGCCACCCAAGACAATAACAACCTCCTCTCTTGTTCCATTTGCTGTTCTGCAGAGCTCAGTAGCTTGCTTGTGTGGTAGATAAATGAAAATTAAGGTGTAAGGCAAGGAGATTTGGATTACAGGTCAGCATGTGATTTTGAGGTGCTGCTCTACCTTGATCGTCATTTTCCACTGTGTAAAAGAGGAAACTCTTCCTCCTAAGCATGAATTCACAGCTGAACTTTTGACATTCCAACCATTAGCTGTCTCAGAGGACAAGGGAGGTGGCTCACCCCAGAGGAGAAGCTTTAGGATGGCAATGGGAAGAGGGGAAGCTGCAGAGGGTGACCACAGGTGGAAAGCAGTTATGCTGTTTTCCCTCGGAGCAGTGTTCTTCATCATGGCTGGGGACTGGCCAGGGATACTTCCCACAGATCTGGACCTTAACCCTTTTGCCTGCAGGATTTCGGGTTACAGTTCTTCATTCAACATGCTGGTTTCAGGCCGTTGCACCCAGAGATGTCTGCATGTCTAGAAGAACCATAATCTCCATTTGGGTTACTCTTCTGGCCCCAAACAGATTGGTGTCTTTGGATTTTACCTCCCTTCAAGATCTTGATGGATGCTTTGTTCATTTATTAAGTGGTGGTACAAAACCAGGCAAGGAAACATATAAGGAAGTAGAAATAATTGTGAATAAGATTAATATATAAGTTTTAGGAATAAATTAGGAAAACACCCTCAAATTAATGAGATTTTGTCACATTTGCTACTGGCCTGCTGTTGTTAAAAATACAGAACTAACTGAAAGAAAAATTCAGAGCTGGCTCAAAGCTTCAACAGTGAAAAATAAGTTATCTACATACCAGTTATCTTCTGCAGAACGCAGTAAAGCATCTTGCTAAAAGCTCAGAGCAGTGATAGCATAAAGTATTGCTAACAACAAGTTAACATAACACCTGCAAACTCTTTAGACAGATGAATTGTTTTTAATTCTCCTTTTCTTTGGCATAGGAGAGTAAGTGCTTAGGAAGAACAGAAAATGGACTGTAGGAAACAGTAGTAGGTTATCACTTGCAAAACTCATGGCAGCCAAAAATGAAATAACCAATTACTGCCATTTATTTTAAATTGGCCACAAATAGCTTCCTGCATTTAAAGATAAAACTAGAGACAGGTGTTGAAGGAAATTTCAGAAAACAGATTGTAGTAGCCCAAAGTAATGGATAAAGAAGCTCATCCTGGCTGGACTAAGCATATTCTGCAAGTACTTAAAATTATCAGCTCTAATGGTCCAAGAACATGCAGAATGACCTCGCAGCTGAGCCCTGGGTGGGTGGCAGCAGTTCTGTTCTGCCTGGTTTAGTTACTATTTTCTTTGTGGCTGAAGTCAGCGAAGTGAAAGCATAAGTACAGCATTGGTTATAGATCGGGTTTGTTCGTGCCTGATTGTGGAGAGACGCTGGCAGTGACCCTGGGATTGGCTGGGTCAGGCTGTGCCACAGCACCGAGAGCAGCTTTAGTGAGTGCAGAGCTGCTCATGGCTTGATGTTCGATTGACCCAGCTGGACAGCTTGAATTTCTCCCTCTGGGAGGCTGCTAGTGATGAATACACAAGCAGGGTATGAGATTTTGACTTAATTAGAAGCACTGGTCAAAGACAATGATTATTTAAGACTACTGGTACACATAAACATCATTATCATTTGAAGCATCAAAAAAAGCACCTTTAAGGATAGTCACTGACACCAGTATAAAAAGTGCTGTTTGTATTGTTGTTGGGTTTTATTTTATTTTGTCTCCAAGATTCCCATTCTATTGCATTCTACTTAACTGCAGCTTAAAAGCAGTGATAATACTCGCTGTAATTTGAGCAGCTTCTTTTGCCTAATCGTGATACTGATTGCAGTATTTAATGGACTTCAGCTTTACAATCTGCTTTTGCATTTACAAAGGCACAGCATTTCTTCTGCACAGCAAGTTAAAGGTCAGCCTTTTGCCAAAGCTGAGCTTCTGGCTGTATTTGATTAGTGTCACCACAACTCCTTCAACTCAAGTGAGGGATGAGTTTGTCTGTGTGGATGTAACTGTGAAATAAAGGTAATCTTGAGGCATATAGGTGTGCATAGTTATTACTGCTTAAAGCTACTCCAGCAGTGCAGCTTTATGGCTATTACTTGGTTTAACAAATCTGTTCATTGAGAGTCTTTGGTACAAACAATATCTTCTACAACAATATCCTCTGTGTGAAGCATTTTCTAAAGCCTAATGAAAAGTTCAAAACCAGAACTTTAAGGATTGCATCCGTTTGAGCACCACGTCACCACAGCAGCCTACCTTACAGGCTCATTAAAGCCTTTGCATTGTTGAATATTGCCTTGGTATATGCTGAATAATACAGTGACAGCCCATAATAATAAAGCAATCTACTATACAGTCATACAAAATCATTAATTTTTTAAATAATGGATTTATAAATTGAGGAATTAGTTGTTTAATTTAGTTTTAGTCTCATCTGTTCAATTACTGATGTAAGTTTCTGAGTTGAAGTGGAAAAAAACAACAAAACTAATTACAGAAATTTTGTACAGTATAAAAATTAATAACTGTTGTTTCTCAGCACAGAATGAAAGAATGAATATAGGTATGTTAAAGTCAAATAATGTCATGCATTTGTAGAAAAGTGAGTCTATCAAGATGCCTCTGCTCTGAAAGCCATCTTTTCTGCTGAGTAAATATAAGAACCAAAGCTTTTCATTACCCAGGATTTCTAATGTTCTGCTATTTTTGCTGAAGATGACCTTTTCCCCCCAGCCAAAGCTCCCTTCAGGCAAATATCCAAACACAAGGACATTATGCTTTTACCTGCAGTCCATGAGCCATAATCCCTCTTTGAAGGATGCTCTTGCAGAATGAGTTTGTCTTACTACTTCAGTTTGGCTTGCTCTGTTTTAATCTTTCAGTTGGACTATGGCTTGCTTCTAGAAGGTCAAAATTTCCATCTTTCCTGCAGGAAGCATTACTTCCTTCTGCTTATGTACTGACATCACAATCCCAGGTTTTTACCTAATCAGATTAACCAGAAATAAAATTAGCTTGAGCCCTGCTGTAACCAATGAGAATAAAGATGTGGGGAACGAGGGAGATGCAAAAGAGAAGCTCATCAGTCAAATTAATGGGAAGGACTAGGTAGAATCTGAGGTGGGGCTTTTAACTGAAAACACACATCAGATATTTGGTTGTAGCAGGTGGTAAACCAGTGGTGTATGTGTAAAAGGAAAGGTTGTATACAATTTTCTTACACAGTGTTTGTTTACACAATCCATTGTTGTGATAAAGTCCATGTCTTATAAAAATTCATGTTATAACTTGCTGTCAGAAAATAAAGCAGACAAAGCCTGTATTTAAAAGGATCTTGATGGAGAGGTCTGCAGTTGTTGAGATGTGGTGAGCCCTGTCTATCATTCTTCCAGGTCATCCTTTCATGAAACAAGAGGGTGATAGTTCCAGTAACATGCTTTACAGCATTTAAAATCAAATCATGCTGACATTTCCTGTAATCTGATTGATCTACAAAACTGCACTATGATCTGGGATTAACATGAAAGCCTGAAAGTTCTAAAAATTAATCCTACTTGTAAAATGAACTTGCATGCAACATATTACAGGATGTTCTTACTAGATGGGGTATATTTTATTAATTCAGCTCGTTTAGTGTTCTCTTGGTGAGGGAGCACAGTAGCTAATGAAAGGAGATTTTTCTTGTTTCTTTTAGCTTCACAGTTGCTCTTCAGATTGTGGCTAGTGACACTTGGGATAATGTACAAAATCTGTTGCAATGGATTAATGGGCATATCCACAACCTTAACTGAGACATTAAATAGTAGTTCTCTTTGGAAGTGTTAGTGCCTTGAGGCTACCTGACCCCTGTTTGATGTAGTCAGCAGGACCTTCTTTCTGTGAATTCCCTGCTGTATTTCCTATACACCTGTGAGCTCCATATCCTGAGAAAAGCCTTGCTCTTCTAATTCCTAGAGTAAGGTGGGCCTTTCTAGCTGACACATTTGTTGGTTGAGTCTCATGTAGTTTTCCACATTTAAACAGAGTTTAGCCTAATTTTGCTAAAATCAACAGCTTGAATGCACCTACTTGTTTGAAGCCTCTTTCTAATCATGCATTAATTATTGGCACTACTCTCAGTTTACCGCTTTTAGCAGTCAAACTGAGCACAGTGGCTGAAATTATAGTGAAAAAATAAATACTGTATGCATATCTGATCTGATCTGCAGCTCCCAGCTTAGCTGTGCCCTGTTTCAAAATGCCCTGTTCTTCTCTGACTTTTTGGTGTATGCAATCTCTGTATAGGGGAACCTTGACTACATATTACTCCTTGGCATTACTCCTTATTTGATTTCTCCTTCCTGCTCTCTGAACAGCCACTTGAAAATATTCTCACATGTAATATATTTTTTTTTGGTTCTGGACATTAGAAGGCCACATACGCTGTGTAAATTTTATAACTCCCTGAATTTTTTTATTTGAGGCAAGTTTGTTTCCATATTACTCACATTTCTAGAAACTGTACATTGGAGCTTGCAAATCTTTGTGTCTCCTTTAGGCACTGTACTCTTAGATCTGACCTGAACTGGACCCAGTTCTAAAGTCCTGTTTAATTCCGTTTCAGAAAAGGGTCGTAGAAAATTCTTCTCACTGACTTATTTTTGTGTTTTGGCTGCATGGGGAATATTAGCTTTTGTGTTTTGGCTGCATGGGGAATATTAGAGTGACAAATGAGCAGTGACTTTATTGATTAGAGCCTATGTTTACTCTTTCATTAAACTTTAAGGTGGTTCAAGAAGTCTCTGCCTACTCTATTTGAAAACTACTTCCCAGATCATATTTCTTCAAATGAATTTAGGCTTCTCAGTAAATTCCACAGAACCATGATAGTAATCACACACCACAATCACTTGTTTTATTGTCACATTCTGAAGAAAAAAGTACTCACAGGTAAAATGTTCATGCTACAACAGCAGTTTGTCATTGGTGAATAATGAAAATAGAATGTAGTCAGCTGGCATCCTTGGATGGCTTCTCTGTTGTAAGTTATGTGATCATACTCATACTCCCATAGGAAAGAACAAAAAAGTTTATGGGTATATGTATTTGTTCCATATGGGAGCCCCAAGTGCATCTTTTTAAAATTAAGTGTTCTGAGGAAACCAAATCGGGTTTCAATCTTTTGCCCTGCTTTAGATAATGGGATGCTGAAAGAGCCAATAAGTGTAGCCCACACAAACAGACTGGAAATTAATTAGATCAGCGCTGGTATCTTGGTAAACAGCAGCCAGTCTATACAGAACAACGGTGCTCCTGGCTTTGCATCTATTCCCAGAGCTATTGAATCAGTAACTACTTTTCTCAGGACTTGACTTTGCTGTTTCCATACCTGAGTTTGTTAAACAGGTTTGCATTCTGTAACAGTTCGGAGTGTCCGGCCTTGAGACTGCTGCGACCATTTTAAAGGTCCTCCAGACACATTGTATGGCGGCTAATAAAGCATTTAATTGAAGTAAGCGAATTTGCTATCGGTTGTTTCCGTTCGGGAGGCAGAGCCGGGCTCTGATGCGCCGCGCGGTGCCCGAGCGCGCCCGGGCCGGGCCGTGCCGTGCCGTGAGGGGGCAGCGCCGGCCCAGGGCCGGGCCGGGCCGTGCCGTGAGGGGGCAGCGCCGGCCCAGGGCCGGGCCGGGCCGGGCCGGGCCGGGCCGTGAGGGGGCAGCGCCGGCCCAGGGCCGGGCCGGGCCGTGCCGTGAGGGGGCAGCGCCGGCCCAGGGCCGGGCCGGGCCGGGCCGGGCCGGGCCGTGAGGGGGCAGCGCCGGCCCAGGGCCGGGCCGGGCCGTGCCGTGAGGGGGCAGCGCCGGCCCAGGGCCGGGCCGGGCCGGGCCGGGCCGGGCCGTGAGGGGGCAGCGCCGGCCCAGGGCCGGGCCGTGCCGTGCCGCGAGGGGGCAGCGCCGGCCCAGGGCCGGGCCGGGCCGTGCCGTGAGGGGGCAGCGCCGGCCCAGGGCCGGGCCGGGCCGTGCCGCGAGGGGGCAGCGCCGGCCCAGGGCCGGGCCGGGCCGTGCCGTGAGGGGGCAGCGCCGGCCCAGGGACGGGCCGGGCCGTGCCGTGCCGTGAGGGGGCAGCGCCGGCCCAAGGACGGGCCAGGCCGTGCCGTGAGGGGGCAGCGCCGGCCCAGGGACGGGCCGGGCCGGGCCGTGCCGTGAGGGGGCGGCGCCGGCCCAGGGACGGGCCGGGCCGTGCCGTGCCGTGAGGGGGCAGCGCCGGCCCAGGGACGGGCCGGGCCGTGCCGTGAGGGGGCAGCGCCGGCCCAGGGACGGGCCGGGCCGTGCCGTGCCGTGAGGGGGCAGCGCCGGCCCAGGGCCGGGCCGGGCCGGGCCGGGCCGTGCCGCGCCGCGAGGGGGCAGCGCCGGCCCAGGGACGGGCCGGGCGGCCGAGCGCCGCGCCCGGGCTGGAGACCGGGAAGGTTCTGTGTCGGAGATCAGGGAAGGTTCTGCTGCCCCTGAGGTGCTGGCACTGCCCGGGCTGCCCAGGGAATGGGCACGGCCCCGAGGCTGCCACAGCTCCGGGGGCATTCGGACAGCGCTGCCAGGGATGCTCAGGGGGCATTGCTGGGGGGTGTGGGCAGGAACAGGAGCTGGATGATCGCACGGAGAAGGATGGAGAGGGACTGTTTCCAAGGAAGGGCATGTTCCTGTAGTGGCGGGACGTTAGCTCAGTTGGTTGGAACATGGTGTTAATAACGCCAAGGACGTGGGTTTGGACGCTGTATATTCACTTCAGAGCTGGACTTGCTGATCCTTGTGGGTCCCTTCCAACTCAGAATATTCTGTGATCCTGTGTGTGACACGGGGGAATGGATTCCTACTGACAGAGTGTAGGCTTAGATGAGATATTGGGAAGAAATTCTTGACAACGAAGGTTGGTGAGACCCTGGCACAGGATACCCAGAGCAGCTGTGGCTGCCCCTGGATCCCTGGCAGTGCCCAAGGCCAGGCTGGACACTGGGGCTGGAGCAGCTGGGACAGTGAAAAGTGTCCCTGCCATGGCCCCTTCCAACCTAAACCATTCCATAATTCAGTGATTCTCTCATCCCTGCAGGTCCCTTCCAGCTCTGAATATTCTGTGAATCTGCGAAATATTTACACCAGTTCCAAACTTGTATAATTGTGGTTTGCAGGAAAACTGCTCTGATCTGCACCACTGAATACCTGATCCATAGGCTCCAAGTTCCTAATGCCTGCTAAAACCTTAAATTAAAACTTAGCACTTGTATTCAGTGTCTGATGGGTTATTAGGCAAACTGATCAATACATTTTGTAATGGCTAGCTTTCAGTAATCCCATGCCCATCCTAAATCTTTTTTTTTTTTTTTTTGTTTTTTTTTTTTGCTTGGCACTTTGAATTCTTAGATAAGACCATCTGCTTAATTGGTTTGCAAAAAAATCTGTTTGGAAAAACCACACTGCACATTCCATGGTAAACAGTGCATGTTTACAATTAAAGACTAGAAGCAGTTACACAGATTGCAGTCTCCTTATGTACTGCTTTAGATTGTGTAGTTTTTATGTAGAAAATTTCATTAATATGAGCCTTCATACTTTCCTAATCTATTTTCTGTCTGGCCTGAGATTTTATTATTTCACTGAAATAGAAAAGTGATATAAATCTCATTCAGTATTGGATATTTATAAATGTTGTGCATGAATTTTTTTTTTTGTTTTGTTTTACAACTCATCTGATAACCACAACAAACCATCAATAACCCTAGGAAACACAGACTGGTGGATGTCAGAACTGTAGAAGATTACCTGGATATTAAATTCAAATAATTCTTGAAAATATCCTGACACCAGTTCATAAGTAGAGGAATGATAAATTTTCCAAGCTCAGGAATTCTGATAGCCAGCATGGAGGAAAAGTGCAGTATTTATTAGCAAAGTCTTTGAGGCCCTAACAAATGGTGGAGTGACTGTTTGAAGGGAAACATTTATATACCTTTTGCTACATTTGGTTTGTAGACAGAGAAATGTTTCAGTCTCCTGGACTGTCTATGTTAGAAACTCATTTTGAGGGAGGATCTGATTAGGACTGGGACAACAGAGCAGAGACAAGGAATCAGGACTTCTGGATTTTATTCCCAGCCCAGACACACGGTTTATTTACTGTATACCCGTGGCCAATTTATTTTCCTGACTGCCCCTGCTGTACCTCTGACCTCCCTCTGTGCTGGCTTTCCCCCTCTGCCTCCTGTAATCAGCTGACCTCAGGTTTTGAGTCTTCTCTGCCCTGGGCTTGAACGGGTCCTTGTCAGTTTTGGGGACATGCCTTCCAAGAAGCCCCATTGATTCCATCACTGTGGTCAAATGCATGATTTGGTAGAAGACTGTGACACGTTTCCTTGCATGTGAAGCTCCAGTTGTTGCAGTTCAATGTGGCTGGGAGCAAACAGGAGCTGCTCCCTGCCTGCCGTGGTGTGCAGTGTGTCTGATCCCCTTCCCCACCCCCCTACAGCTGGATGGGCTCTTTCACCTCCGAGCAATGGGTGGTCTGGGAAGCAGCCTGCTCTGCTCTTGGGGAGCTGGACTCATCTCCACTACAGAGATGCTTAATAAAAATATTTGTTAAACAATGGTTTTATCTGAGTATGTGATCACAGCTGTTTTATTTTAGCAACGTAACAGCAAGAACAATTAAATCCATATTTCTCCTTCGATATTTATTTTCCTGAATTCATTCTCAGTGCTGTGAAAGAATTCAGTGTGAATTTCTGAGTTAAAATAGAGCTATTTGCAGTGGATTTCAGATTGCTTGTAATACCTTAGTATGATTCTTATGTTACTTGAGACGTTAAACCAGTATAAAAATACATACTACAGAGAGTCCATGTTTTGAAATATTCTAAAACTCTTCTTCATAATCACTATATTTAATTGTTAACATTGTTCTATTCTGCAAAGCCATGTTTGACTCTTAGGAGAGCTAAGTGCCATCTTCCCATAACAGCATGTAAGAAAAATGTGGACTATGCATTTTAATAAGATTAAAAAAAAATCCTTTTACAATACTGCAACTACTGCATTCAAGTGAAGATAGCTCATCTCTAAATCTCAGTTTTATAAACCCATCTATTTCAGTGTTGCAAATGCCTTCTGTTGAGATGTTCAGTATTGAAGATGACACTTTTGTTGGAACTGGCTTAGAAAGATTTTATTGCTGCTACTTATCTTCCTCACAGGCCCTGGCTGTGGAACCCTCCAGTGCCATTGGCTGTGCAGGCTTGCCCACAATGTGAGAAGCCAATTCAGTACAGTTTCCTGAGACAGTGGAGGGAGCAAAGAGAAAGTTTCTGTAACTGATTCTTAAGTTTTCAATTCCTTTGTCAGACACAAAATACCTACTTTCAACATAGATCACTTTTATCCCCATTAGAGATAATAAAAAGTCCTTCCTTAACTGAAGAGGTTATGCCCTGAATGCACATTTCTTTTGGAGTCCTTGGCAGCAAAATGTCCAGAAATGCAGAGCAGTGCACCACATTTTTATCCTGCGTATATACCCAAATTCAGGTAATTGCTTTTCTTCAGTCTTACACAACCTATATCTCAGAATGGCAGATTTTATATCTTCTTAACACATACATTTTGCTAACATAAAACTAAACACGGCTGCTTCATGGCAGTTGACAGCTGCCACTGAAACAGGACAGGAAAGACGATGGAGTTTTCTTACTTTTGTCTTTGGATTAGTCTCAAGTAAATCCTCTGGTGTTAATAATATAGATTTCTCATTAAGCCCCCTCAGGCAAATTTTTTAAAAATAAGTAATTCTGCAAAAGAATAAGTTCTCAGCACTGATATTTCTGAAACTGACTTACTTTCCTTTCAAAAAGTCTTTGTTAGTATTTAGAAAAGGTGCTAACCCCAATCATCGTTGTAACAAGTGTGTTTGTCCCTGCTTTTTTTCTGAAGCCACCATTTTAATCTGGTGTAGGAGCAAATTTTGTTTATGTAAAATATATAAAGGGGTACAATTAAAACTTACTGTTACACACAGTCATATGGGAAATACGAATTTATCTTATGTAGAACCATACATTTCCAACATGGGAATATTTCATATACATATAGAATATTTGCTAGAAGCCATCTCATTGACATCAGTTAAGTTTTAACAGATTTAAGCAAATAGAGCACACCTCTCAGCATTTCTGAATTCATTAGCCCTCCACTGACAGCCTGCTTCTATTCTCCAGTCAGTATGCCCCAGGTCTTCAGGCCTAAGTATTGGAATTACTTGCATATCACCTTTACTCTGACCACAATTTGAAAAAATAGTATGTAGTTTTGTGATTACGCAGAGAGAAGTAGGTTATATAAAAGATCCTTAATGAAACACATTTCTTCATGCTTCCCCTATGTCATATAATGGTCTTGATCTGTGGGAAAAGTAATAAAACCTAAATGTGAATGGCTGAAAATTGACGCAGTTCTACTGTAGTTAATCTACATATACTTTAAGATGTGTATTCACTGATAGTTAAACTTATGCAATAGT